CCTACATTAGCCCCAAATTTTTCCTACTTCTAGCCTGCCTCAGTAACAGGCTGCAGAGGGTTGAGTGGGAAGCAGAAATCTCCCTATGGCTCTAATTCACACAAAGGCCTAGAGGGCTTTTCTACTTGCACAATGACGTCTTAGGGGTTAGTGGTGGTGATGGTGATGGGACCTTCTGGGGACATTGACCAAAAAGCTGAGGTATTTAAGAGAAGCCCCCGTACCCAGCCAGAAGCTGAGAGAGTCCAACACCCCATGAGATAGTTTACAGAGAGAGTTCATTCCCACTCTCAACCCTTTCCTGGTTCAAGTCTAGTCATTGCCAACTCTCTGCTTAGATGTGGGGGAGGCGGTGGCCATAGTCTCCTTGGCTCCCTACTTCCCCACCTGTCCCTTGGGTTACCTTCCAAGCAGACCTTGGTATGTCCTAGACACTTTCCAGCACTTCTGAATCAGGCCACGGGCTCAGGTGTGAGAAAAGTCTCACTGCTGTGCTTTTATAAGTCAACTGCAGCAATAGGGCTTTGAGCTCGAGTGGCAAGAGTACCTGCCTTTTGGACTGGCAGAAAATTCAGTCTTGGTGTTTTTTAAGGCCTTAAAAGCCATCTTTGCAGAGAAGCATTTGACTCCTTGCTTGGGCCCATGGATTAACTAAAGGCAAGAAATAAATGATTTCAACACCTCTTTTCCATAGAAATGGAAGGGATAAACTGACAGTGGGAAAGTGTAACAGGACTCCAAAAATTTGGAAAAATTTGTTGTGTAGCCAGTTTGCATGCTGCCAGTTTATGCTGCTTGTTAATCAAACTGACATTTCCCCCTGGGGAAATGTCCCCTGGCTGGGGAGGCCAAGGTTAACTCCCTTTACTTGTCAATTAAACCAGGCAGTCTTCTATCCCTTATTTCTCTCTGACAACCAGAGAAGTAAACCTGTTAGCCAAGACGTATAGCTTTGGAGATGTGGCGCCAGACACCTGGACAACCAAGGCCAGCGCCTACTCTGGAACATGCATTTGGTCACGTACTCAAACTGAGCCCCTGAACTCCCCTTTAAAAAGCAGACATTTTCTCTCAGAAGTGGGACAACAGAGCTTCGAGAGAATCACTCTCCCTGTCCTCCTTTTTGTCTGATGAATAATAAACTTTATTTTCCTTTCCTCCAAAACCTTGCTCTTGTTATTTGTGAATTGGCATTGAGGCCGGGGAACTGGCATTCTGGTAATACTGGAGGTTATTCTGATGTCGCCGTCCTCCTTGGTGACCCAGGGCCCTGACCAGGGACAGAACTTTAGCATTTAGACATTTGCGGGCACTGCTGATATATTCATTGGCTAAGCTTGTACTGTTCCTGGGGGCCAAAGCTCTGTGTAGCTCTGACCCCTGGGGCTTTGTTAGTTGCTTGTGTGACATCCATTCTCCTGCTAAATGTCACCTGCACTTAGGCTTTCATTGTTTACCATGGTGTCTGCAGGACCTGGAACTGACATACAATAATTATTAAATCTGAACAAACGTCTAAGGACTTCCTCTCTGCTACCTCCTAGAGACAACCAGGAATCTTTACATCCCAGTAAGGATGCTGCTGCAGCCTGGGTCAGTCTCCTCTCTTTTAAGGGTGTCCCCTCCCTGATTTCATTCCCTTCTCTAGAAGGTCACAGGACAAAAGCCTGCAGGTGGCCATCCTGAAGGAGATCTGGCTTTCTACCCCACCAGGGCCTCTTTCTCATTGAAGGGACCTTTGTGGCCTACTTAGAACAGAGTATAAAAACTTACCCTGTTCTGTGGCTCACACCTGTAATCATAGCTACTTGGGAGGCTGACATTGGGAACATCACAGTTCGAAGCTAGCCCAGCCAAATAGTTCATGAGACTCCATCTTCAAAATAACCAGAGCAAAATGGACTGGGGGTGTGGCTCAAGAGGTAAGCACCTGCTTTGCAAGTGTGAAGCCCCGAGTTCAAACCCCAATCCCTCCAAAAAATAAAACAAAAGAAACCCAAAAAGTACATATAAGGCGCGGGGATCTGGGGATTTAGCTGTCAGTGACGTAGCTCTTGACTTGCACGTGTGAGGCCTGGAGTTCAATCCCATGCATGAGAATAGAAAAGTAAAGAAGAAAGAGAAGAAGAAGAGGGAAGAGGAGGAGGAGGAGAAAAGGAAAGAAGCAGAAAAGAAAAGAAAGAAACAGCAAGAGCACAAACTATCCAGTGATTACCAGTCACACTCTTTTTAACTCCTCCCTATTGCTGTTGTAACAGGTACCTCAAGCTGCTTTTTCTGAAAAGCACTGGCTCCTTCCTTGGGCCCATGAATGAACTAAAAGCAGAAGAAAAGCCTGGCATCCCTGCCTCCATTTTGCACCTGATGTCCTTTGCTCTGAACTGTTACCTCTGCATTCACCTTGGAATGCAGGAAGGACAGGACTGGTTCATAACATGTTTACAAGGAGGGACAGAGGACACTGTGCCTTAGGAAAGAAGCACCACAGCCTCTTTGAGACAGATCCTCAGTTACCGATTATGATTTCATCAGAACCCCTCCCAAAACAAGGACGGAAATCCTGAGCAACCAGGCCATACTTTGATCAGAACTGTTTAACCATTTACCTTTCATCCTCAATCTCTTTCTTCCTTTTTTTTTTTTTGGTGGGACTGGGGTTTGAACTCAGGGTTTTGCACTTGCAAAGCAGGCAAAGCAGGTACTCACAGCTTGAGCCACTTCTCCAGTCCATTTTGCTCTCATGTCTGGTGGATTGAAGTGCTTACTTTGCTTCTTCCTGATGCAGGCACAAGCCACGTAATAAACCTCCTTTTTCTGCCATTCACCATTACTTGTCTCTTTATGTGGCATGTTGAGGCGAGTGGGAGGACCTGACATGTGGAACCCCTGGACTTTGGGCTGAGGCCTAAAATCCTATTAATTCCCTAGTGCAGATTCTACCACTTTTCAGAGGACTCCAGCTATGGTTTGAATGTTTATCCCACTCAAAGATCATGCTGAAATTTGGTTGGTTCCATTGTGGTAGTTTTGGAGGTAGCATTTTGGGAAGCCCCACTTTTTTTTCAAATAAAAGTTTGGTTTCCCCCCTTTGTCCTTTGACCTTTCTACCTTCTTTTATTTTTATTTTCTTTTTCTTTTCTACCTTCTTTTTACTTTTTAATTATTTATTTATTTTTGAGACAGGGTCTTGCTGTGTAGACCAGGCTGGCCTTGAACTTGAGATTCTTCTGCCTTAGCCTCCTGAGTGCTGGCTGCTGGGATTGCAGGTGTACACCACATGGCCAGCTGTGCTTTCTACCTTCTGCCATGTGAGGGTCAGGCCTTCCTCCCTTCCAGAAGATGCAGTGTGCGAAGCTCCATTTGAAAGATGAGAAAGTCCTCACCAGACACTAGAGATGCCAGCAGCTGAACTTTAGGTCTTCTAGCTTCCAGGAACGTGAGCTGATATGTTTCTGTTCTTTGTAAATTACTCAATCTCAGAACAAAATGGACAACTTTTCTGCCTCGGCCTCCTTGCCACTCTTCTCCAAACCCAGCTTTCTAATTGAGACCCTTCCATGGCTTCCATCATTCCCAGCTCAAACATCCGAGCACAACCTGCCTGCTTGCTGCCTGCTTTCCCAACCTCAGAATATCATCACCACAATTCCTTGGGATGTGTCAGCATGTCTGTTTCACCAGGTGTTGCTCCTTCTGCCTGGGACACGCTTTTCCAAGATTTCCCCTTCTGCTAACTCCTGCTTGTGCACTAAGATTAAGCTGATCAGAAACCGAATGTGGTGGTACATGCTTATAGTCGCAGCATGCTGGAGCCTGAGGTAGGAAAATCATGAGTTATAGACCAGCCTGTGCTATATAGCAAGACATTATCTCAAAACAAACAAACAAACAAACAACATTAACCTGGCTGGCTGTAGATCAGTGTTAGAGCCCTTGTCTAGCAAGAGTGAGTCCTCGTCCTGGATTCAATGCCCAGCACTGCAAAAGAAAAACAAGACAATTCATCACCACCAAGGGAAAAAGCCCCAATAGGGATCAAGCCTGTGTCACCTCCCAGAAGACTCTCATTTTCCTCAGCGTGAGTCAGTTACCTCTGCGGCTCCTTGTCACTCAACTGCGGAGATGCATCTAGCAGTGTACCCTGGCCTCCTGAGGGCAGGTGCTGCCTCTTCTCACCATCTCCTGCTGTTGCATGATGAATGGATGACTAAGTTTTGGTCCATTTGTATTTGAGCCTCTCCAATAACAGTTAAGTCTCTTTGCTGGCCACAACTAACTGTTTAATTCAGGTTTGTTCGTTTTCTGGGACAGGGTGATGGGAATCAGAAAGCAGGTTAGTTGCCTCTCAGTGACTGAGTTTCCTAGAGATTATAGTCGCTGGTGTCACTGAAACATCTCCAATTCTATTGGACCATTTAAAGCAAATTATAGAGATCATATAATTTTGCCCATAATACTTCTGTATGTATCTCTTGGCTGGGCACAGTGGTTCACTTCTATAATCCAAGCCACTCCAGAGGTGGAGATTTAGAGGCCTGGTAAAAAAGTTAGCAAGACCATATCTTAGGGAGAAATGGCCCAAACAATGTATGCACATATGAATAAATGAATTAAAAAAAAAAGACCATATCTTAATCAATAAACTGGATGTGGTGGTGGACGCCTGCCATCCCAGCTATTTGGGAGACATAAGAGGAAGACCAAGGACTAGGCCTGCCTGGGCAAAAACTTAAGACCCTATTTAAAAAATAATTAAAAGCAAAAAGGGCTGGAGAAATGGCTCAGGTGAAAGAACACCTGCTTAGCAAACACAAGGCCCTGAGTTCAAGCCCCATACTGCAAGAAAGAAAAGAAAAGAAAAAAAGATATGACCTTTTTTTTCCCCTAACACAGAGCAACTGGCAAGACAGGTGCGGCTTCTGCTGCAGAGGGCAAAGACCTCCCTCCTGTGCTGACTGGTGCATCTCCTGGCCCAACCCAGCTCACACCCTGCTGGGCAAAGGAGGAAAAGCAAAAAGAGCCAACTGCCCTGGAAGACTTGGAACACAGGAGCAGCGGGGGAAGTCTTGCTCAGACACGTGGCCTGTAACAACTAGTTGGGAAGCCTGCAGAGTGCACAGCTCTGAAAGACCCACAGCTGCTGGGAGCTGAGTCCCGAAATGAGGCTGCTTAGGTTGCTGCTTTTCCTGGCCCACTGGGGAGTCATCAGGGCTGAACCAGGTAGGGTGACAGGAATACCTGTGATGTCTTTGTTTTGTACTATGAACTGGGGTTTTGTACTATGAGCTGGGGTTGGAGCTGCTGGAAGCTGCTCACAGAAAAAGAATTCTAACTAGCAAGGCAGCGAGGCAGAGTGGAGAGAGTTTGCCAGTGACCCATGAAGGGAACCATTTGAGCCAGACTTTAAGTAGGTGTGGCAGCAGGCCAGGGGCTTACTCCCTTGTTTTTACCTTACAAATGGTGGTGTCTTTGTTTTGTTTGATGCTGGGGATTGAACCCTGGGCCTTCCTCAAGTTTTCTACTACTGATCTACACTGATCTACTACTGATCCAGCCCTGACTGACTCCAGAAGACGATGTGTTACAGAAAGGAAGAATTGGGAGGGCCCAGGAGGAGGAAGTATATGGGGTGACCAGAGAAGACCTGTCTAAGTGACATTTGAGTAGAGTCCTGAGTCAGCGAGGGAGAGAGCCATATGGATGTCAGAACATTCCAGTAAGAGGAGAGCAGCTGTGCATGCCCTGAGGTGGATACATGTGCTGTGCGGGAGGAACAGTGGGGAAGCCAGGGTGACCACAGCAGAGTGTGGGCAAGGGGGCGGCAGAGGGGAGGACTGCAGAACAGCAGGGATGGGCTGGTACCAGCTCATGGGTCACCTTGCAGATAATTTTACAGACTCCGAACTTTGCTCAGAGAGAAACAGGGCTCTCTCAGGAGATGGCTTTAGGAATGTGATCTGACTTGGGCTACTGTATTGAGAAAAAATTGTGATGAGTTCGAAGAAGGGTGACCAACTCATCCTGAATCACCTGAGACTTTCCTAGTTTTAGCACTTAAAGCCCAGCACCCTGGGCACTCCTCAGTTCCAGTTTGGTCACCCTGGAGAAGCAACAAAACTGGGAAGGGCCGTGCACCGGTGTCTAGCTACTCAGGAGATAGAGATCAGGAGGCTTGTAGTTTGAGGCCATCCGGACTAGTTCATGAGACCCTATTTTGAAAATACCTAACATAAAAAAAGGGCTAGAGGAGTTGCTCAAGTGGTAGAGCGCCTGCCTAGCAAGCGTGAGGGCCTGAGTTCAAACCCCTGTGCCGCCAAAACCCCCCAAAAAATAAAACAAACAAACAAATGAAACTGGGAAGAAAGCTGGGAGTCAGTGACTCACAACTGTAATCCTAGCTACTTGGGATGTAGAGATCAGGAGGATCATGGTTCTAGGCCAGCTCAGGCAAATAGTTCTTAAGGACTCATCTCCAAAAATAACCAGATCAAAATGGACTGGAGGCAAAGCCCAAGCAGTAGAGCACCTGCTTTGGAGGTGTTAAGCCCTGAGTTCAAACCCCAGTCCCACAAAATTAAAAAAAAAAAATCTGGAAAGGAAGCTATTGATTGCCTTGTGTGACAGAGGAGGGAGCTGAGAGCAGGAAGGTAGGAATGGGGGATAACCCGGCAGGATGGTACACACCTGTAATCCCAGTCCTTGGGAGGCAGAGCGGTGACTGGAAGGAAATGCTCTGATAGGATGAGATTTGCTGACAGATGGGTGTATGAGACAGAAGGAAGAAGCAAGGGTAGCTTAAAAGTTTTGGGTCTGAAAGTGTGGCTTCGTGCTGTGCTGAGATGGGGACCACTGAGGTTCACGAAGAGGTTCTCCTCAGCCAGAGGCCAAAGTCTCAGTGGCCACAAATGAAGTCCTCTGGCCATCCACTTTCTTAGACGTGACCCTGAGCAGCTGGGGCTTTGGCAAGGTGCTCTGCTGGCATGACCCAGCATTCTCAGAGGCCAGCAAGGAGAAACACCGGCGTTTTTTTGTTTTTGTTTTTGTTTTGGTGGGACTGGGGTTTGAACTCATGGCTTAACACTTGCTAAGCAGGTGCTCTACTGCTTGAGCTATGCCTCTAGTCTATTTTGGTCTGGTTGTCTTGGAGATGGGGTCTTGAGAACTGTTTTCCTGTGCTGGTCTCGAACTGCAATTCTCTTGATTTCAGCCTCCCAAGAAGCTAGGATTACAGGTGTGAGCCACCAGTGCTGGTGAGCTCCTGTGTTTGGTAAGTAGTAGACCAGAGTGAAATGCCTGGGAAGGACTCAATACAGAAGTGGTGACTTAGAGAAGATAAAAACTCTGAGCTAAGCCCTGAGAGGATGGTGTCATTCCCTGGAAGGGCAACTGCCTGGAAGAAGGCTGAGAATAGCAGTCTTCCTTAACTCAGAGACACAAACCCAAGATCACCTTCAGGGAACTTGGCACTGCCAGTCTGACTTGTGGCTTAAGAATGACTAGACGATCCTTTTTTGGCTCATAAGTATGATGATTGGGTGTTCATGTGCCACCCTCAAACCTTGTTACAACTTGTGCACATTGCCCTTCTGATGTGAAAAAAAAAATGAATGACTAGAAGAATCTTCTTCCTCACTCTTTCACTTTTAAATTTGGCACCTTAGAAATCCAAATGCCAGCGGACACCCGCTCCAGCCCAGTCTTTTTTTTTTTTGTGGTACTGGGGCTTGAACTCAGGATCTTCACATTGAGCCACTCCACTAGCCCTTTTTTATGATGTTTTTTTTTGCCTGGGCTGGCTTCAAACCACCATCCTCCTGATCTCTGCCTCCTGAGTTGCTAAGATTACAGGCATGAGCCACCGGCACCCAACCCCAGCCCAGTCTTAGTGGTTAAAAACAATCTCCCTTCTCTCCCAGTGCACAAAGATGTTCATTGTAGCATTGTTTATTATAATGAAAGATTGCAAACAAGAATGGAGTAGCCAAATAGATTATGGTATAGCCATCGTGGAAAATGAGAAACAGTAAGTAATATTTAGTAAGTGCTTAGTGCCAGGCACTGCTAGCATTTCTGCATTATTTTATTTTTATGTAATACCTTCACATCAGCCTTGGGAAGTATTACCATCCTCATTCCGTTTATGGAAACAACTTTGGGGAAGTCACTGGCCAAGGTTACACATGTAGCAAGAGTCTGGCTGCACCAGAATTGGTATTAGGTGTTTGACATATGCTAACCTTTTTAAAACTTATTTGAAAGATGAAAAAAAAAAACCTCTTGATTCTTTTTTCCTTGACATGGCGGTCTCACTATGTAGTCCAGGCTGCCCTTGAACTTATGGACTCAAGTGATCCTCCTGCCCCAGTCTCCTGAGTAGCTGGGAGTAGAAGCAGGCCTCACTACGCCTGACTTCACCTGATTTTGGTAGTCCCTGTAAAGAAGGCACTATTATCACTATACCCATTTTGCAGACAAGGAAAATGAGGCTCAGGAGAGACACAGCATCTGCCCGAGACCCCACAACCAAGTTTCTGTAAACTCCATGCTCTTCCCTGCGTTCTCCTGGAATGGTGGTTTATACCTACTAATCTTTTTCTTTTCTCCAAACTTGCTGGAATGCACACATCTATGATGTTAAATTTAAAAGGAATTCCACAACACCTGTAGGCGTTTTCAGTTTCCCAGCCTTCCTAAAGTGCAGGAGGATGCTGGGACTCCAGCCACCCCTGCTTTGCATAAAGCCTCCGGGGTATCTCCCTCTACCTTCCTTAGCTGAGGGCTTGGAGGAGTGCCAGCTTGCTGGCTTCTTCTCCTCCCCCATGAACCAGGTGCAGCACTCCTCTTATTCTTTGGCTTTAAGTTGCAGAGAAAGAGGAGTTCTTCCAGTGTGGGTTAGCATGGAGGAAAACATTTCCCTGAGGCTGGCCCAGGGTGGAGGGATCAGGAGAGAGTTGGGTAGGGATGAGGAGCCCTAGTCTCCCCCCAGAGGAGCTGCTGGGAGGGGTGATCCATGTAGTTACACAGGGGCAGGAAACATTGGTTTTAGCAACGGAACCCCAAGCCTTTTGCAGAAGGAATAATGATCACAGTGTTTTGGGTTACCGCTTGTTCAATGCTCTCATCTTACACTGGAGGATACAGAGGCCCAAGAAGAAAAATAAGAGAAATAGGTCCATGAGGCAGTGTGGCCCTGGGAATGAGCACTAAGCCTGTCTTGTTCACCCATGGCCATGTGCTCCATAGCAGAGAACTTCCATCCATACAACCATGGGCATTTCACCCTCATTTTACAGATGAGGAAACTGAGGCTCAGCTCCAGAAATTTATTGTTCAAGTTGCCATTGCTGCCAGGTGTGGTACTGCACATCTGTAATCCCAGCTATCCAGGAGGTAGAGGTAGGAGGATCTCTGTCCCAGGCTGGCCCAGGGAAAGTTAGACAAGATACTCTGAAAAACTAAGAGCAAAAGGATTGGGGACATGGCTTGTCTAGCAAGTGCAAGGCCCCAAGTCCAATTACCAGTACTGCAAAAAATAAAATAAAATAAAAATGAGATATCCCTGATTTCAAATTTCATATGCGTCCTTTTAAAACCAACCCTCTGCCTAAAGCCAGAAAGCCCAGGTCTCTACTAGTGCCAGCTAGATTCCGCCCCCAGGTCTGTACCCTCAACACAGAATTTGACCCCAAATTTCTTATATTCTCAATAATTAATGACTGACAATTTGGGAATAACAATAATTCATGAATAATAGCTGAGATTGGAGGCCTTTTTTGTTTTGTTTTTGGTGGGACTGGGGTTTGAACGCGAGCTTCACGCTTGCAAAGCAGGCGCTCTACCACTTGAGTGATACCTCCAGTCCATTCTGGTTATTTTGAAGATGGGATCTCATAAACTATTTCCTGGGCTGGCCTTCAACCACAATCCTCCCAATCTCAGCCTTCCAAGCAGCTAGGATTACAGGTGTAAACCCAACTTGGCTAGCCTTTGTGTGTGTGTGTGTTACTCAGGGCCTCACGCTTGCTAGGCAGGCGCTCTACCACTTCAGACATTCCACCAGCCCTGTTTTTTTTTTTTTTTTTTTAACATTGGGTATTTTGAGATAGGGTCTCAAGAACTATTTGCCCAGGGCTGCTTTGAACCTTGATCCTCCCGATCTCTGCTTCCCAAGCAGCTAGGATCACAAGCTTGAGCCACTGGCACCCAGTTTGTCTGACCTTTTTAAAAACTCAAATAGTACACGAATACTTCCTTACTGTGAAAGATTCAAGCAGGATGGGTCTGTACAACACCTCTTAATTTTAACGAGATCTCAGATGAGGCTTCTTCCCAGTGGTTTGAGAGCTGATGTAAAAGGTCAAGTGTGAGAGCGCCCCACCTCCACCCCCACCTTCCCAGTTTCATTCCTCGCTGGGGATAGCTGCAGGCAATAGTCTGGTATATTGGGATTTTTCTCTACAAGCCATTTCTCATTCACTGTCTTATTTGGTACTCAGAGCGAGCAGGCCAGATGACAACACCCTCAGGCTCAGTGAGGACAGGTGGCTTCCCAAAGTTCTTTGACTTTGGGAGGAGCCTGGATTAGAAGCCAAGTGGCCACTTCCGAGCCAGGGCCCTAATCCTAGGACTTCTCAAGTCATGCCAACTAGGGCTTGATTCCTGGTGTTCAGGGAACATTTCTTCACCCCGGGAGAAGGTCCTGGCCCTGACCTTCTGTGGTCAAGTCCATAGGAGCCGTGGCTCCCATTCTCTCACAGATGACATACACATATTACAACAGCCATCTTCCTGGGCAGCAAGGCAGGAAAGCACTGTCTCAGCTTTGGAGTCAGAGAGGTCTGGGTCTGAGCCTCAGTTTCCTCATCTGTCAAGCAAACAGAATCCCCACCTCAGCTCTCAGTGTGGCGGCATGCACCTGTCATCTCAGCTACTCAGGAGTCCAAGGCAGGAGGATCACATGAGTCCAGGAGTTCAAGGCTAGCCTGGGCAACACAGCAAGAACCTGAACTGCATTAAGAGAAAAGAAGAAAATCCCACCACAGAGAATGGCTGCAAGGATGAAGTGAGGCACATGTGTGACATGTGAAGGGAAGGAAGCCAGCAGAAAAAAAAAAAGCAAAACAAACACACTTCCACAAGGTTTGGGGATTTAGCTCAGTGGAAGAGCGCTTGCCTAGCAAGTGCAAGGCCCTGAGTTCGGTCCCCAGCACCGAAAAAAAAAAGGAAAAAATAGAAAAAAAAAAAGCAAAGGAAGCCAGCACTTCCTCTCCATTCGTCCTCCCCTCAGCCTTGAGTACATATTTGCACATCGTCTGCGATCCTGGCACTGTTCTAGGTGCTGAGGACACAGAGAGGAACCAGACAGGCTTTGTGCTTGCTTGCTTGAGCTCACATTGTACACAGGAAGGATGGACCACCAGCAAGATCCCTTCTTCTGTGAGTGCTCCAAAGAAAATGAGATGGGGAGAGGCACTGGCTAGGGACCCGATGGGCAGGGGAAGTACGATTTGAGATGAGGTGTTCAGGGAAGGCCTCTCTGAGGAGGTGACTTTTGGGCGGAGGCCTGAATGAGGAGGAGGAAGTGGCCACAGATGACTTGGGGAAGACTGGGTGAGGCGGTGGGGGGTAGCCAGGGAAGAGGTCCTATGGGGACAATGGGCCATGGCTGAGGGGGTGAGTTGGACAGAGTGACAATGAGGTCACTGAGGCCCACAGCTCCACCATGAGGACACTGGAGCCCAAAAAAGGGGGTGTGCACCTGCTTGGACCTCTGGCTCCCTCTGCTGTTCTCTCCATGGTCCTGGCCTCTCCTGGAGTCAGGCCTTTGGGGACATGCGTACACACACACACACACACACACACACACACACACACACACACACGTCACTAGGAGGTGCCATCCTAGTGACGTGGAAGTGGTTTCAGTTCTACACTTTGGCTAGACACTGACAACTGACACCAGCCTCTGTCACCAGACAGGAGTTTCTGGAGTGAGCAATGGCCATTGCAGGCCAACGTCAAAGGCTATTGAGAAAGCACTTACCCGGCAGGAAGTAGCTTCTGCCGTGGTCTTTGAAAGAGGACCACACCAGAGAGAAGGCAACGGGCCTCTCACTGCACCGGCCTGGCCAGCCCCACCTCGGCTCAGACACAGGTCTGCTTAATATAGACACTTGGGGGCTTAATTTTTATTTTTGTGGCACTGGGGTTTGAACTCAGGGCTTCAGCTTGCTAGGCAGGTGCTCTACCACTTGAGCCACTCGGCCAGCCCCACTTATGGGCTAGAAAGCCCACAGCTCTGCCCACCCAGGGATTGGAGTGGGGCAGTTTCTTCCTTTACTCTCTAAGGGTTTTGCCCCATAGGAATAATTTTATAAGTTAGGAATCACAATGTGCGTGAAAGATTAAGTTCCCCGCATTATAAACAAAGACCCAATTGGGGTTCAAAAAAATCAAAGTGCAGTTGTACAACAAAAAGACATCTAAAATTAAAAGGCACCATTAGTAATCACATCTTCCTAGAGAGGATTTGAGCTATAGTACCCCCCCCACCACATACACACCATTTGCCATGTGATCTCAGGCATGTTGACCTCTGAACTTTACCTTCCTTCCCTATAAAATGGGGATAATAATCAAAAGCTTCCAGGGCTGTGGAGAGGATGACTGTACCATGCCCATGGGAGGGGTAATGATTTGTTCAGTCAGTTACACCTTAGTGAAAACAAGTTTTCGATTCTTTCCGGAGATCAGGTTTGGGTCATGAGAGGTGGACAAAAACTCGAGTGTCTGGGAGGAAAAGTTGATGAGTGAAAGTCAGAGGTCTGTCCTGGAGCCATACTGAACATACTGGGGCTTGGGTGTGGCCCTGAAATCAACAAAAATCTGGTCTCCCAAGCCCAGGCTCAGCTTCCTGGGTTGAGAAATGTTGACTGTTGCCTTTGAGTGACTCTGAAAGAGGAGGAGGAAGCCACAGCCATGGTGAAGGGTGAAGAAATCCCAGGGTTCTCCCCTGTCTTAGTCAGAAACACAAGTTTCAGGGCAGAGGCTAGACCTGTTCAACCTTCTTTCAATAGTCGCTGAAACTTTGCAGCTGGGCCTGGCGGTGCACACCTGTAGTCCCAGCTACTTGGGAGGCTGAGGTAGGAGGATCACTTAAGCCCAGGAGTTTGAGGGCAGCCTGCGCAACACAGTGAGACGACAAAAAAAAAAAAAAAAAAAGAAGAAAGAAAGAAAAAATACTTTATGCCAGGCCCAGTGCTGGGTCTACACAAAGAACCCCTCCATACCTGATTCCTTTCCTTCTGTTACCCCAAGAGGCTTTTGGCATTTCACCTTCCCTTGGTTAGGAGCTAAGTACAGGTCTCAGTCAACCTCTTCAGCAGGCAGGACCACTCCCAGCTGTGCGAGCTGCACCCTGAATCCAGCATCACTTTAGGAGCACCCATGTGAGAAACTGGACCCAACCAGAAACTGCATTCCCTCGACTCATCTATGGATTCCTCAGGTTCCCACTGGTGTTCATAGCAAGATCCACCAACTCATTTAGCATGTAAGCCTTCTCCCGCCAGGTCAGATTTTTTTTTTTTTTTTGGACAGGTCTCACTATTTAGCACAGGGTGATCTAGAACTGGCTATGTCCCAGATTGGCCTCTAACTCATGATTCTCCTGCCTCAGCCTCTTGAGAGCTAGGATTACAGATGTGAACCATAATATCTGGATTGTTTATTGAGATGGGGTCTCACTAACTTTTTGCCTGGCTGCCTTAATCCTACTGTTCTCTGCCTTTCTGGGATTATAGGTGTGAGTCACCATGCCTAGTCTCCACATCAGATTTTTGTATCTATTTCTCTGGTGTATGATAGGGTCTGGGTCTAGGGATGGGCTCAGAGAGTGACTTAGCTTGCCCAAGGTCACACAGCTCATATGTGGCTCCAGAGACTGAGTGCTTAACCTATATATTCTCTTTGCTGCACCCGTCCCTCATCCTCTGCCATGGATCTAGGATGGACAATGGAAAAGACCTTGTCAAGGTCACAGGTCGGGATGGAGCAGACATGCACTCAGTACCCTCCTGACCCTCCTTCTGGAGCCTGGGTACCCCGAGGGGGCCTCTGTTCACCTGTTCACTGCCTTGTCCCCAGCCCAGGTCCTCTAGACCTGCTCATCCAGGCTGAGGGAAGGAACAGCATTGAGAGAGGATCTCTTTTCCCCTGCAGGAAAGTTCTGGCACATCTCTGACCTACACCTTGACCCCAACTACACAGTGTCCAAAGACCCCCTCCAGGTGTGCCCATCAGCCGGCTCCCAGCCCGTGCCCAATGCAGGCCCCTGGGGTGACTACCTCTGTGATTCTCCCTGGGTCCTCATCAACTCCTCCATCTATGCCATGAAGGAGATCGAGCCGCAACCAGACTTCATTCTCTGGACGGGGTAAGAGCAGTCACGACAGCAGTTCCCCTTTGCTGGGCATCTGCTGTGCTGTGCGCCCACCAGGCCCTGACCACATCACTTTCCGTATCCTTCCATCATGCCCAGGATTTACAGAACTTGCCTAAGGGACCCTGACTGATTCCCGAGACTGTCCTCAACCAGTGTCTCTTGGCCTTGGCAGTCAGAGCCTCCACTGAGGCTGGGATATGGGCACCACCAGACTGGGACCATTTTAGACTGGGATGGACACTGTAATTTTGGTCCCCTGTGTTTGGGTTCTTGGCCTGTCCCTAAGAAATTGTCAGGGCTAAACAGCTCTTGGGTGTGAGCATAGAGGCCAGGCTGACTATGTTCAAGTCTTGGCCTCCCACTTTGTGGTTGTAAATATTTAGGTATAATAACTTCTGTGCCTGGATTTCTTTGTCTGTTAAATGGGCCTAACAATAGAACCTATGTTGTAGGTTATTATGAGAAACAAATTAGTAGCTATGGCTACTGTAGTAACAAAAAATGCTGTAACAAAATACCTGGGGCTGGGTACTTTATAAAGAAAAGTTTATTTAACTCACAGTTGTGGAGCTTTAAAACATGGTGCTGGCATCTTCTTGGCTCTGGTGATGGCCTTCTGGCTACATATTTGGTGGATGGCTCATGATCAGAGTGTGTGAGAAGGAGAAGGTAGTAATGTGGAAGACGGGAAGCCAGAGAGACTCATGGGCCAATCTCACTCTTTTTATAACAACTCACCCTCAAAGGAACTAACCAGGTCCTGTGAGAACTACCCACATGCCTTTTGAGGGCACCCCCACACACACACTGCCCCATGACCTAATTACCTTCCACCCCTTGAAGGTTCTGCCACCTCTGGTGGTTTAGTCCCTGGATAGTGATCCGGGGACTAAGCTTTTGGCACATGAGCCTTTGTGGACCACACTCAAACGGCAGTAGCCCCAACACGCAGAAAGTACCTGACACAAAGCAAACCCATGTGACCTCTTGTAGCAGGAGCAGCACTAGCAATTACTGTTAAGCTGATTATCGTCCCTGTGTGGGCACCTGGGCAGCAGCTGCCTCACTCAGTCTGGACCAGCAGAAGCCTCAGGATGCGGGTTGTAGAGTCCCACCTGCCTCCGTCGTTCCTCCCTTGCTCCCTCACCTTGCTGAGCAATTTTGGGTGAACCCAAGGATTTGGGCCAGTGGAATGTGGGACAAAATGGTCCTGAGGCAGGTCCTGGGGCTGCCCTTCAAAAGATTTGAACCCCTTACTCTAAACACAGTTCCAGTCTCCTTAGAACTATTTAGAGAAAAAGGAGCGGAGTTCAGAGATGGCTTCTAAAGCCAGAGCTCCCTCGGGGCTTGCAGAGGGGACTCCAGAGCTTCCTTCCCTAGGTGTTAATAAAGAGACACGCACACACTCTCGCCATGGTGTGATTCATCCAAGGGGGTCCTCACCAGAACCTGCACCATGCTGCTTGGATTTCCAGTCTCCCAAATCATGAGCTAAATAAGCCTCTTTACAAAGTTATAAAAATTAAGATAAAAATAACAATGACAACCTAATGGTTGCTATAAATACATTATATATGTATGTATATTATGTATATATATGTATTTGTATATATATTTTTTTCTTTTTTTTTTTTGGCAGTATGGGGTTTGAACTCAGGGCTTCATGCTTACTAGGCAGGCACTCTACCACTTGAGCCATGCCTCCAGTTCTTTTTACTCTGGTTATTTTGGAGATAGAGTCTCACTTTTGCCCAGGCTGGCCTGAACTGTGATCCTCCTATTTTACATGTAGCTGGGATGACAGGTGTGTCACCACAGTCAGCTTTTTTCTGTTAAGATAGGGACTTGGGAAGTTTTTTGCCCAGGATAGCCTGGAACCATGATCCTCCTGATCTCAGCCTCCCACATAACTAGGGTTACAGGTGTGATCCACCAGCGCCTGGCTACTTTTTCTCCTTTGAATGAAGTCTCACGAATACTCTAGAGTAGGTACCTATAGTCTCTGCTTTACAGATGAACTAATAGAGGCTCAGGTTGCCGCCACAGCAGACAAAGGGCTGAGCCTGGGTTTGAACTCCGTCCTGTCTGACTCCACTCCAACCTGGCTGTTCCCCCTCATGTGGACATCTGAGGCCCAGGTTCACAGCTTTCTTCCCACTGCAGCCCTATCCCTTCCTCTCTGAACCTCTCAGTGGTGTTTTTCAGTGATGACACGCCGCATGTGGCCGACGAGAGGCTGGGAGAGGCGGCAGTGCTGGAAATTGTGGAGCGCCTGACCAACCTCATCAGAGAGGTCTTTCCAGGTAAGACTGCCATCAGTCCCCCACAGTGTTCCCTGAGCCCCAAGCTGGCCTGGCCACAGGAGCACAGCAGCAGCAAGACCTGCTTCCCAGGTCCCAGACGCTTCCCAGCAGCCATTTCTCTTCTTCCTAATGACCTGTAGGGACGAACAGGCTCACCGACCTGTGGATACTAAGTGCCACATCACTGCCTCCTCTCCTCCCTGGTGAACCAGACTCACAAACCTTCACCAAAGTTATACACAGGTGTCCCTGGGGAAACCCCATACTGGCTCACACATGCCCTTGTGTACTGTTTGGTCCCTGGAGTTGCCATCTACTACCAGGACCATCCTGGTTACCAGGACCTCTGGGAGATGCTGCTTTCCAGCCAATGTGCTGCTGGTTGGTGCTTCCAAGGCCTTCTGAGCCTGGCAGAGCCAGCAGAGACCAGGAGTAAGTGAGGCAGCAGCCCAGTGGGACACAGCAGGGACAAAATGCTCAAACATGGTTTTAAATGGACTGTGCCAAACACAAGGTCCTGGGAGGTTGAATCAGGTCTCTAGGCCACCAGCTGGGGAACCTGAGAGTACTGCCCACCAGTGTCCTCACCCCACCTCCTTCCGTTCTGGTATAGCTGCTCCCTCTGAAGGTCATAGTCATGAGTCCCCAGGACCCAGACATGGAATAATAATAAAAATAACAGCAGCATGAATAATTATATATAAAAGGCTAAGCATTGGCCACCCTCTTAATTCATTGGTTGTGATGACAGTCCCAGAGAGAGGAGCTGTGTCACCAGCTCAGCTTACAGAGGAAGAATATGTGCCTGGGGGTCAGGTCAGCTGGTCAAGGTCATGTGGCAAGTGTGAAGCCCCAAGTCCTCATTTGAACACTGCTCTTATCTACTACTCCCAAAGTAAACCAACTTATGCAAAGACTCCTGAGTACTTCCAGCTTATCTAACTCACGCCAGCACACTGCTCGTGTGCGCACACACACACACACACACACACACACACCTAGGGTCATACGGCACATGCCCCTCACCCCAGCAACAGGTATTGTCATTCCTAATGTAGAAATAGGGTGCTATGGCTCCCAGCCACTCAGTTCCTTGAGAGGGATTCAAACTCAGATCCAAGTTTGAGCCTCTTACCTCTGCTCCATACAGGGCTTCTGGAATAGAAGTGAAATAATGGATAAGAAAATGCTTTTTTGATTTTGATTCAACACACAAATGTAAATTGTAGGACTTTATAGTCTATCTCACACTGGAGCACTTCTTGACGTTCCCAACACCTAAGATGCCATTGGCTATAAGATGCAATATTATTTATGTATTGGTAAGAAAAAAATGTTGCCAGTTAAAGAGTGACACCGCCCTTTCTCATGACCACAGTGGGAAGACACACCTTACTTTTTGAGACTTAAAATGAAGCCAGGTGCCAGTGGCTCATGCCTGTAATCCTAGCTACTATGTAGGCTGAACTCAAGAAGATTGCTGTTCTAGTTCAGCCCCAGCAAATAGTTTGAAAGACCCCATCTTCAAAATAACCAGAGCAAAATGGACTGCAGAGGTGGCTCAAGCAGTAGAGTGCCTGCTTTGCAAGCATGAAACTCTGAGTTCAAACCCCAGTCCTGCCAAAAAAAAAAAAAAAAAAAAGATAAAGGTCTCTTAAAATGAGACCAAACTGGGAGAGATGAAACAAGCTGAGATCTCCACTTGATCTTAGCCAAAAGACAGAGAAATTGATAAGGTATTTGCTTCGTTGAGAATTATAACAATGCGTGTCAAGCAGAGCAGTTCCCAATTTATATATGATGGAGGTGAGGCACAGAGAGGTCAGCAGCTTGTTCAAGAGGAGTAAGGGGACAGGATGGAGCTCAGTGGTAGAGCACTTGCCTAGCATGCATGGGGACCTGGGTTCTATCCCCAGCACTTCAGAAAGAAAACAGATGCATGGATGAGAGAAAGTCCTAAGCCTTCCAGAGTGAGTGAGACTGCTCCCTAACAGTGAGATGGATCTGTAACTGGCAGGAGTAGGGAACACGAAATTACCAAATGGCTGATAATGATAAGGAATTGTTTAGATGCTCTAATTTCCTCCTTAGCACAAGCTCAGGCTTCCTTCCTTCCTTTCTTTTTTTTTGATAGCTCTTGGGTTTGAACTCAGGGCCTCACGCTTGCTTGGCAAGCATTCTACCACTTGAGCCATTCTGCCAGCCCTGGTTTTTGTGTTGGGTATTTTTTGAGATAGGGTCCCATGAGCTATTTGCCCAGTGCTGAATCCTCTTGATCTCTGCCTCCTGAGTAGCTAGGATTATAGGTGTGAGCCACCCATGCTGGGCTCAGGCCTCCTTTCTGACCTGCATGTTTTCTGTCGGGAATGGGGTTTGGGTAACAACTCACTGCTCCTCCTTCCTAGGCCCAAGTAAAGCTCAGCCAGATTCTATCGAATGTGGTTTTCTGCTTATCTTTGTATTTCCCCATCTGTGCTGTCATCTTCCCCATTAGCTCTAATGGCTGGAGGCCAACAGAAAAGGACAAATCCCACCACGTTCTTTAGCACATTTTCTTAATGTGTCTTCTTTTCCTCCAGATACTAAAGTCTATGCTGCTTTGGGAAATCATGACTTTCACCCTAAAAACCAGCTCCCAGCAGGGAGCAACAATATCTACCGTCAAGTTGCAGAACTGTGGAGACCCTGGCTTAGTAATGAATCCATCACTCTCTTCAGAGAAGGTACTTGCTGTATGCCAGGCTCTGATCTGATTTCACCTTCACAACCCCTTGAAGTATGGACTGGTTTTTATTCCCATTTGATAAGAGTGGGAGACTGAGGCCTGAAGATACAAGGTCACACAGCCAAAGTCAAACAGCTTAGCAAAGGCAGCCTTGAGAACAGAACTCAGTACAGACTCCAAGCACCACAGCACTGATAGTCATGAGCCTCTTGCTGCTACTGACCTATCCAGTGTGGGCTGCACAAATCTCTCTGTGGAAAGCTGTCCTGTGTGTTGCAGGATGTTTAGTAGCTTCTCTGGTCTCTATCCGGGAGATGCTAATATAATCCCTACAATTTCATCATCAAAAATCATCTCTGCCCATTGCTAAATGTTCCCTAGTGGTCCAGAGGCACAGCCAGCCCAAGGCACACCTGTCTCTTCTCTCTTCCCTTTCCTGGGTGTCTTGCTGCTGGGACTCCCCACTGATCAGGCCCAAGCCTGTGGCACAAAAGCCATTGATTTAGTTCGAGTAGGTCAGTAAACTGCTTGGAGGAGCATGGACAGTGGATCTGAATGGACAAGCACACACCATTATTATTCCTACTATACAGATGCAGAAACTGAGCAGAGTGGTGAAGTAATTTCCCAAGCCGTACAGCTAATGAATGATAGAGCCAGGATTTGAACCCAGGAAGCCTGGCTCCAGAGCCTTTGGTCTCACCCCTAGAGGCACCTCCTGTGGGCAAGAAGGGAAGGGAAGGTACAAAGGGAGGAGAAGTTCGCAGAGTGAGGTGGAGGGGGCAAAGACTCCCTTCAGGCCCTCCCTGTTGTGACATCCTAGGTGCCTTCTATTCTGAGAAGTTGACGGGTCCCAGCAGGGCAGGGCGAGTTGTGGTCCTCAACACCAATCTGTACTACAGCAACAACGAGCAGACGGCTGGCATGGCTGACCCCGGCCAGCAGTTCCAGTGGCTGGAAGATGTGCTCAGCAATGCATCCCGAACTGGGGAGATGGTAAGGCCTTCTGCTTCTCCCCACTCCTCCTCAGGGTTATTTTGTGAGCAGGTCCCCAACTCGACACAACACAAACCCACCCACCCACCAGAGATGCTCCCATCCTAGAGGGTCCTTCATCACCCAGGCACTGGGAGGGGGCTTCCTCTTCCTCACAAATGCCCTGTGGGCCAGGGGCCTGGAGCAGATGAGGACCTTGAGGCTCAGAAGAAGCTGTGACAGTCCCAAGTCATGCAGTAAATGTGTTAGTTTTTCATCACTGTGACAAAATATTTGAGTTGAATCAACTGGGACAAAAGATTCATTTTGGTTTCAGCCATGGCTGGATGGCTCCATTGTTTTTTGGGCCTGTGGCGAGGCAGAAACATCGTGGTGGACAGCATGGCAGAAAACTGCTTATCTCATGCACGGTGGTTGGGAGAGAGAGAGAGAGAGAGAGAGAGAGAGAGAGAGAGAGAGAGAGAGAGAGATTGATTGAGAGATTCCAGGGAAAAGGTCTATCCTCCAAACGCATGCCCCTAGTTTATTTCATCCATGTCCCACCTCTCTCTCTCTCTCTCTCTCTCTCTCTCATATGATCCAATTACCACTCAGTGGCACCACTAGCTAGGAACCAAGCTTTCAACACATATCCTGCTTTGGGGGGACACCTCATATGCAAACCTCAGCAGTGGTAGGGCTGAGACTGGAACCCTGGCCTCCACACCCCAAGTTCAGAACTCTTTTCATGACTTGCACACCCCACAGCAGCAGCCCACACTGTGTACAGACCTGAGGGTGTCTGTCAAGTCTACTTGTCTGGCAGCATCTCAAAGCCTGGGACAGTGTCTCATGTCTGAGTCCCCACACAGCCTAGAATGTCGCAGGAGGGTCTCATGGCTGGTGCCACTCCATCAGGCCTGCTGTGGAGGGTTTAATATTGATGATCTTATCTAACTGCAAATTCCACCAGGTGGGGGCACTAACAGGAGAAAGCTACAGCTCAGAGAGGTCACATAGAGCCGGGGTGCAAGCTGCCATTTGATTCTGAAGCTCATGCTTTTAAGTTAATTCTGCTCCCTGTCCTACTCCTGCAATGGAGGCCAAGTGCCCAGGTACTGTTAGCCCAGTGACTTGGGGGAATGAAGCCATGAACACACATGACCACGTAGCATGCGTGGCACAACCATGCAAAGATGGCCCAAGCTCTCTAAGAACACTAGTCTTTGAAGGTCAGGAAGGCTTCATGGAGGAGGTGCTCTTGGAGCGAGGATGAGCGAGAGAGAAGATGCCTTTGGGAACACAGGCAGGTTTTGCAAGGTGGAAATGAAGGCCTGGAGGGTATCTCAACCCATCCGCCCCAACTTCTTCACAGGTGTACATCATTGGCCACGTGCCCCCAGGGTTCTTTGAGAAGACGCAGAACAAGGCATGGTTCCGGGAGGCCTTCAATGAGGAGTATGTGAAGGTGATCCAGAAGCACCATGACGTCATAGCGGGACAGTTCTTCGGGCACCACCACACTGACAGCTTTCGGATGTTCTATGACAATGCAGGTATTCAACCGGAGAGCCACAGGCAGCCTGCTGGCCTCCTCTCCCCAGCCTCTCTCAGTTCTGCTGTCTCTCTCCAAAGGTGCTCCCATCAGTGCCATGTTCCTCACACCCGGGGTCACCCCATGGAAAACCACATTACCTGGAGTGGTGAACGGGGCCAACAATCCAGGCATTCGGGTGTTCGAGTATGACCGAGCCACACTGAGCCTACAGGTCAGGAGCCTGTGTCTACTGGGACCAGAGGAGGATGGGGTGGAACCTAAGCATATCACCACCTTCCCTAGCTCAGTAAATCCCCCTGCTACTGACCACTGAGCCTGAAAAGGTCAAGTTGCTTCTTGAGCTCAGGTTCAGAACCCTAGTCAGGTCAGTTCTTCCCCAAATATTCCTTTGCCCTAGATCACTGATTGGCACAGCCTCCTGCTAGGTCTCTGCCTCCAGTCTAGCCCTGCTACGGCTCATCTGCTATACTACAGAGGGATCAATCTTTGTTTTGGTGCTGGGGTTTGAACTCAGGGCCTACACCTTGAGCCACTCCACCAGCCCTTTTTTATGTTGGGTATTTTCAAGATAGGGTCTCATGAACTATTTGCCTTGGCTTGCTTTGAGCCATGATTCTCCTGATCTCTGAGTAGGTCGGATTACAGGCATGAGTCACTGGCGCCTGACTGGGATTGATCTTTCTAAGGCATGGCTTTGGTCTTGTCTCTCTCCTGTTCCCAAACCTTTAATATCTTCCCAGAACCCTCAGATAAAGTCAGATCTACCTGGGCTGGTATTCAAGGCTTCTCCAGGTCTGACCTCAATTCCATCACTCACCTCTTCCTGTCCACTGACTAGGTTCCTGGGGGCGGGGAAGGAAGTCACTGCTGTCCTGAACCTAACATTTTTACAGGAGAGACAATAAACACCTAAGTTACATCAAGTGTGGGACAGAGGGAAGGGCTAAGGAGCAAAGCAAACCAGAGTGAGACAGGGTGGTGATGACTGTGGGGTGTGTATGGTGTTAGGTAGGCGGGGCAGCGTGCATTACAGATGAGGAAACATTTGGCTTCTGAGTAAATTCAGGGAGCAAGCCAGCTGGGTATCTGGGGAAGGTGGTGGGGACAGCAAATCAAAGGCCCCAGGGTGGGAATGTGCTTGGGATGTTAGGGGAAGAGCAAGAAGGCGGTGACCACAGTGGCAGACACAAGGAGATTGGGAGGGGCAAAGCCAGATCATGCAGGCCGTAGATTTGGAAGGTTTGGGACAGCAGTAGGAAATATTCTGACATAGTTTTATAAAGCCACCTTGTCTGCTGTGCAAAACAAACAAACAAACACAGTGCCAGGGCCAAGGATACAGGCACAGGTGAGGTTAGGCGGTAACTAGAAAAACCAGCTGTGGGATGATGGTGGTGACAGGGGGCTGGTGAGATGTGCCCGGTCCTGGAAGTGTTTTGGGGTCAGGATTATCTGATAGGTAGGTAGGGGATGTGGGGTATGACAGAAAGAGAGAAATGCAGCAAGATTCTAAGGCCTTGGGCCTGAGCAACCAAAAGGATGAGTTTGCTGTTTACAGAGATGGGATAACTATGGGAAGATCCAGTCTTGGAGGGAAGATCAGAGGTCTGTTTTGGGACATAGTGACTTTGGGTTGACTAACTGGTATCCAAGTGAAAATGGCCAGGGAGAAGGCAAGCTGGAGTTCCAGGAACAGGTTCCTATAGAGTTTTTTTTTGTTGTTTTTTGTTAGTACTGAGCTTTGAACTCAGGGCTTGTGCTTGCGAAGAAGGTGCTCTGCTGCTTGAGCCACCTTCAGCCCCTATATAGAGATTTGATCTGGGAGTTGAGAGGGGACATTTAAAGTCAGGGATGGGATGGGGTGACTTAGGTCCTTGAGTCTAGGGAGTAAATGCAGACCAGGAAGAGGTCTGAGCATTTTTAAATGTGGCCTGTTGTCCACATGGGCACTCAGCTGCTCCATCCATATTAAGGTAGTAAGGTTACTACTACTAAGGTTACTACTACTAAGGTAGTAAGGGCACATTAAAGTAGTAAGGTTCCTGGTGTGCATGGGGCACGCACAGTGCTCATATGTACATGGCAGCTCTTCTTACCTGGTCTTTGGTGTCCACAAAGCTAATTGTAAAGCTTGCACCAATAAACCTTTCAGATTTCAGTCCTAAAGATAGCCCTAAGTCCTAGGGGGTCTTTAAGTGTGCCCTAAGCCTCATCAATCACAATTCTATAAGCTCTGTCAGCCAAGCGCTCCCTCGTGGCTCATCCCTCTCATCCTGCAAATACTTACTGAGCATCAGGGCTTGCGCCTGAGCGCTTGGTGAGACAGAAAACACACGTGCAGTGGGGTAAACGACCTGGGTTCCAATCCCACTTCTGCCACGGAATACTCGTATAACCCTGTCCAAGTGAGCTAACTTTTTACATCTCCTCATCTGTGAAATGGTGTCATAAGCTCAGTTACCTCATCATATCCATACCGGATAGGGAGTTAAATTGTTGATACCTAACAGCAGCCATAGTAAGGCTATAAAGGACCTGGGGGCAGATGCGAGGCACAGGACTGGGAGTGGAACTGAGGGTGGCACTAGACACCTGCTCACCGCTGCCTGCCCGTGCCTCTGCTGCAGGACATGGTGACCTACTTCATGAACCTGAGCCAGGCAAACGCACAGGAGACCCCGCACTGGGAGCTCGAATACCGCCTGACAGAGGCCTACCGCGTGCCAGACGCAGGCACCCGCTCCATGCACACGGCACTGACCCGCATCGCCAGCGACTCAGACACCCTGCAACGTTACTACGTCTACAACTCTGTCAGCTATGACACCGGGAAATGCAGCTTCTCCTGCCGCGTGGAGCACACGTGCGCCATGCAGCACGTAACCTTCCACGCTTACACTGCTTGTCTGCACGGCCCAGGCACTGCGCTTGCGCCGGGGCTCGAGAGCCTGCTGGCTGTGCTGGTGAGCCTGCCCGTGCTGCTAGGGCAGTGACCTTGGGCGACACCACTGGTTTGCTGGGCTCATCTTCCTCCACGTAAAGTGAGGCCGCATCACTCCATTGAGAGCTGGACTCTGTCACCATCACCCCCATCGGGAATGAATTGGGAAGGGGCGGATGGATAAGGAAATGAAGTCCCCAAACTCCCTCCCCCCAGAAGCACATTTCTTTCAAAGTTCCCGGTACATCTTGTTTCCTGCATTAATTTTTTTGAATAGATAATGTTTAAACTGACTCATTTGTGGTTCTAAACATCCTACCCTCCCCACACTCGTCTGATAGGTAGCAGTTAGACCTGAGCGACGGGGACATGCAAAGGGAACCTAAAATGGAGAACCCTGAGTTCAGTGCATACGTGCTGCAGGCCCCTGCTCTCTCTTCCTCCTGGCCTACTTGCTGGTCTGCCGCAAGGTGAACTTTTCTCCACCTAGGTGCATTCACGTCCTTGTAAACACCTGCAAAACATAAGCGACTCCGGTATGACCAATAGGGAGGAGGCCTGGTGCTGCCGGACTCTCCAAGATCCATCTTGCTTTGGAATGGATGTACATTATTATGTCTCCCCGGTTCCAAGTGAAAAACAAGTTCAGGTCTAAGCCTGTTAAGGTAGGCTCCTTTGACGGAGAGAGTTGCCTTTTGCTCATTACCATGTCATTATAATCTCATTGTACTTTAAAATGTTCTTTCCCCTCCCCCAAGTTTTTATGGGTAGGCATGGGTAATGGCATGCACAGAATAACTCTTGTGACATGTCAAGCACTCTCTGTGGACTGGTCCTGGGGAGAGACTTGAAGCTCCAAGCCCCCCAAACTTCGGTTGAAACCTGTGATGGGGTGCAGGTTGTCATTGTCTGGATCTCCCTTCTGAGACTATAATGTGTACTTAAACTGCTTTTGCTGAAAAGCACTGATTCTTTACTTGGGCCCACGAATTAACCAAAAACAGAAGCCAGGTGCTGGTGGCTCATGCCTGTAATCCTAGCTACTCAGGAGGCAGAGATCAGGAGGGTCGCAGTTCAAAGCCAGCCTGGGCAAATAGTTTATGAGACCCTATCTCGAAACTACCCATCACAAAAAAGGGCTGGTGGAATGGCTCAAGGTGTAGGCCCTGAGTTCAAACCCCAGTACTGCAATTAAAAAAAACAAAAAACCAGGAGAAAAGCTTGGCATATCTATTCTTTTTTTTTTTTTCTTTCAGTACTGGGGTTTGAATGTAGGGCCTCACACTTGGTAGGCAGGTGCTCTTACCGCTTGAGCCACTCCACCAGGCCTTTTTTTGTGTTGGGTATTCTCGAGATAGGGTCTTGTGAACTTTTTGTCCAGGTTGGCTTCGAACTTCGATCTTCCCCATCTCTGCCTCTTGAGTAGTCACTATTACAGTGCCTCCAGCACACAGTGGTTTGTCTCCATTTGTATCTGTCTTTGCTTTAAGCATTTTCTCTGTAGTCATTTTATAATTATTTTGGGTTCCAGGAAGGACAGATAGGTAACAGATAGTCCCTTTATGAGGGACTGCAACTACCCCCCAAGCAAGTGAGCCCTGCATGACAGACCTGGAAATGAGGGCAATCACCTGGAGCTGGAGTAATCACTTCGTGGAAACTAGATTGCTTCCTTCAAGTGATGACAGCAATAACTTCTGCTACTGTCTCTGACCACCAGAACACACCTGTGACTGGTGCTGTTTAACAATTATGCATATGTTTTTCTCCCTGCCTTATTTCTTCGTCTATACCTAAGGCTCATGACTGCACTCCAAAGATGGCTGAAGATGAACTGAAGTGCTATCTTCCCATGGCTGCCCGCACTATGTAATCTCTCTCTACCCTTCACTATTATTCTCTCTTTATTGGTAGTAAGGGTGAATGCCTGGGGCTGACACGTGGAATGCCAGGGGTTTGGGCTGGGGCCTAAACTTCTAGTTTCAAGACCACTTATGCTGGGTGCTGGTGGCTCACGCCTGCAATCCTAGATACTTGGGAGGCTGAGATGGGGAGAATCGAGGTTTGAGGCCAGCCAGGGCAAAGAGTTGGCAAGAGCCCCATCTCCAAAATAACCAGAGCAAAATAGGCTGGAGGTGTGGCTCAAGCGGTAGAACAGATGTTTTGCAAACGTGAAGCCCCGAGTTCAAACCCCAGTTCCATCAAAAAAAAAAAAAAAAAGTAAAAAAGTGCCTTTCTATTCTAATAAACTTTACCATCACTTTCACTACGAACCTAGACAGCTGCGCTGACGTCGGGTAACACTGGGATCATGTAGATGCCTCCTTTTCCATCCCGTGCTCTTGGCGAACGCCCCACTCGGGGCCTGAGCTGCGATCACACGTGGCTTGCTAATCCCGCCGTAGGGATCAGAAGGAGCCTTTACGTTTCCTTCTTTGATTTTGCAACAATTCAGCTTGAAGAGGATCGCAGCTGTGGCGGGCTTCTAGTCTTCGTGTCATTCCCGCCTTGGGCCTCCAGGCGCCTCAAAGTAAAACTCTAGGCCACTAGAAATCTGCTAGGCGGAGGGCGAGGGTCTTGCGGGACGTCGCGGTCGGCGGGGTTGGGTCGGGGGATCCCAAAGGCAGGTGGCAGGGCCGGATCTGGGGGACCGGCTACCGGCTGGGGTTGGGGGCCTGGGGTGCGCGCGCCTCGCTCCTCCCGGGACCCGGAGCGAACGGGGAAGTCCCGCCCCCTGGGCCCCGCCCCTCGGGCCCCGCCCCCTTCCTGCCCCGGCGACCCCTGGCCGAGGGCGGGGCCGAGGCGCAGAGGGGAAGGCGGGGGCCGAGGCGGACGGGCCATGCCCTTGTCGCCCCGAGCCGCTCTCCTTCGGGACCTGGTCTTGGGCGTGTTGGGCACCGCCGCCTTCCTGCTGGACCTGGGCGCCGACCTGTGGGCCGCCGGCCAGTACGTGCTCGGTGGGCGCTACCTGTGGGCCGCACTGGTGCTGGCGCTGCTGGGCCTCTCCTCGGTGGCTCTGCAGTTCTTCAGCTGGGTCTGGCTGCGCGCCGACCCCGCCGGCCTGCACGGGCCGCAGCCCCCGGGCCGCTGCCTGGCGCTGCTGCACCTCCTCCAGCTCGGCTACCTGTACAGGTGAGCACCCCGCCCTCGGGAAGGGGAGGGGGCGGCACCTCCTGCCGCTGGCTGCTGGGGACAGGGGAGGCACCTGCCACCCGGAAGCGGGTGGGTAGGGAGGACCGGCTCCGGGAGGAGAGGACCGGCTCCGGGAGAGCTCTACCCTTGGGGACAGGTGAAGAAACAGGCTCACAGAAGACAGGGGGCTTTGGAGTCAGACTTCTCTGACATCCAAGGCTGGCTGCGACCTCCTTTCCGAGTTTGTTTGAGCCTCGGTTTCCTCCTGTATCAAAGTCATGTAGAGAGGAGTGGGAACAGAGTGAGGATATGCCCGCATGGTGCTGGCCCGAGTTCTGTTCTTTTACTCATGGATAGGGCCTTGGGGCAAACCACGGACCTCTCTAAATCTCAGTTTACTCATATTTCCAGTGGGGATGGTGAGAGTGCCTACTTCTGTTTTGTGAGGTTAAAGAAAATGTTTGTAAACTGCCACTGCACAGAGAAATCATTCAACAAATGCCAGTGAGCTTCCTTGTCACCTGAACCATCCTGCAGTTTCAGCAGCCCCCACTCCAGGACCGTGCTTGGTCCCACTCGCCCCTTCTTTCCCAGTTGTATTTTTCTCCCCACACATATGCTTCCCAGCCCCAGAGCAGGCAAGAGGGCAGAGGGAGATGGGGTCTGACTCACCCATGCCCCTGGAGTCAGCCATGGCTGGGCACAGGCTGGGACTTGGAAAATGTGTGTACAGTGTTTCTTTTCACAACTGGCAGGGTCCTGAAGAGAGGGAGAAACTGAAAGCCAGGGTTCAGGGTCATGGGATGAAGTGAGGCTGTCTTTGTTCTGGATTGGGACAAGTGGCTGGAGCCAGAACCAGCTCTGAAACTCATTTTTATAAACTCCAGATCTGGCCTTGACAAAGCTGCATCGTCTCCAGCAGTAGAGAGAAGCTTCGAATGTTGCTCTTTTGCCCGAGAAACTGACTGTACAGCCTCACTCCCACGGGTGTGAAGGGCACAGTTGTCCCAGTCCTGGGCAGCCCTGCATGGGCCCTGCATTTGTGCCTACCTCATACATTCTCCGTTCTGCTTCTGCTGAGCTTTGGGTTTGAAAACAGGGTCTCTATTCCTGCCTGTGACAAGGCTGAGATGGAGTCCCCTTTTGGGACATTGAGGGACCAAAGGCAGACATTCCTGCAACAGAGAACCCCAGCAGGGCCTGTTCTTAGTGTGTTATCAGGGCCGTTCAGGGAAGTGACAGTCCACTTCTGATGAATGAGTTTGCAGTGAGTGAATGGGCTCTCCTCCCTAGAGCCAAATGAGCTCAGCTCTGGAGTGGGATGGTTATATCGTGCCTCCTCCACTCCCCCACTCATGCCAGTGCCTCTCCCAAGCCTGTCTGCCCTACCTCTGGGCTCCCCCGACTTCGCCCCCACCTCTCTGGGCCACACTCATGTCCCTTCTCCCTGGACTGTTCCAGCCACTTCTTAAATAGCATCCCTGCTTCTGCTCTAACCCCTCAAACCTGTCCTCCTGCCCATGGCTGGCACACTCTTCCCAGAGAACAAGTGACTCCGACTTGCCTGAGCTTAGAAACTCTGATGCTCCCTCTGCCCACAGAAGATTCCCAGGCATACTAATATTGAGAGCTATTGCCTTGGACAACTTTTTAGCACGCCTTTCCAAATCAAACAGTTTGGGGGCCCAATCCTGATTCCCCCACTGTTAGCTTCCTAGTGCCATCCCCCATCTGTAAAGTGGGGCTCTTGTGAGAAGTGGACAGGACAAGGGTGGTGATGTGCTTGGGACAGTGCCTGAGCGACAGGAGTAGAAGCTGTATTTAACCCCACTTTAGTGACGAGGAAACAGGGTCAGTGAGGTTAGGTGGCTTGCCCAGGGCCCCATAGCATGTAAGTGACAAGCTGGGACTGAAGCCTGTCTGCCTCCATCGGTGGGTAGGAGAGCCAGGAACTCACAGGACACTGACCTGGCCCTGTGGGCATTGTGTGTGCTGCCTAGGTGCCTGCAGGGGATGTGGCAGGGGCTGTTGGTGTGGCAGCAGGAGGCGCCCTCTGCGTTTGACTTGGCCTACGCCGACTTCCTCTCCCTGGACATCAGTATGCTGCGGCTCTTTGAGACCTTCTTGGAGACGACGCCGCAGCTCACGCTGGTGCTGGCCATCGTGCTGCAGAGTGGCCGGGCCGAATACTTCCAGTGTGAGTGCTGAGTCAGCGGCCACCCTCCTGTAAGGCGTGGAAAAGTTTTCCTCCGGTGTCAGCAAGGTTTTCACTCTTCTAAAGGCTGCTGAGAAATGGGAGATCAACCTTTAGGCAATAGATCTGGGTTCAAATCCATAGTCATTCTCTGAGTATCAGTTTGTTCTCATCTGAAAAATGAACATTGCAAGCGTTCCCACCTCACAGGGTGACAAAGTATTAAACGAGGCCATGCACATGCAGCCCAGCACCTGGCAGTTGTACTGTTATGGTGGTCAAGCATCACTGGCCACACTCAAGTTTTTAATTGAGCATTTTCTTCTTTGCCTGTCACTGCTGGGGACACAGCAGTGAATAAGATGCACAGAGCCTCCGCCCTGCCAGGATGACAAACTGTAAAACAGGTCGTTACAGTAAGTGTGCTGAGTGACCAGAAAAGGGAGAGGCAGGTGGCAGAGGCTGGCAGGGCCTAATAAACCATGGGAGAAGTTTGTACAATGAATACGCTCAGGAAGAGTTTCCCAGAAAAGAGAAGTGACTTGTCCATGGCTTAAGGACCCAGCCAGGGGCCACGCTAGTCTTTACCTTACATCTGATTTAGGGCCTGGGGTTCCCCTTGGCATTACCAGTGTGGCACACTTTAAGGCCCCTTTCTATAAATGACACAGCCTCCAAAGGAACCTGGTCCCTGCCAACACCCACAATGTCCACCACCTCCTTACATGGGGAAAGAGGTCAGGATGGTGAAGTGGCTTGCCCTGGCTCACTCGGTACTCACAGGACAGATGTTTTTGTGTGTCTGTTTGAGGGTGGTTAGTGTCTAGGGGCAGGGCCAAGTGCATGCTGGATATTGGACTGGGGGAGACAGATTTCTTCAACTTTTTATTTAGCAGACGTGTGTTATGTGCCAGGTACTGGGCTGTCTGGGGATTCCAGGTGAGCAGAATCTTTTTATTCTCGGGGAGCTCAGAGAAGCACTGTGTGATAAGACTCCAGGCTGATGTGACTGAGGTGTTACAGGGAGACCTGACACAGTGGAGAGGGTGGGGTAGGGTCAGGATGGGTGACCCTAGGGGACATTCAATCAGGGGTTGGTAGGGTGAGGATGGGTAGGCCCAGGGAAGTGGGTCATGTGCTCCAGCTGACCTAACAGCCTGACAAAGTTTGCCAAGGTCAGAGAATGCAGCATGCTGGGCTAACAGGGAAACACCAGGCCTGCTGAGATGGACGGGTTGGTAGTTAGAGAGGTGATGGCCATAGATGTGACACCAGGCTGGGGATGGTTCTGGGCGCACAACAGGTTCCCAGGAAAGTTCTGTCGAATGGATGAGGAAGGGAGCAGGGTAAGACACATTTTAGAGTTCCACCTTCCTCTTTCCCTGGAGAGCCTGGTGCTTCCAGTCCAGGGGGACAACCAGGAGGTTGGTAAGAACCCTAGCACAGACTTCTGGGTCTTAGAAAATTGGGACCATGGACCAGGCTGCACATGGATGGGAGTGAGGAGAGACCTTTGCCACACAGCAGGACATCCCTGTAGTCCTGAGGACAGCTGCAGCTGGAGGCTTGTTGCCACCTGTGGGATCTCCTGCCTCTTTTCTGACTTGAATGAAGAAGGCCTATTGATTTTCAGACCCAAGAAAGCTTGGGCTCTCCTGGGAAAGGAATGGTTATAGGGTGGGGCCCTAGAAGATGCTTCGGGTACAGACAAGGCCCAGAGGTGCCAAATGCTAGGCGACTCTAAAAATCACACACATACCCTCTCATCCTTGAAAAATGTCACCATGATGGCATCTGAACGGAAAGCATTGTAATGAAGGGTGGACTCTGTGTTTGAATCCCTGCCCTCTGTGAACTCACTGAGTGTTTTCCCTGGTAGTTTTCAACTTGAGCTGATGGGGAGTCCTAAGATCTACCTCAAGGCTGCTCGGAGGGCTCCCAGGGTACCTGTGAGTATGCCATGCAGGCTGCCAACAGGGTTCACCTGATTCCGCTTCTTCTTTATAGGTGTTGGGATCTGCACATCCTTCCTGGGCATCTCATGGGCACTGCTGGACTACCACCAGGCCCTGCGCACCTGCCTTCCCTCCAAGCCCCCCCTCGGCCTGGGTTCCTCCGCCATCTACTTCCTGTGGAACCTGCTGCTGCTGTGGCCCCGAGTCCTGGCTGTGGCCCTGTTCTCAGCCCTCCTCCCCCGCTATGTGGCACTGCACTTCCTGAGTGTGTGGCTGGTGCTGCTTCTTTGGGTCTGGCTTCAGGGCACAGACTTTATGCCAGACCCTGGCTCTGAATGGCTGTACAGGGCAACAGTAGCCATCATCCTGTATTTCTCCTGGTTCAACGTGTCTGAAGGCCATACCCGAGGCCGGGCCACCATCCACTTAGTGTTCCTCCTGAGTGACAGTGTTCTGCTGGTGACCACCTGGGTGACTCATAACACCTGGCTGCCCAGCGGGATCCCATTGCAGATCTGGCTGCCCGTGGGAGGTACCTGCTTCCTCCTGGGTCTGGCTTTGCGCCTCATCTACTACCGCTGGCTGCACCCTCGCTGCCGCTGGGAGCCTGACCAGGTGGATGGGGCCCGGAGTCTCCTTCCCCCGGAACGTGGTCAGTTGCCTCAGAACAGGCGTGTGACTCAGTTGGCACGGAACTTTTTCCCCAAGGCTACGGATGAGGCTGCTTTGCCAGGGAAGGAGGAGGTGAATGGGGGCCTTTGAGGCTGGGTAAGACCCAGTCACAAGGCACTCACGGTGAACAAGAGGGGAAGAGCTGGGCCAGAGGGCCAGTGGTGCCAACTGTGGACAATTCACATTGGGAGGGAAGATGAGAATGCCTTTTCTTTTTCTCCCCAGCCACTCTCACTTCTCTGGCCACCTCTAAAGTAATTGGTGGTGGTGGTGGTGGTGTTCCACCCCCTTGGTTCCCTATCCCAGGCTCGAAAGCCCGGGGCCTCTGGGGGGCGCTCTCTAGGACTCTTCCTGCCATGCGCCATTTGTTCACTTTATTCAGCAAATATTTACTGACAGCACTTTATGTGCTAGGAGCATCATTCTACCTTTGGAACCAGCTGCCACCCTAGCTTCATCCCCTACCCACTCCTGGGTAGGTTCTCGAAGGCTGGAGGCCAGGGTGCCCAGCTCTGTGTGGCTCCTGCCAGCCCCGCCAAGGTCTTGATGCAGCTGGCCCAGTGCCTATGGACCTGTCGTGGTCCCAGCCATGCACAGCCAGTGGAGTCTTTTGCATGCTAGCTACTGTATCTCCTACCTCAGTCTGTGTGAGATGAAGAGAATGTGTGTGGACATGTCACTAAGTGGGGACGTGGTATTTTGTTTAACAGTATTATTAGGTTATTAAAACTTGTGACTAAAACTAGACTGTGTCATTAAATATTTGCTACCTCCTCCTGGAAAGAAGGGGCAGGGATATGAAGCCTCTTGAAGTTGGTAAAGGCCCCTGGAACAGAGGAGGGCAGGTGGGCGGGTGGGCTGGCTTAGGTGTGACTTCACCTTGCTCTCCAAGTTTCAGGAGCTGGCGAGCCAGTGTGGGGGTTGCTCATTGAGCTGGGCACTGGACCCCAGGTCTGGGCAAACTCTAGTGCATTCCTTTACCACCAGCTCTGATGCTGGGCCTGATGGGAGTAGCCATAAGCATTGTCAGGGAATGCAATGGCCAGGTGGAGAAGGGGCTCTGCTGGGAGCTCTTGGAGGTTAGGTGATAAGGGGGCTTATGGGTAAGTGGGAGGGATGGTTCTGGGGAGGTGGAGCCTTTTGCTGCTCTGAGAGGTCTATGGTTTAGAGAAACAGGACAGAAAAAGGGTGCTGGAGACAAGAAAAGGTTCCAGTCACCAGTGATGGGATCCAGGATAGTCATTTCTGTTAGTTCTTCATTTATTTAGTGGAGACACAATAAACAGGTTAAGTAAGACAGTTTATCAGTGTTAAGTGCTAAAAGAAAAATAAAGGAGATAGAGAGAGAGAGAGAGAGAGAGAGTGTGTGTGTGTGTGTGTGTGTGTGTGTGGTGTATCTGTTGGAGGCTGGAGTTACAACTTCATATGGAATGGTCAGGGAGACCTCCCTTAGAAACTGAAGCTCTAAAGAAGGCAAAGGAAGCCCGGCACCAGTAGCTCATGTCTGTAATCCTAGCTACTTGGGAGGCTGAGATCGGGTGGATTGAGGTCTGGGCAAATAGTTCTTGAGACCCCCATCTGCAGTATAACCAGAGCAAAATGACTGGAGATGTGGCTCAAGCAGTAGAGTGCCTACTTTGAAGTGTGAAGCCCTGAGTTCAAACTCTAGTCCCACCAAAAAAGAAGGCAAGGGAGAGTATGTTAGCAGAGACAGTGACAGTAGCCTGTGGCCTGTGATGAGATAAGAAGGAATAAAGCCTGGAGAGTCTTGAACTACTGAGGAAGCAATGTTGCAAACACCACTCCTCACTGAGGGCGGCCATTCCACTGGGTGAGGAGGGCTTGTAGCAGTGCTGTTGGCCTGGAGCTAAGGAGATACTGAGATGCAGGCTGGGGCCACAGAGGCATTGGTCACTTTCACATTCTAGTGATTTCCTGACTTTTTTTTGGTGGCACTGGGGGTTGAACTCAGGGCCTTGGACTTGCTAGACGTGTGCTCTAGCACTTGAGGATTTCCAGACTTGAATTCCATGATCAGTAAAAGGGTCAACGTGGTTGCCACCTTAACGTTAACAAAAAAGGACATTAAAAACAATCACTATCTTGGCCAAGCATGGTGGCTCACTTCTGTAATCTCAGCTACTCAGGAGAGGGAGGATGGAGGTTCAAAGCCAACCTGGGCAAAAAAGTTAGTAAGATCCCATTTCAACAAACAAGTGTGTTGGTACGTGGCTGTAATCCCTTTAGGCAGGTGGTGTAGGTACAGGGATCATGGTATGAGGCTGGCCCTAGGCAAAAGTGAGACCCTACTTGGACAAAAAAAAAAGGTTGGAGATGTGACTCAAGTGGTAGAGCACCTGCCTAGCAAGCACAAGGCCCTGAGTTCAAACTCCAGTACTGCCAAAACAAACAAAAGCTTTTATCTTCATTGTCTCATAAAACAAATTAATTACCTTAGAATAAAGGGTCCATTCTTTTACCTGAATACATGTGAAACATTCACGCACACACTCACACACCTAAGGTCGTTGTCATTTTCTTCCATGGTCAAGACTTACAGTGGGCAGGCTTGGCTTGGACTTAGTGCTCAACCTAGCCTTAGGTGTTTCACCACAGTAGGTCAAACATTTACTAATGTCCTTTTCTCCCAAACTTCTTGTCATGTGCAATATGGCTCAGGAGAAGCCATATTTGCCCCAGTAGAAGACCCAGTGTTTGAGGCAATGCAATTCCCCACTTCCTACCAGAGGAAGTCCAAAAAGATGTTTCTTGTTTCTAACTTGATTTTTGCTAAGCTTCCATCTCCACTCTACATGAGATTATCAAATGATGGTAGTATGTATGCAACTAAAGCCAAATAATGTATCACATTGTGCTACCTAAAAAGCTATAGAACTGACCAATTCATTTGTATTTTTAAAGTTTACAGAATCAAGAATTAAAAAAAATATTACTTGTAACTAGAATTTTAAGACTCCCATTAACAATTTTTTTGAAACCAAGCATAAATTCGTTACATTTTAAAGATGTGAACAGGAAAGTGCGTACTTTGTGGCATAAGGTCTCCTTCAGAGGGGCTGAGGTTAGGGGACAGAGGGCTGCGCCTTGGATGAATGTCAGATGCCCTGGGGAAGCATATTTACTTCCTTCCCTTTCCCCCTCACCTTTGCTGGGGAGCCCTGACCACCCCTCCACTTACTTGCACAGACGTGATCATCCAAGGGCACCTACTGTTAAGAATCTTTTAAACATGAACCTTGTTTTTGAAGAAAAAAAAAAACCCTCGTGATTGCAACTACTTATTTTCTGGGGGAAAATACCTCATAGTTGGACATGTACAGTACTTGGAAGCTAGACCCTAATTCTAATTTCCTTCACTGGGATAAAAGGCAAAAAGGTTTCCTGAGTGTTTTCCAGACCAGTGGGGGACAGTCAGACCCACATCTGGAGAAATAAAATGAGAGAAAATAGTTTATGTGACATGAAATCAGGCCAAAGCAGGTTTGGTATTAGTTTGTCAGTTTCTCTTTTGTTTGTAAATTTTGTTTTTGTGGCTTAAAGCTCAGCACAGCAACAACTGGTTTTTCTTTAACAATTAAAATTCGGCACACTTGACAAAAAGGAAATCTCATTCTGTTCTAAACCTAAAAACAATGTTAGAAACAGTTCAGAAATAAATGTTCCATTGCAAGTTACTTAAACTGTTCTTTTTACTTTTCCATGTATACTTAAATCGTATCAAATGGTTAGGCTTTTTGATAAAATAAATGAACTAGTTATGGAAAGGGTGACATCCTTCTATTGAGCGCTTCAGAATCTTTATGAAGTTTACATTAGGACCCTACATGGCGGGGCAATGGAGCTACTCCTATTTAGAAATGACCCGAGAGAAAACTGTATAGAAAATAAAAACTTTATTTTTTCAAGTTTATAAGATAGTTCCCATTACATAGATCATTATGGTCAAGGATTCTACAGCCATGAATGCCCGCAGTCACATAAATACATCCGATTCAGTCAATGCCTTTTCCTGCTACAAGAGGCATCTGAAGTCCAGAGGGGGAAGAGTCATGTTTGGAGCAGAAGTCGTCCTTAATGGGATGGCTCCTGTCAGTGCATTAGGAGCTAACCAAGGAGCCTTGTTTGCTAGAGCTGACTCAGCAGAGGAAGGACAGGTGGCCTGCTGATGGGGCTGGACACAACTAGATTTTTCTTCCCGTGGTTAAGATATTTGAGAATCTTGGAATTCTGATTTGGTGTGTATGTGGGGAGTTCTGAGTGAAAAAGAAACCAATTTAGTAGAAAAAACAGAAGGCTGCTCAAGAGGGGCCCTAAATGCACCCCCTGGGGAGGAGAGGAAGGCCAAGAGGACAGAGCCAAGCACTGCCACAGGCAGTTTTGTGATACTGACACCCATTCAAGGTAGTGAGCATCTGGGAGCTCCAAGCGCTGTGCTGGAGTTTGTCAAGTGTGCCAATTGGATTCTACCTGGAGCTGTGAGGCTGAGTTTGTGTAAACTGTAAACAAGCCATGGTAGGAGTCTCTTGGGACACTAGCTTTACCCCCTAACTTGCAGAGAAGACAGGAACACCCCCAAATCCAACAACAGCCGGAAGAGGCATCTAAATCTGGAGCAGGCACCCACACTCCTGGACACCACCAGCTGCCCCGGGGCACTAGACAGGGTGATGCTAAGGCACGATCAGTTTTACATTCCAAAGTCCAGTCACCCCTAGAAACAGACATCACCATGAGATGCCCAGATCACAGTACCCAGTGGGGGTAGGACTCATCTGGCTAATTTCATGGGCACTCTTTCCAGTAAGGGGGTCCTCCTCAATGAAAGGATAAACAGTTATCATTTGGCCCCAGCTTCCAACAGCTCTTGATGCTTTCCAGGTCTTTGTACAGGGAATATAAGAGGGTAAGAAGGGCAGAGTTCCCTGGAAAATTTTTGTTAGCAGAGATGATCCAGAAGCTCCTTTTTTCAGTCTATCCTCTGAATGAGGGTGGCAACCACTAGAAAGGAGAAGCTCCTCTGCTCAGACCTCCTCCTTGCCTTTCTTGGCCAAGTCCAAGTTCTTGTAAAGAGCTAAACTGGGCAGTCGAGATAAGAGGGAAAAGGCCATTGGAAAAGGAGTCCAAGTCATACTCTTAAGAGCCTCCAAGCAGTGTGTATATCTGTGAGTGTATGGGTACCATGCTACGCCTCACAAGCCTGAAGCCCAGGGCAAGAAACATAAACAGCTGTAATGGCAATGGGGTCAGGGGAGTGGGGGGAAGGGGGTGTTGAGGCACGAACGCAAAATCCATCCCAGAGCTTTCCGAGGGGGACCAAGCATGGTGGGCAGCACCTGGCAGCTGTGCTGAATACAGACCAGGAAGGCTGGCCTCAGACTCTACCTCCCTCTTCCCACCTCTGCCTGAGAACAAGGCCAAAGAGGTGGCCTAGTGATGGAGCACAAATTTCAGCTCCACTCCCAACCCTTCCTAACTGTAGGTTGCAAAGTATTTCCCATCCGTTCTGAAGGACTGCACGTGCCAGCCCTTCTCCATGGCTATGTGGATGACCCGGCATTGAAAGGAACCTTGTCTCTTTGTGCCACATCTCTGGAGATGGGTATGCAGTATCTCTGGGGACAAGTGATTACAGCTGAGGTTGGTCAAGGACTCCTGCTACTGAGGACCAAGGATGCATCTTCCCCAATTCTGGGGAAATTTGACTGTTGAGCAGGTACCCAGGTTAGTCCTGGAGGATGGGGCATGCAACAAACACAACTTGGCTAGAAGGCTGGGACTAGCGCCTAGGTCCCCACCAAACTTCCCAGGGGCCAGGCTAAGAGACACTCCTACATTTGGCCCAGAGTTAACTTTGCAGGCATGAAGTAGGGGAGCCAGCACCTTCATTTAAATCAGGAAAAGTCTTTCTGACCTTCTGGTTTCCCATTTCAGAATGGGATATGAGAAGGGGAGTGTTCCAGGTAAAACTCTGGGTTTTGACTATAGCTATCTGCTGTCCAGTTCCAGGCAGACTGATGGATAAATACTGCCTGGGATACCCTGCATGTGGCTGAAAGGCTTCCTCCAAGGAAGTAGTTCTAAGCCTATTCTTAGACTTTGACTTCTTGAGTACCATGGGCAGGGACTGGGCAGCTGCATGGAGGTGGATGAGAGGTACCAAGGGCATCTGATGAAAAGGGAAGAAAAGGGGGCTTCTCTGCAGGAGGAGTTAAGTGGAATCTTCTTGTTTCAAGAGCCAAGGAAGTTGAAATTCCCAAGAAGCCTGTGTCTCTCCTTTCCAGATTGGAGGCTGAGTCACATGGAATGTAGCCACTGAATTAGTTAGAAGAAGGCTTAGAATTTACTGCTGAAGGGAAGGGGTTTCCAGGGTTGTGCTACTTGGTTAGAGGGGAAGAACGACTGGCCAGGACACTGAAGCTTCTAGGATGGGAGATACCAGTCGGTGTCCAGTGCCTCACAGATGGAAAGGAATCACTCTTCAGGGGAGCACTGAGCAGCTGAGGGGGATGCTACTGCCAGAGAGGTATTTTAGATATTTCAATCATGACTTCCATGGAAACCTTACATGCCCCTTTCTTGATAGGAAAAAAAGTGTGTATATGTGTGTGTGGGATGGCGCCTGCTTCAGAGACCAGGCCCTTACCTATAAAAATAACATACCCACTCAATGGAAAGAAGCTCTACAGCTAAGAGAGGTTCTTATAAATCTGCTGCATTTACCCATCCACCACACAACTGGGCCCCAAGAATTCCCTTCTTTTTCTTCATTTTTTGAAACAAAACCCAGAAGAATTAAAAGCACTGTAGCTGCAGTAAATCTGTTCTCGCTATCCAACTGTCTCTTGTGCCTTTACAAGCATGGACATGGGGCTGTGGCTCACTCATAGCAAAAATTGCAGTTGTTGGTTCTGATTGTGTTCTCGCCAGCATTCCATGGGGGAGGAGAAAGGGGAGAGACAGAGACAAAGAGACAGAGAGAAGAGACATCGAGGAAGTTCCCAGTTGTTTCTGGCCTCTGGCTCCCTTCAGGAGTGAAAAAGAGCTCATGAGGAAGGTTCTATATTCCAGTTCTTAGAGAAAGTCAAGCTCCAAAGCCTGGTGAAGGGACACTAGGTCTCCATGGTTTGTAATCCTCCAGAAGGGCATGTTGTGCTGGAAGAAAAGGACGACAGCTGGTTAGACCAATTTCTTTGGGGAACATATATATATTTACCCAGTACCCTTTCTTCTATAACCTCTCCCCAAGGGAGGTAGTAATTCCATCTACCCCTGCCCAACTCACAAGGCTTATCATAAGGATGAAATATATTGTATCTACAAGGACTTTGTACATTATAAGACATTTTAACAAAGTGAGAAATTATTAGGTTTTAGTGGTAACTATGCTTTTATGAGAAATATGCCTGTTTCAGCAATTATGTAAGGTCTTCAGGTCAAATAAAATGACCATATAAAATAGAGACGTATAAAACTAATATTGATATAAGATTACGTTGTCTTGCAGATAGTCAATTTACAAACTGTAAAACTACATGGCCCAAATCTTGTCCATGTTTAAGATGTAGCCCATAAAGATCCGGGAAGTGATAATCTCATTATATTATATAGCCAGAATCATGTTAAGAATACTGTGTGGTGTTCTGTAAATCACAACTTCAATGGAGGACTTTGAAAAATCCAAGTGCTGGAATCCATGTTGCATGAAATCTGACTTGTTCAAATCGGATGCAAGTTACTTAGAATGCTGAGGTCCTAGAACACAGTTCTTTTGGCACATAGCTAGCTTTTCTTTAAGTCAACTGCTAATATGTAATATCTTAAAACCGATTAGCACACAGAAAAGGAAGCAGACTGTTATGGTATGCTCAGGACTGCCAGACTAGGACCAGTGTGTGAACATCAGAAATTCTTTTTCAATGGAATAAGGAAGACCGTTACAGCTTTGAGGACCCCACAGTGGAACAGACTACCTGGGAATCAGTGTTCTCATCCTTGGGTACATTTATACAAGGACTACTCTTTGGTCAGACAGGCTGCAGAAAAGATTCCTCACAGGAAGAGGTTGAGCTGGATAAAGCATCCTCCTAAGGCATTTCCCAATGGGCATATTTTGTTCTTTTTTGAAGTGATGGAATATGGAACCCATCTCAGGATTAATGATGGAAGTACCTGTTACAAGGCTAGAAGCTTTTAAGATTCTTGAATGGAGGAGGGGGGAGGTGAAGCTAACAACTTATAGGTCAAACTACATTGGGTGGGTGGGGGGGCAAGAAGTGACCCTCTTCCTCTTTTCCAAAAAGAAAATGGAAGAGGAAAAAAGGAGAAACACTACAAATGCACAACAGACTGCAAAGATTATGTAGTTTCATTGTTTTTAAATTGCATGACGCACAGCCACACAGACTGTCTCTTTACCACACTTACCTGTTTGGCAGCAATTTCTTCATCTCGTCCATCTCCAATTACTACATATGTGACCTTCTTTCCAAACCTTGACACAATTCTCTCAAAGCAGCTCTCCTTTCCTGATGATAAAAGAAATTTCTTGTTAGGGCATTCTTCCCCACCTTCTTTCCACACCAAAGACAAGGGCTGCTACAAGGTTCACCTGACTGTGCTTAGACAGACTAAGTGGCAGCCTGTGCAGTCTGTTTAGCATGGAGTTAGGGGAGGGGATCAGACATCCACTTGGCCCCGCCCAAAGAATGGAGAATTGTTCCATTATGATAACAACTTATTTTAACCTTCACATTGAAGGTAAAGTCCTCAAAATCTTAGCATGAGGATTTTCTAAAAATGGGAGGTTGTGTGAGCTGTAACCACCATCTCCCTCTTCCTGTACATCTCCTGTACGTAACAGCTTACACACACCTTTCTATTTACTCCTTCACTTAATTACCAAAATCATCCAATGAGATGGGTACCATTTCCTCTTTACAGATGACAATGGGACTTCACAGATTTAATGACTTGCCTCAGATCACAAACAAGCTAGTAGCTAGAATTTGGACTTGGGCCCTGACATCAAACCCAGGTTCTGGTCATTGTGCTACAATAAATGATTTTTGAGGGGAAATTTTTCTGTTAGAAGTAAGTAAATTAGAGACAAAAAGCCATTTCCTATAACTCTTCATTTCCCAAAAATGGTCTGTGTCTTTTGGTGGGGAAGGAGCTCCAGAGCAGAACCAAGAAAACCGATCAATGAATATGCCAGTGACATATGTCACATCCAGGAATTTCCCCATTTACTATACTTCGCAGCAGCAAAGGAGATACTGCCACACTAAAATTGACTTTGTGAAATGAATGATTTAAATCCATTGCAGAGAGTTCTAAGAAACATGCCAGTGTATGAAAATCGAAATCTCATCTGGAACCAACAGCACTTAAAAAAATGCAGAGGGCACTTCTGTGGGCAAGTTACTTCATCTGCATAAACAAAAGGAAATTACAGTCTTTGCTTATTCTTCACCATCTCTCATACTTTTATTTCCCTGCTTCTTCAGTTAATCAGGGTCCTGACTTTACTTCCTTCCTCATCCTGCTCTATTAACCTCATTCTTGTCAGATTTTGTGACTGAGCATCAGGGTTCCTGTATAAGATAAAGGTGCTTCTTTCTTCAAGATGCTTGACTGGCGTCTGCTGGAAAACGACAGTAATAATATACAGAGACACTAAGACTAGCAATTGACAAGACCTATACCTCCCACTCAGAAGTCCTGCTTGGTACATCTGAGCGACTATAAGTCTTTGACATCTCTAATGTGCTCTGGGTTTGTCTCTCACAATACAAGACTTGGCATAGGAGCACTTGGGTGCTTTTACATTTTACAGTAGCAGTCATGCCTTACATTCATTTCTTTGTTGAAGCAGTCAACTGCTACTGCTGAATAAATGCACATTAATCTCACAAGTGACACAGTGAGGACTCAGGAGCCATGTATTGAGCCCCAAATTAGCTCAAACATTAAATAATTCAACTAACAGTGAAGTCTTCTTCTCCTTTTTTTGGGTGGGACTGGGGTTTGAACTCGGGACTCTGTACTTGCAAAGCAGGTGCTCTATTGCTTGAGCCACACCTCCAGCCCACTTTGCTCTGGCTTAGAGATGGGGTCTTTTGAACCATTGCTCTGGGCGGCCTCAAACCTTGATCCTCCTGATCTCAGTCTCCCAAACAGCTCAGATTACAGGCATGAGTCATTAGGCTGGGCTCAACAGTGAATTCTTACTATGTTTTTTGTCTAATTCCATTCCAAACATTACAGCCTTAAAAACTAAGCCAACCTCTGCCAAACCCACAGTCTGGTATGATCTGCCCTAGAGAAGGACTTTTTTTTTTCAGTACTGGGGCTTGAACTCAGGGCCTTCACCTTGAGCCACTCCGCCAGCTCTTTTGGTGATGGGTATTTTTGAGATAGGGTCTCACAGAACTATTTGCCAGGGCTGGCTTTGAACTGTGATCCTCCTGATCTCTGCCTCCTGAGTAGTTAGGATTACAGGCGTGAGGCACTGATGCCTGGCTTGAAAAGGACTTCTGATCAGATTTCAGACTTTTCCCTAAGACCTAACAAAAGGAACATCTCATTTTTATGGACAAGGACATAGGCAAATTTTCATTGCCTTGGCATGTACTACTCAAGGATGAAATACAGTCTGGAATGTCTCTTTTATAAGGATTAAGAGACTTAATCAACAGTTCAAAGTAAAGAAGTAGCTATGTACGTGAAGAACTGCCCCCCATAAAGAGGGCACAACACTTCTATTTGTACTCTGAGAACCATCCTCAGTATGAGTTTTCCTGTTCAGGAGGATGAGGCCTGTGACAGGCCAGTTTACCAAATGTTGAGCAACTGAAGCTGGTGAACCAAGCTTCAAGGCCAACCAAGGCTTTGGAGAATATTTCTTCCAGGGTCTCCTCTATCAAAAACACTGACATTTTCAGAAATTATTTCAAGAATTCTCTTTAGTGTCCAAGATTACAGAGTGATGATTAAAAGAACCATAATTTTGAAATAATTTCAGAAGAACTGAAAAAATATCTCCTTTCCTTGTTCCCATTTCACAGTTCTGTGAAGGAAAGCCTCCTCCTCTCACAGTGCTTACCATAGCACCAGATCCCACTGGAGCTTCACAAATTAGCTCTGGGTGAACTGTGTCAGAGGGAATAAAATAATTTCCATTAATTTGATAAGCCTATAGGTGCAGGATTCATTATAGTGAGCATTACGGAAAGTCTACTTCTTAGGTGTGGAGAATCACAACCAGGACGGCTCCAGGTTCTTAGGACGTGTACAGCACAGCGGCAGAGGCAATAGGTGAGGGAAGCTTTCAAGTCTGTTCCCCTCATCTTTTGTAAGTGAAATATTCAATAATGCAAAAAAAAAAAAAAAAAAAAAAAGCACAGAGAACAAAACTCCCAAATGCCTGAGTAATTACTATAACCTACTCAGTTTTGTCAAATCTTAACAGTTCATCATTGATTTAGATCAAAAACAAAAAAAGAAGATATTACAGATATACTTGCAATTTCCTATGTACCCCTAAAAATGTGAATTTTACATTTTTTTTTTTTAATTTATTGCAGTACTGGTGTTTGAATTCAGTCTTGTGCTTGCTAGGCAGGTGCTCTACCATTTAAGCCACACTGCCAGCCAATATGTGAACATTTTAAACCTTCATATAAATGTTACATATTCTACATTATCTGTCTGCAATGTATTTTTGTGTTCCATGTGGTTTTCTCATGTTACATCATTTTATCTCATTTACCTTTTTTTTTTCCATTGTGGGGGATGGAACCCAGGATCTTAGGCACACTAGGTTCTTTCACTGAGTCGCACCTTTAGCTCTAGTCCATGTACTGTTAACTATAAAATACAGCACTCCACTGTTTCTATACTTATCTATGTTCTGCTTATGGCCAGGTTCACAGACCAATTATTTCCAATTATTTTCTGTTATAAATAAGGTTGCATCAAAAAAAAATTCTTGCACATTATGTTTGTGAGAATTACTCTGGGGCAAGGATCAGCAAACTTTTTCTGCGAATATTTCAAGCTTTGCAGGCTACAGGGTTTCTGCTGCAACTACTCACCTCTGCTATGCACTGTGAAATCAGCTACATAAATGAATGGGCAAGGCATGTTAATGAAACCTAACAGAACAGACAAGGGGTAGGAAGCAGACCATGGGCTGTAATTTGCAGAAGCCTGCGCTAAAGTAGAAGTCTGAAAATGGAATTGCTTGATCACAGGGTCATGCACATCTCAAATTGTATTCGACATGAACAAACTGTCCTGTAAGAAGGCAACATCCATTTTCAAGCCTCTATGCACAGCAGTAAGAGCCCTCATCACACCAACAAAGCTTGCCATTGCCATACTGAAATTTTTGTCTGCAGTAGGAAATGCATTACATTTAATTTGCATCTCCTTAATTTGCGGTTTCATTTTATTTTTTTTCCTCTTTCTTCCCACCCCTCCATCCCCCACCCCAGGAGTGCAGGGGATGAGCCTAGGGCTATAGTCTTTCAATTGGTGAGGATAAGGAATTTCTCAAATGTCTACTGACAGTTTTGTTTTCCTTTTCTACAAACTGGCTGTTTCAAAATTTTTTTTGCCTATTTTTCTACAGGCAAAATTGTTTGTTGCTTTTTGATTTGTATATGTTCTTCACAGATTCTGTACACTAATTATCTTAAGTATGTTGCAAAAGTCTTCTCTCGGAAAATCTTTGTCAGTTATTCATTAAGTGATTAATATCCAGAATATACAAAGAGCCCCAAAAATTTAAACATCAAAAGAACAATCCAATAAATAAATGGGCAAGTGAATTAAACAGTTCTCAGAATAAGAAGTACAAATGGTAAATAAACACATGAAGAAATGTTCAGCATCCTTTGCTATAAAGGAAATACAAATCAAAACTATATTGAGAGTCCATCTCACCCAGTCAGAATGGCTATCTATCATCAAAGACAACAACAAATGCTGGCGAGGATGTGGGGTAAAAAGGAACCTTCATACACTGTTGGTGGGACTGCAGACATGTAGTGCTTTTTCTATCACACTACACACTGTAAGAAAAAAGAGTATGAAACTTAAAATGAGGCAAAAATAGATTTTTAAGGTAGAAATTATGTTCTTTTAAATACTATAAGAGAAAGGAGCCTATTTATTAATTTACTAGTTGTAAGTCCTTGAGCAAGTAATATAACTGTTTATACTTCAACTGCCTCATCAGAAATATCACAGCATTGTTGTGTGGACAGTATATATACACTGCCTAATAGAGGAGCTGGCAAATAACACAGGCCTGAGTAAAAAATTTTATTGTAAGGTCAGTGATAAGAAACACAACAGACCCATACCAATTTTGGTAGCACTATAGATGTTTTCAATAGGAAAAATTTCTCCTAGTCCATATAAAAGAACCTTGGCCAGAGCTGGAACCAGCTGGGTGGTAGTGATCAGAACATTCACACAATTCTTCCTAGATGGGAGTAAGAAGGAAAAGAAAAGAAAGGGTGAAACTAAATTAACTTGGAAATAAGAATTCAAACCTACCAACTCTTTAGGATGTAACTATTACACATTAACTTCAAAGAGCACAGTGTTATTGTTTAGTATAAATGTTCAGTTACTACTCTTACTACTTCAGGTTTTGTTTTGTGTATTAAAGGGCAGAGATTCTGCTCTTTTGTTTTTCAGTGGACATAGAGCACAGAGTTAATTTGTGCCTTCTCTTCTGACCCCTGCAGCTCATTGGTAACTTGTTAGCAAAATACCGCTAACTCGTGTCATCACTGATACTGTACTTTAAAAAACAAATAATGGAGAGTTCTTTATTACTGAGAATAATATTTTGTTTAATGGGAATATAACTCAGCACATAATTGAAGTATAATTTCTCTCTGTTCTTTACCTAACAACAACTCAAGATTCTAGAGCCATACTAATTCTACAAGACTTTTATCTTTGCTAGGCATCCAGCTTTCGGTGTCAGTTATACTGTTCACTAAGTTGTCGACCTAGAATTCTTGCTTCGAGGGAGGGACCACAGGGTATTGGTACAGATATGGCTGCATTTATTTTCCATTCTACACTTCAAGCAGAAATTTGCTCAATCTTCTAATGTACCCTTTGAGTCTTGCCCTCTTGAAGAGGCAAGAAGCTTCTTGAAGCTTCCTGTACTTAGGATCTCTGTGATGTATCTCCTACCCGTATTCTTTGAGTCTCTATCTCCTGGGCTGGAGATTATGGGTTACTTAGTTTTAGTTTGTGAGCAAAAAGTAATGGGGGAAAAAGGATTTCACATATATTCTCTTAAAGCTGTGTGCTGTTAACATAAAATGACCTCAATATTTCCCTGAATCATTTAAACACCTCTCACCCCATTTCCCAAACTTATTCTAGAGGGTGGCCTTGCTTGGACTAGAGAAGGAAAGAGTGTTTCTGGAAGGATGAGCTGTAAGAGAGTCATTTCCATACCTGGACTGGATGAGAAGCAAAGATTTTAATGCAGTTCCTAACCAGGAATCTGTTAAAACTTCGATTTCTGCTCTTAATCTCTGCAATGCTTCCTTTCTCTGGGGACTGAGGAGGCCTTTGGGAATAAAATCAGACATGTCTATCATTTGGCAACACATATTTGATACTAAGAAGGCAACTTAAAAATTCAGCAGGTTGTTGCGGCCATGCCTTTGTAGGGGATATTATGACTCCCACACCTTTTCTTTCTCCCTATTTCTGCCTCCCACTGCCATGTCATGATCAGTTTTTCTCTACCATGACACCACAGACCCAAAACCACAGGCCCAAGGGACCAATATTGAAACCTCTGAAACTGTTGAGCCAAAATAAATCTTCCCTTCTTTTAAGCTGATTATCTTAGGTGTTTTGTTACCAGTGATGGAAACTAACAGAGAATACATTTCCTTTAGAAAGGTATTTGTCTCAAGAAACTTTTTGAGGGCTGGCAGAGTGACAAGCATATGGCCCTGAGTTCAAACTCCAGTATCATCAAAAAAAAAAAAAAAAAAAAAAACTTTTCGAAGTCAGGTTAAGAGGAATTAGGAATGCAGTTTCCACTATTATTCTATTTATCCTAGTGTCTATCAAATGTGCAGAGCTTCTTCCCCAAAGGGTTTCAATCAGACTCCCACATTTGCTTTTTTTTTTTTGAGACTGGGGTTTGAACTTAGGGATTCTACCACTTGAGCCACAACTCCAGTCCATTTTGCTACCAGGTTTTTTAATATACTGAGTTAACATGTTACTGTGGCATAAATTCTTAAACAGTTGCCAGGGAGATTTAAGGAATCCCTGGGAAATAAAGCAGGAATCCAGGAAGAAACGGAGCATTAGACTATTGCATGCTATACTTACCACCCACGTTGCTTTTATGTTTATCATAGATCTCTCTCACTTTTCGGTATCGGAAAGCCAGTTTCCTCATCCAGTCCACACCTCCCTGGACGCCCACAGAGGAACCATGGCTACCACTGCCTCCGGAGCCACTGAAACCATCTGTTGAGAAACTATAGTTGCTGAGAAGAGAGAGGATAATGAAATTAAAATCTACATAGCATGGGGTTTTGGTTGAATGCTATGTGAGATTCTCCATCCTATTATCGGTATCTGATAAATAAAGCTAATGACTTTAAGAATCTTCTCCTTAATCTTTGTATGTCAGAGTCTACCTTTGTCTTCTATCTCACCCCTATTACTTGTATCAAAAAAAGTCAGTGGAAGACTTACTACATGCTTCGCCAAGCCCTAGGTTCAATCATTAGCACAAAAAAAAAAAAAAAAACCTCAGAAGGGAAGGAGAGGTAGAAATAATTTCAGCATCCTCTAGAGGGTCACATGGGATACATCTTTTTTCATTAATGATAAGAGGGGGAAAAAGCAGAACTGATGATCACAACTGAGAAATGTAAGATGAGGCAAACTTTCTACCACTTGAGCCAGGCCTCCAGTCCACAGATGTTTTTCTTCAGTGACCTGTTGGCTAATTTATTAGGCTTATGGGTAGATAGTAAAGTAATAGCTTTAAAATATTTCCACAAATTACTTGCTACTCCTCTCTTTTAATTCTGCTTTCGTTTAGTATGGGTTATAAATAGACTATAAATAGAATGTAGCAAAAGTGACAGTGTTGGACTTCAGGAACTAGTACTTGCTCTGGAAGAAGCCAGCTACCATGTGAGAGGCCACTTAAGCTCTCTCATGGAGAGGTACATGCAATGAGGAACTAAGGCCCGCTTTTTTCAGCTACATGTGAGGTTGGAAGCAGATCTTCCAGCTCTAGTCAAGCTTGTAGTCAAGCCAAGCTCCAGCTTTCAACTGAAGAGACCGTAAGAACTACCTAACTAAGTGGCTTTCAAGTTCCTGACCTACAGAAATGGTGAAATGATACATATTTAAATCTTGGAAGGTATTAGTTTTGAGATAATTTCTTATACCTTAGGTAACAAATACTGTTAAACTGGGAAGGATGAGTACTTTATAAGTAAAGATTTTGGAATGACCAACAGCATTAGAGACAACTTGGTTCAGTTCAAAGTCAAAATTTAATTCAATATATTGTGAGATTATACACCTAAGAAAATAAAACTGCCAAAGACAAAATAGGTAATTTCTGATTAGCCACATACCTAAGAGAAAATAAACACATAAGCTAGGGTTCAGAATGGATTATAAACTGCTGAACACCATGCTTTTTCTTAAAAAGACCAATAAAGTCTCCTAAGAATGGTGCCTTCCATGTGCACCACATGCACAACTGGATGCTGCTCCTGCAAGTAAAATCTTCTGATCTCAGCACTACATGATTAGGTCCTTACTAAGGTGGTATGTCCAATCCTGCTGTGTATTTGAGAATTCATGGATGAAATACTTAATTTTAGGGCAGTTCCAGGGAAGACCATTTTACCTATGAAAAGGGATAAAATATTGAAACAAATTAACATGAAAAGATGACAGTCTTTAAATACAAGGCAGATAAATTTTGGAATAATTCTTAGTTAAGACTACTGGGCCAGAAAACAGTAGCCAAGATAGGAATGAGGAGACTGAGCAAAGATTTTGCCACTGAGACTTTCTTGATTTAGTTTTCAATATAATGTAATGGCCAAGACTATCTTCCATAGGGTCACTCCTGACACCATTAGACTCCCACAGTTAGTTTCCTTGACAAAATCCTTGATGCTTATTTGCATCTAAAATTACATGGTCTAGGCTAGAGGTACAGCTCAAGTGGTAGAGCACCTGCCAGGCAAGTGTGAAGCCCTGAGTTCAAAACCAGTACTGCCAAAAAATGAAATAGACTGGAAGCACATTTTCTCTTGACTAAAAGATCTGTCCAAAGGGAAAATTGTATAACCTTTACTTTGGAGTGCTGTTTCCTCATTTCTTCACTGCTAACCATTCTTGAGGTTCTACTCAAACGCCTCTTCAGTGTTGATATCACCTGTTCCTTACCCCACCAGAATTAACTTTCTTCTCTGTTTCCCACTGAATTTTCTATCTTCACCTTCTCATACTGTATATCGTGGTTAACTTTGTTTGTTTCTGTCTCCTCTAATAGATTGTGAGGTTTTGTTTGTTTGTTTTTGTTTTAATCTTTGCTTTCCTCTGAACCCAGACAGTATACTGCATATAACAGGTGTACTGACATTCAAGACATCATTGTGTTTTTCACCTCAAATCCTGGCCATTGTCATCAGAAGCCACATCTTCCACATGCACCTGGTCACACTCCTATTAAAAGAAAAAATACACTATTTCAGTCTAGGGAGGATAAGTGCTATCACCACTATGACATATTTCTTATTGACCACATCCAATGGCAGGATGATGAAACAACTGACGGTCTCTTTTACGTGCAGAGGAACACTCTCTATCCCCACCCCAAGTTGTCAAACTTCCTTTATGGCCTCATATACATCCCAAAGTCTTCATGAAACCTTCCTTAATTATTTTATCCCTCAGTTCTGCACTTATGTCAACAGTTCATTTCCTCAGCTCACAGGGATAATAAGTACAACCTCTCTTACACTGTCAGATGTATCTATGTCCTACGCTAGACTGCAGATCTTAGATTGTAAGCCTCTTGGAGCAGAACCCACACCATACATCTCCTTTGCATCCTTCTAGTCTGGTCCAGTGTCCTCACATACCATGTGCCCAATTAATTTTTGCAGGTGAAACAGATGCTGATAGGCTATGGTATCAAAACTGAGAATGATAGGAAACAGAAATGCATAAATCCAAACTTAAGTATAAGAACAAGTCACCTAAGTCAATTTCCTCATGTTCTAAAATGGAGGTGAAATGATTTTCTTAGGATCATACAACTGGTGAGCAATGCAAAGAGACTAAAAAGAACCTAGGTCTTTTCTAATCCAAGGTTCCTTCAACCAAGCCCATGCTACTACTGATGTAAGATGCCGCCCACTGCCTAACTGATGGTTGCACTCCTTTGACATCACTAGGGCACCTGCATCAGAATCCTCTGGGGAAGTTTTTAAAAAATGCATATTCTTGGGTCCATCCCAGACCTACTTGAATCAGGACTTCTGAGAGTGAAGTCCTAGAATCTCCATTTTTAAGAAGCTCCCCAGGTGATTCTTATGCCCCCTACAGTTGAGAACCACTGACCTGGGGTGCAGGAACACATTCAGGTCAAATTCTTCACAGAACTTTCAGTCCTGATTGAGGACTATGTCTAGAAAATCATTACAAATACAATTTGGCAATAATTATTGGTACATAGTAGGTTTTCAATAAATGTTTTCTGAATAAAAACTATGCTGTCCTTATTTATCAACATGTGAAGTTGAGGGAAGAGTAAACATTATGGAATTTAGATAAAAGCATTGGAGTTTAGGGCCATATTAATTTCATTTGTTGGAGAACTGCTGAGAACAAGACTGTATGGAAGAGAAATAGGGTTACTTTGTATTTATAAAATGTTATTTTATTTTAAAATTTTTCTCTATTTTTAAAAGCTAGATAATAAGTGTAGTATATAGTTCAGAATTCAAGGATAGGAAGTGAAAATTCTGCCATCTCTCTCCTGTTTCCCAGCAACCCATTCCCCAAGGGAGAACAACTATTGGTCATTTCCTGTATAAGATGACTGCTTAACTAAGGCCTAGGATGGGAACATGACTTTCCCAACTTGAGACTAAACTCTTCTGATTCTTGGATCCTTCCACTATATCATCTTCACCTTGAAGGTGAACTCAAATGACAAAGTCAAAAAATTTTTACCATGAAGCTCTTAGTGTTTCCTGGTTTTTGTAGCACCTAACTATAAAATGATTCTGTATGCCAAGCTTAACATACATGGCAGTAAGAACCAGGCATGGTAATACATGTCTGTAATCCCAACACTCAGTGGACAGAGACAAGAAGACTGTGAGTTTAAGGCCAGCCTGGAATATAGAGACCCTGTTGTCTCATATAAGCAATTAACAACAAAAAATAATGAGTTAAAGTATTTATAGATTGGACAAATCAACAAACTAACTTTGAAGAAGGTAAAATTAAAGAACAGCCAAAATATAACTAACAGAGGGCTGGTGGAGTGGCTCAACTGGTAGAGTGCCTATCTAGCAAGCATGAGGCCCTGAGTTCAAACCCCAGTACCACCAAAAAAAAAAAAAAAAAAATATATATATATATATAAATGTACCTATATATACATTATATGTACATATATATGTATGAAATAAAGGGTATAGATAATAAAGCCCTTTATATATTATTTAATATTGAATAAATTGGAATATTGGTTTACATGTCTGTGTTTTGGCATTTCTCTTAATGCTACATTCAAATAAGCTAACAAAAATCACATTTTTGAGCCAATAAAACTGAAGGCCAGAACCAAAGCTATGGTGATCCACTGGGGTACCATTCCTTCAACATTAGATATTTGTGTCTATGGCCATTAGTCTGTCACCCTTATCCTGTCTAACCATGTATCTTCTAACCATAAACATGGGCTCTCAATAGTTGCTGAACAACACATCTCACTGAAGCACAGAAGCAATTTTAAATCTTACCTCTAAGTCGTTGAAAAACAGATGTGTATCAGCCACTTCAAAAATCATTTCTTCCATTGTTAAACCTGAACCAATCACTACTGTCGGGTCCTGGGAGACAGTAAGAAAAAATACGCTTTCCTTGGTACTCAGCACTAGTTCTGATTTTCAAGTATTTCAAAATTACTTTGGGTCCAGGCCAAAAAAATACAGACCACGATAGTGTGTTAAATATTACTGATAAAATTTCACTTATAATTAATATGAATCTGAAGTTGTGCAATAGAGGACTGGACAGTTAAAAATTTTTAGACTTTAGTTTTTAGAAACTAGTATTATCATAAAAGTAAAGGAAATTCTAACTATTATTAAAATATTGCTATTACAATATATATTATCCCCTCCTTTCCCCTACCACAAATACATTAGACATCTGACAATCTTAATAACCAGGAAGTAAGCCAGGTGCTGGTGGCACACAGTTGTCATTCTAGCTTCTTGGGAAGCAAAGATTAGGAGGATCATGGTTTGAGGCCAACCCATGCAAATAGTTCACGAGATCCCATATCCAAAATAATCAAGAGCAAAATGGACTAGAGGTGTGGTTCAAGCAGTAGAGCACCTGGTTTACAAGTGTGAAGTGCTGAGTTCAAACCCTAGTCTCACCAAAAAAAAAACCCATTAAGGCTAAAAAAAAAAAGTAAAGGCCAAAGAATCAAAATATTCACAGAAAGACCAATGCAAGTTGCTTTAAAATGAATCACCAGAGCTGGCATAGTAGTGAACGCCTACAATCCCAGCACTTGGGAGGCAGGATCACGAGTTTGAGATCCAGTCTCAAAAGCCAAAAATAAATACATAAATACAACAAAAACCAGCACCAATAGGTTAAGAGGGAGGCAGCAGAGAAAACAATTTTTTTCCAGTCCTGATAGAAGAAAGAGTTACAACATACAGTTATCTGCTCATCCTTTCAGAGGAGAGACATCACAATAAAAAAAGAGTCAGATTACCTTTCCATATTTCTGGGCATAGGATCCAGTAAGAAGAGAATGGAAGATGATGATGGTTTCATCCAAGTCCCACAGAAATACCCGCTGAGGGAAGAAAAAAAAAAAAAATGAGTATCTTCCAATCACAATGAAATAAAACAAGGAATAGAGGGAATGAAATAAAACAAGGAAACAGTAATAGAAGGAAAGCTGGAAAATTCACAAACATGGGAATTAAACAACACAATCTGAAATAAACAATGGGGTCAAAGAAGAAATCTCAAGTGAAATTAGAAAATATTTTGAGATGAATAAAAGCACAAATACAGCACGCTAAAAAAATATACAACACACTAAAACTTATGGGATACTGTGACAACAGTGTTAAGAGGGAAACTATAACTCTAAATGCACACATTAAAAAAGAAAGAACAAGGAATGGTAACATGCCTGTAATCCCAGCACTAGCGAGGCAGAGGCAGCAGCATTACAAGTTTGAGGCCAGCCTGGGCTACACAGTGAGATCCTGACTCAAAAAAAAAAAACAAAGAAAAACCAGAAACAAAAACAAACAAAACAACAACCAAACAAAACACCTCAGGAACAAAGAGGGGTAGAAGTACAGCTCAATGGTAGAGCTCATGTTTTGCATGTACAAGGCCCTGGGGTTCAATCCCCAGAACAAGAAAGATCAAATCTATAGCTATATTGCACACCTTAAGGTATACAAATGAACACCAAACTAAACCTAATGCCAACTTATGGAAGGAAAGAGTAAAAGTTAAAGTGGAGATAATTAAAATAGAGAGCAGAAAACAATAGAGAAAAAAATTAACAGTTGGTTCTTTGAAAATATCTATAAAACTGACAACCTTTAGCTAGATTAAGGGACAAAAAAAAGAGAACACTCAAATTATTAAAATCAGAAGTGAAAGTGGGAACATTACTATCAATCTTACAGACATAAAAAGGATTATAGGACATTATAAGAGAATACTATGCTAACAATTTGGATAATACAGATGAAACGGTTTGATTCCCAGATATGTACAACACAAAGTACCTATCCTGATTCAAGAAGAAATTGAATCACTAATTTAAATCATCCCCCAAAAGAAAAGTCCAAGACCAAGTGACCTCACTGCTGAAATTGTATCAAACATTTAAATAAGCATCAGCACTAATCATTCTTAATGTTCAAAAAAAAAAGAGGAAAGAATACTTCCTAATTCATGTGATGAGATCATCAGCATTGCCTTGATACCAAACTATGACATTATAAGAAAACTATAGAAACTTTGGATGCACCCAGTATAACAACATGATAATTAAAAAAAAGAAAAAGACAAAAAATAAAAAGAAAACTGGTGGTAAAATCTCAACAAAATAGCAGCAGATCAAATCCTCCTGATCCCTGACTCCTCAGTAGCTAGGATTACAGGCATCAGCCACTGAAAGAAGTCTATATTACAACAAGTGGAATTAGTTCTCGGAACATAAGGATGGTTCGTTCGAGATACAAAAATTATCTGTGTAATACATTAATAGAGGGGAAAACACACAATAAACTTCAACTGATACAGAAAATGAATGACAAAATTCAACATCCTTTCATGAAAACAAACAAAAAAATACTCAATAATCCAGAAGCAGGAGGAATGTCTTCAACATGATAAAGGCCATATGAGAAAAACCCACAGCTAAGATCACATTTAATGGTAAAAGACTAAAAGCTTTACCCTGAGATCAAGAATGAGAAAGGATACCAGTTTTTACCACTTCTATACAACATAGAGCTGGAAGGTCTAGCCAGAGCAAGAAAAGGAAAGAAAACAAAAAATTCCAATTGGAAAGGATGAAATAAAGTTATTACTGCTTGCAGAAGACATGATGTTACATGTATAAAACCCCAAAAGACTCATAAAAATTGTTAGAGGTAATAAATGCACTCAGTAATCACCCAGTAAATAGTTTCAAAAAGAATTAAATGCTCAGGAATAAATTTAACCAAGGAAAGACTTGTTTAGCATACTGAAAATCATAAAATATTGTGGCAGGAAATTAAGGAAGACATACCTAAATAAATGGGAAAATCCACATTCATAGACTGCAAGATTTAACATTGTTAAGATGGAAATACACCCAAACCAATCTACAGTTTCGATTGAATCATAATCAAGATCCCCAGGGTTGTTAAAAGACACACGAAAACTCACCTTAAATTCTTGTGGAATTTTAAGGGACCCCAACTAGCCAAAACAATCTAGAAGGACAAATGTGGAGTACTCACACTTTCTAATTTCAAAATTTACTACATAGCTTCCAAAATCAAAATACTATGGTTTTAGCATAAGGACAGATTACAGACCAATGGAATAGAGCTGCATATAGAAACAGACCTTCACAAAAATGGTCAATTAATTTTGACAAAGATTCCAAAATCATGCAATGGGGAATGGAAAGTCTTTTTAAAATTTTATTATTATTACTGGTATTATTACAGTGCTAGGGTCCAAACCCAGGGCCTCCTACATACTAGGCAAGCACTCTACACTTAACTACACTCTCGGTGTTTTTCACAGCATCCTGTGAAAACTGGATATTCATATGTGAAAGTATAAAGTTAGATCTTATACCATATACAAAATTAACTCAAAACAAATTAAAGGCCTATTAAAGGTCTAAATTTAACAACCAATAAATCTGAGAAGAAAACAGATGACAATCTTTATAACACTGCATTTTTTTTTTTTTGCAGTACTGGGGCTTGAATCCAGGGCCTACACTTGAGCCACTCCACTAGCCCTTTTTTGTGAAGGGCTTTTTTGAGATAGGGGCTCGAGGAACTATTTACCTGGGCTGGCTTTGAACCACAATGCCCTGATCTCTGCCTCCTGAGTAGCTAGGATTATAGATGTGAGACATTGGCACCCAGCAACACTATATTCTTAAGAGTTATATCAAAAACATAGCAATGAAAAAAAAAAAAAAGAAACTGGACTTGATCAAAATTAAAAACTTTTGTGCTTCAAAGGACACAATCAAGAGTGAAAAGTTAGCCCAATAAGGCTGTACCAGTGGTAGAGTCCTTGCCTAGCAAGCTCAAGGTTCCTGATTTGATTTGATTCATGAGGGGGAAAAAAAATAGAACGTAAGAAAATATTTGCATATCATATATCTGATAAGGGATTAATAGTCTAGAATACATCAAATCAACAAAAAACAAACCTAATTAAAAAATGGGGGGCTGGTGGAGTGGCGGCTCAAGTGGTAGAGTACCTGCCTAGCAAGCATGAGGACCTGGGTTCAAACCCCAGGACTACCAAAAACAAAAACAAAAAAACTTTATATTCTTGGGGCTGGTGGAGTGGCTCAAGTGGTAGAGCACCAGCCTAGCAAGTGTGAAGTATTGAATTCAAACCCCAGTGCCGCCAAAAGTGGGACTTAAAAAACAAAAAAAAAGAAAGAAAGCTATATTCTGATTAACAGTATAAAGAGATTTAAAAGAAAGGAGAAAAAAAGGAAGAGGGAAAAATAGAATGGAAGAAACTATTAAAGAAACAATGGAGGAAAAATTAAAAAAAAAAAAAAAAGGGCAAAGGGTCTGAATAGATACTCTCCAAGAAAATATCTAGATAACACAGGCAAAGATGGTCAATATCATTAGTCATTAGGGAAATACAAATTAAAACCACAATGAACTACTCCTTCATATGCATTAGGAAGGCTTCTATGCTGAAACTGGAAAATAACAAGCACTGGTAAAGATGTGGGTGAAACAGAATCTTTGCGCACTGGAGGTAGGAATGTGAATCTGTAGAAAAGTTTGGTGGTTCCTCAAAATGCTGAACACTGAATGTAACCTAGCAATTCCACTCCTATGTATAAACCCAAAGTGCCCTTTAATAGCTGAATGGGTAAACAAAATGTGGTTTGTGTGCATATATACACATACACACATAGAGGAACATTACTCAACCACTAAAAGGAATGAAATTCTGATATATGCTACAACCCAAAGCATTATGCTAAGTGAAATAAGCCTGACCCAAAAGGACAAATATTATATGATCCCACTTATCTCAGGTATCTGGACTAGGCAGATTCATAGAAGCAAAAAGCAGAATAGTATTTGCCATGGGCTGGGAGAAGGGCAGTATGAGGAGTTTCTCCTGAATGGTTCAGAGTTTGTTTAGAATCATGAAAAAAAAAAAAACCCTGGACATATATAGTGGTGATGGTTATATATCACTGTGACTGTATTTAATGACATTGAATTATGTACTTAAAATGGTTTAAATGGAGCTGGCAGAGGTGACTCACGCCTGTCATCCCAAAGACAGCAGGAAGGGTAAAACAGGAAGATGGTGGTCCAAGCGAGCTTGGGCAAAAAGCCTGGTCAAAATAACCACAGTGCCTTCTTAGCAAACACAAAGTCCTGAGCTCAAAAACTCCAGTACAGTCCCCCTGCCAAAGTTAAAATGCTAAAGTTTTACGTCACATGTATTTAACTACAATTAAAAAAAAAAAAAAAAAAAGTGTGAGTTCTCAGTTTTTCCCAGGAAACATATCAGAATTTCAGTTTCTCTTTCTTCTTTGTTCCCTCCCCAGGAATGAAGAAGAGAGACTCTGAATACAACTTCAATTTACCTGTGTCTAAGAGCACCTATCAATGGACTCACATTTAAATGTATCTTTTTCTTTTTATTAAATAATCACATTGAAGAAAAATTAAAATATAAAAGTAACAAAATAATGTAAAACTTCTAGGATTATTAGAATTCTGTACATCTTCCTAGTCTTCTTAATCATGAAATCAAATGTACGTCCATAAAAAGTTCTGAGTGCTTGTAGCACACAATCAAGTTAATCTCATTAAGCAGTGTGGTCTAGTCCTCTAAACAGACATGTGAATAAGATGTACTGTTCTTTCTGTTCTCTTTTGGGATACAGAGAATAGCTTGTTCTTTTTGTTATCTGCCCACCTGAATTCAGCAAAGCTTTTTCAATGCCTTGGTGAAAGGCATCTGAAGTGGATATGGTCAGTTACGGACATGGAGACATTTTCTTGAATTAAAGGGGACACAACACAGAACCATGAGTTTCAGACATGTGTTTGAGTCACTTAAGTAGTGAAGGAAAACAAAGCAGGCAACTCAAATGAGTTTCTTCCCATACTTCCAATTCACTGTCCTGGGAAGAACTGGCATCAGCTTTCCTCTTGCCCCGGTTTTTGCTAGTCATGTTTTTCCTGGACTGATCATCAGCATCTTTACTTGGTGTAGCCTGGGACAAAGCTGGGCTTGTAGAAGGGTCTCCTGGAAAGAAAAAGCAAGATACACACATACTACCATCAGTCACAGGTTATGAGAAACAGAGCAGGAAGAGAGTCAGCAGATTATTTGGCCTTAACCACAATACAGGGATAAAGTGTGGAAAACTAAACTTTATATAAACAATTTGAAGATACAAGGTAGACACTGAGCATTAACAGTGGCTAACATCACAAAAAGAGTTATAACAAGCTTTATGTACGCTTGCTTCTGCTCAATGAATTTATCTACAAAGGTTTTTGTTTATTATTATTATTTTTTAATGAGGTCTACGTTGCCCCAGGCTGGTTTCAAACTAGTGGGTCTAAGTGATTCTCTTACCTCAGACTCACAAGTAGCTGGGACTATAGGTATTTGCCACCAGGCCCAACTTACAAAATTGCTTTGCTAAAAAAAAAAAAAAATGTAGCTTGAATTTGTTCAAGCTTCCAGATCAGGGTTTCTCAACTTGGCACAATTGGCATTTTGGGCCAGGTAACTTTTTTTTTTGTTTTTTTTTGGCAGTACTGGGGTTTGAACTCAAGGCCTACACCTTGAGCCCCTCCACCAAACCTTTTTTGTGATTTCTTGTTTTTTGAGATAGGGTCTCTTGAACTATTTGCCTGGGCTGGCTTCAAATTGCACAATCCTCCTGAGTAGCTAGGATTACAGGCATGAGTCACTGGTACCCGCTAGCCAGATAATTTTTGTTGAGGGGCTGTCTTTGTGCATTATGGGATGATGAGTTCAGCAGTATTGTTTTCTTCTATTCACTGGATGCCATAGCATCCTCCACCCAATGTGATAACCAAATGTGCTTCCATATATTGCCAAATGCCCTGGGGGCAAAATCACCTCCACTGAAAACCACTATGCTAGATCCATTCAGTAATTTATAGTAAAACACAGAGGGCAGCAGGACATGTTAAATATCCCGTATGAGTGTAATTGACAAAATTAAGACTGGGAAACAGTATGCAACAAACAATTCAGTTTCTTCAATAAATAAATAACAAGGGGGAAAAACTTAGATTAAGAGAGACATAAAACACAAAATATATACCCACTAATCATAATATAGACCTGATTTAGATCTTTTTTCCTCCTCAAATTTTCTATTCATTTCATTCACTCATTCATTTGTTTTTTATTTTGTGTTTTTTTTTTTTTTGAGATAGTATCTCAGTATGTATCCAAAGATGGCAATGAACTTGAAATCCTGCCTCCGTCTCTTAAATGCTGGGATTATAGAAGTGTACCACCATGCTTAAGCAATATCTCCAGCCCTTTTTGCTTTAGTTATTTTTCAGATAGGGTCTTGTATTTTTTCCCAGAGCTAGCCTGACTATAACTCTCCTACTTATGCCTCCCATGTAGCTGGGATTACAGTAATGATCCACCATATCTGGCTAATTTGTTGAGATGGTGGTCTCACTTCTTTGCCAGGATGATGTCAAACCACAGTCTTCCTGATCTCTGCCTCCTGAGTAACTAGGATTACTGGCATGCACCACTACACCTAGTTTTCTTTCTTTATATTTTTTGGTGGTCCTATTGTTTTTTTTTTGTTTTTTTTTTTTTGGTGGGACTGGAGTTTGAACTCAAGCCTTTGTGGTTTGCTAGACAGGTACTCTACTGCTTGAGACATGCCTCCATCCCTTTTTTGCTCTGGTTGTTTTGGAGGTAGGGTCTTGCTTTTTGCCCAGGATGACCTGGATCAAGATCCTATTTTATGATTCCTGAGGTAGGTGAGATGACAGGTGCTCACTACCACAACCAGCTTTTTTTCCACTGAGAAGGAGTACCATGAATTTTTTTGCACAGGCTATCCTAGAACTGTGATCTCAGCCTCCCACTTAGTCTGGTTAACAGGTGCATACCATTGTGTGCAGCTGTTGGTTGAGATGCTGTAATCCCAGCACTTTGGAGGCAAAGGCAGGAGGATAGACAGCTCAAGTCCAACCCAGGCTATGTAGTAAAACCCCATCTCAAAAAAAAAACAAAAAATGAGCAGTGATCCTTCCAATCTCAGTCTCCCAAGTAGCTAGGATTATAGGCATTGCCAGCCCCCATCTTCAGCTCATTTATTTTTAGTTGACAAATGAAAAGTATACAAATTTGCCATGTAAACATACTGTTTTGAAATATGTACACACTATGGAATGGCTTGGATCCTAATTTAAACAAAATGGATAATCAAAAATAAAACTTATACCATTTATTAATGTAATGTTGAAAAATTGTTGAAGGTTTTTAGATGGGATGATGATATTGTGGTTATGTTAGTAAATATCTATGTTTTAGAGGACAATGCTAAAAATTTGGGCAGGGAATTGGAGAAACTAATTGTTGAAGGTAGATGATGGGTACTATTCTGACAACTATTGTCTTTGTTTGAAATTCTCCATTATTTAAAAGTTAAAATTGTTATGAAGAAAAAAGATATTTAGAGAAAAGAATAAAAAACTAAGAGCCTGACACATAATTATTTCAAATACGTAAGTTCAAAGCAGTGAACATGCATGTCCATTTACTTATCAGACTGGTAAGGGCAAGATGCACAGAAAACTATTTAGTTGACATAGAGCACTCTTTGAAAATATGCATCATCAATTAAAATAAACATGATGCAATAGATAACCATTTTCCCTTTTGCTGTTTTTTGAGAAAGGGTCTCACTACATAGCCTAGGCTGAACTCTTAATCCTCCTGCTTTAGACTCCCGGGTGCTGGAATTATAGGCATAAGCCACCACACCTGGCTTCAACACCAAATTTTCATTAAATATAGAATATGTGTATACATTCAGTCAACCTGTGTATAAAGCCTAATTGTGTGTGTGTGTGTGTGTGTGTGTGTGGTAGTGGGACTTGAACTCAGGGCCTCACACTTGCTAGGCAGGTGCTCTACTACTTGAACCACTCCACCAGCTCTTTTTGTTTTTGTTATTTTTCAAATGTAGCCAGGGCCAGCCTGGACCACGATCCTCCTACCTATGCCTCCTGAATAGCTGGGATAACAGGCATGAGCCATCACGCCCAGCTTATTGGCTGAAATGGGGTCTTGCCAACTTTCTGCCTGGGCTGTCCTTGAACCATGATCCTCCTAATCTTCCCATTCTGAGTAGTTGGCATTATAGATGTGAGCCAACATGCCCAGCAAACTTTTATGTCAAAGGTTTCCAACCTAAACATCAGAATTTATTGCTGCATCTTACAGCTGTGAACCTTTTGAAAACTGTAGGTTAATTTTATGCATTTCTTTGCAAGGGGGTTGCAGAGCACCCATAGCTTTCCTCAGAGTCTTAAGGGGATTCAAGGAAGAACTCCTGCTTTATGTCCTAGCAGGAATCTAAAACATGCTTAGACTAAAACTAGAGTCCTCTAACTTTCAGAAAACATGCCAAAATGCTCAAGTAACCTATGACAAGCATGTTGAAGCAGGGAGGGCAGGACAGGGGTCAGAATATATTTTTTCATTGGTAATACTTTTCTGTTCTCACCATTAGGTAAACATCCTGCCACCAGTAACTCATCATAGCCTGTTTCCAAAGCTTAAATACTCCTCACCTGAGAAGGAAAGCCAACAGCATGTTGACAGTGACTTATACTACAACATAACAATCTTCACCATCATCTGACAACACTTGTTGGATAAAGGGCCCTTCCGACAGTTTTCTGAGCTGCAGTACTTACCAGAGGAAAGTCTCTGTGCTGCCGGTGCAGGCACCATAACACTGGGTTTCTCTGCCTGGTATGTGGTAGCTGCTAATGTGGCACTCTCAGCATCACTGTTAGTCTGCCCTGTAACTCCAAAGCTAGAGCTGGGGTAGCAGGCCTGGTATTGATTCTGACCAAGAATAGTATAGGTGGGATAATCCTGTAGGCCAAAGGGAGTAAGGGAGGAAAATAAGACTCTTAGAAAGAACATGGCATTAATTTCAATACGGAGGTTTTCTTTTTCTTCTTGTTCATATTATTTTCTTAAGATATTAATTTGATTTCTCATTTACCTATCTAGCAGTGTCCCAATGAAACCAATGACCATCAGAATGTAGCAACCTGAGTCCAGAGGAGCTATCACAGGAGCTATCTCTGGGATGAGGGAAAGAGTGAGAAGGAAGGACCCTATGTACAGTCACACACATATACACAGGTCCTTTTTTCTACTCCAACAGCTTCCCCCATCATCATTAGTTTTATGTACTAAATTTCTGCATAGAGTTCTTGAGGGAAAAGTTTCCTCTCTTTAAGATGTTTGCAAACCCCTGCACTAGATGTGCTATAGTACTTCTAAGTATAAATAAACTTAAACAACAACAACAACAAAAACACATATCCTGTTGGGCTGTAGTGGCCCAAACCTATAATCCCAACACTTGGGAGGAGGAAGCAGGAGGATCATGAGTTGGAGGCTGGCCCAAGCTACATACTGAGTTCAAAGCCAACCTGGGCTACATAGCAAGACTCACTCAATATCAAAAAATAAGCAAAACACAAACAAAACAACAACCAAAAAGCACACACCTTACATCAAGTTTCCAAGTTTTAACACTGATTATCTTTTTTTTTTGAGTTTTCTTTAAAAACGAAATTCCCTTAAAATATTGAGAGAGTAAACTTTTGACTATTTCAAGGCACATCTATGACAAAACTCATTAAACTGTACAATCTGTGCAATCTATGCAGTTTGTTATATACCCTAATAAAGCTACAAAAGAGTTTGACATACATATCAAATACAAACCTTTAAAAAATGCCATTGATACCAATCTTAGTGACAAGAAGGAACATGCTAATTGACTAGGCCAATTCTTTATGAAGAGCTATCGAGCACCTATTATATATCAAATATAATTCATAATGTGTGTGCCTGTGTGTGTTTGTGTACTTGTACACGGAAAGGAGAAGGGGATGCTAAAGAAAAGACTAAGTCACAATAGAACACAAAGGAGTTAAAAATCTAGCAGGAAAGAAGACAAATTTTCAACAAATTGTCAAACAAGTCAAATGACTGAAATATAGAGGAAGACAGCTATCATTATAGACTGTGGTGGTGAGAAAGCTTTCTGAGATTAGTAGGTAGAGGAGGTGAGAACATGAACAAACCCTGCAAAAGTTTCATTAAAGGGCCATGGAGATTGAATCTGATTAAAACGAATGATCTCTATAAGCTCAAGTAACTGGTTAAGTATTATGACTTGATTCTTTAAGCAATAGTGTAGAGCCATGTAGGTCAGGAAAGGGGGACTCTTAAATTCAAACCAGCAAATAAAAACATGAAAAGATTCTGAGAAGATGAATGGCCTTAATAAAACATAGTATTTAAAAAAAAATTAATCAGATGGTGTTTTAAAGAATGGACAAGCGCAGGGAGAAAAACCTAGAGATGAGATACACAGTGAACCATGGTAATTAAGAATGAGGCGGGGAACAATGGGGAAATGATGGCAAAAGTTGAAAGAGAAGAATGTGAGAAATGGCTAGTAAATTAGAGAAAGATATGAAAAAAATGAAAGATGACTGATCTAGATTTATTAAGAAAAAATGGTGTCATTGAAAGAATTTGTAAGTCATTCATTTAGAAGACAAGGAGACAGAAGAAAGGTTGGAACAAAGGTCTGGTTTTAGATGTGCTGAACTTAGGGAAATAGCAGAACATTAAAGAAACAATAGTCATAATTCAGCTGCAAACCTATAAACATCATGAGGTCAAGATTATAATCTTCATCTTAGTGGCAGTAAATGGGCATTATGAATGTGGTTAAACATTCCTGAGGATGAAGTTATTAACATGTGGAAAAACTAAACAGAGACTGTCTATGTTAGAACACAGGATCAAATAGAATATAAAAGGGAAAAAATAGATGGTTTCTACAAGAGTGTTTCAACTTAGAGGCAGCAAATAGTATTGTGAGGTGGCTAAGCATTTCTGAGGATGAAGTTATTAACATATATAGAATCTGTGTATGTCAGAATATAAGATGAAAAAGAAGAGACAGGAAAAGGAAGCCAGGCGTGGTGGCACATGTCATTAATCTCAGCTACTAGAGAGACAGACAGGAGGATTGCCAGCCTAGGCAAAGTTAGCAGGAAACCTTATTTGAAAAGCAAAAATAAAAGCAAAAGGGCTTGGGGCATGGTTCAAGTGGTAGAGCACCTGTCTAGTAAGCACAAGACCCTGAGTTCAAACCCCAGTACCACCAAAAAAAAGATGGGGGGGGGTGTTGGGAGCATAGCTCAAGTGGAGGAGTTCTTGGCTAGTAGCAGGAAGCCCTGGGTTTAATACCCAGAACCATCAGAATAAATTAATTGGTTAATTAAAAAAAAAAGAACAAATGCAAGAATAGTGAAATACAGAAAATAAAACGAGAGTAGTTATGTTAAAATTGTGGTCAGAAAAAAAAAGCTATTCAGAAAAAAAAAAGCTATTCAGGAAAAAAAAAGCTATTCATGGAGATAGTGGTGATATTGTTACAGAGGAAGACAATACATAAAAAACAAAACAATAAAACAAACAAAAACCTTCTAAACCACTGAAGATGTTACCAGGGATGATCTAAGCATAAGTTAATTTAATAGAGATCAAGACTAGACCACAAAGAACTCACAAAGGAATGAGTGGTTTAAATTGGAGGTAATTTTTATTCATTTCACAAATGTTTATGGAGTGCCTTTTATCAGGTGCCAGGCATTTTTCTAGGCTCTGGGAATATATACGTGAACAAAACAGAAAAATAAATCTTTACCCTTCATAGAGTATATATTCTAGTGCAGGGAGAGTTAGGAAGCAGAAATAAAGACAGGCAGCAGACACAACCACATTCTGGAGAGGCTTAGAAGGGAACAAGAGAAACTGCATGGCAACCTAAGCCGTCATCCAAGGTCCTAATTCTGAGGGCATTCAGAAAAAGGGCTCCACAGTACATACTATTCTTAGTTGTGCTTGTTTGTTTGTTTGTTTGTTTTTCCCCAGTACTGGGGCTAGAACTCAGAGCCTTCACCTTGAGCCACTCCATCAGCCCTATTTTTGTGAAGGGTTTATCGAGATAGGGTCTCATGAACTATTTGACCAGGGTTGGCTTCGAACTGCAATCCTCCTGATCTCTGCCTTCTGAGTAGCTAGGATTATAGGTGTGAGCCACTAGTGCATGGCCTCCTACTTATTTCTTATAAGCATATATATATATATATATATATATATATATTTTTTTTTTTTTTTTTTTTTTTTTTTTTGGTGGCACTGAGGTTCAAACTCAGGGCTTCATACTTGCTGGGCAGGCGCTCTTACCACTTGAGACACTCCACCGGCCCCTAGTTGTTTCTTAGATGCAGAAATTGACCATGGAAAGGAGAAAGCTAGATGAACCACAACTAAGAACAAAAGTTGCACCATACCTGATTTGAGATGCTGGCAACAGCTGCTGCAGGAATATTGGCAATTGTAGATGAAGTGGATATAAGGCTGGCATTTGTGCTTGAAGCTACAGGATTGAGAATTATTAGGAAATATTAAAGATACTATGTAAAAGGCTTGAAGACAATGAAAACAAACTGTCTTAAGTGAACATATCTACAAGGAGATAACATTGGCAAGGGAAATAAATACTTGTTTTGCTTACTGCACACCATATCTCAATTTAGACTTGACTAGAAATAAAACAAAACTTTCTGTTTCATCTTGAGTCTTCAACTCTTTCTACTAAAGTCCTAGAAGGATACAGGTTCAATTCACAGCTCATACTAACCGTACCAATGAAGTCAGAACTAATGCTGCATCTTCCCTAAAAGTTGAATAATGACTCGCCTATAATATGATCTACTGACAATCAGTAGAGCGCTGTGATAGTGTTTAATGTCACATATCCTAACTATGCCTTTCCTCATGTAACATGTTGAGAAACAGAACTAGTTCTCTGAATTCTAAAGTGCTTGGTATTGTTTTCCGGTCTCTACCAAAATAATGGATTATTAATGTGCATCAAAAAAACCACCATTATCTGACATTTAGACTTATATAAAAGTTCACAAAGTACTAAATATATTGTGGTCAGGTAAAAATGTACTTTATAAGCTACTTGACTATCTTAAGACAAGAAATTTTATATCCTTCTATCACACATTCCACCAAGGTTTTACTGTTGTTGTTGGTTTTTGTGGTACTGGGGTTTGAACTCAGGGCCTTATGGTTGTTAGGCAGACCTCTACCACTTGAGCTACATTCCCAGTCCTCTACCAAGGTTTTACCCAAACCCTCAATGTCTAGTAAATACCATAGGGACTTTATTCAGATGGAAAATATAATTAATATTATGAAGCATTAGTTCTGAACTCTTCTTTCTTATCATAAACACACTTAGAGGGGCTGGTAGAGTGGCTCAAGTGGTAGAGCACTTGCCTAGCAAGCATTAAGGCCTTGAATTCAAACCCCAGTCCCACCAAAAAAAAAAAGAAAAGCAATATTTAGACATGGTTTCTATTGCATTCATACATATCCAAAGGGTTCACCATCAAGTAGATCTGACTGACAACCTACCCACTAACATTAGGGAAAAAAGTGCAACAGAAAGTACACTGGTGAGAGGGGAGGAGGGGGAGGGGGAGAGGGGAGGGGAAGAGAGGAATGTTATGCCCTTTCCCAGGTGTGCTCTGCTTAGAAGACAGTCTCAGGGAGATTAAAGTCAGTTACTGCTATTGCTGAAAACCCAGCTTTCTGATAAAGAATCTGGAACAAGAGTAACTTGTTCAGAAACAGGAAACTAATGGTGGGTAATCAAGATGACAAACTGGATCTCCCAATTCTTCATCCAGTGGTTTTCGTCAGTCAGTTGCTATAAAGAGTGATCTGATTTCCTGACAATTCAGGGTGACTTTCTTTTCTATAGTATTCTTTGCCCCAGAGGTATTAAAGGACTCTTATGGGCTTTCTTTCTTGAACACAACAAAATAAGATAGATTTTACAAGATTCCAGATGGTATTTTCTTCCCATCAATATTCACCTTTTTTTCTACTATGGCTTAATCCATTGTTTCTCCTAAGAAGAAATACCAAAAAATGACAGCATATAGAGTAGATGGATCAGATAAAGGTAGTTTAAAATCATACTTATAGTAAAAAATTTTTGATTAGCTTCCAGATTCTATTACCAATAGATTATCCTAGGCAGGCCTGCAATAAAACACATGGAACAGGTAACTTAAAGTGGGAGAGGAAAGAAAAAGAACTTATTTATCTTATACAGCAAAGTTCAATTCTCAATCAATTTTTCAATTTTCCTTTGTTCCTAGGTCTGGCTTATGCCCCTCTTTCCCCCTATGATCTTTAAAATTTTGTTCGGTCTTCTCAATAACTTACTAAGGATTGCAGACTCAATTATATCTGCTCACCATCCACATTTGGTGTGGGGGGGAATATACTCTGACAAAGTTCCTTTAGAAATTTAATAATCTTTAGAACTCCTTCTAAATAGGGCTGGTGGTTTAAAAGAAAAAAAAGAAAGTAGACCTTATAAACAACTGGTCATGTACTCTATTATCCTTCCTAGGAAGCTTAATGACTTGATCAGCTAGTTGATAATTGTCTGAGTTTTTAAAAGTACTATACTATGAATTACAAATTTCTTTCAGCAATAATGGCTCAGGGGATCTTGGCATGCTGATCTAGAAAGCTCAGTAACATTTCTCTCTCCAACTCAACCAAATCATTTCTATGGTATCATCCATCCATGGAATGGCCAGTGAAACAGGTCTACTATGCACATAGAAACTGTTCCAGTCACTGAGGAGTAGAACAGTGAGCAAGAAAAAGTCCCTGATCTCATGGAATTTAAATTCTATTAAGGGAAGTTAATTAATATATTAGTAGTATGTCTAAGGCTTTTGTAACTACCCCTGAACCCAAGTTAAACTCACCTAAAAATCTACATATCCATTGTATGCCCTACTTCATACAGAACTATACTAAAAGCCAGGAATTTTTTAAAAAATGTATTGATAATCCTGCATATGTATGTATATATATCCTGGTTATAACAAAAACAATATTTAATTGCAATGGAACTGGAGTTGTGGCTCAAGTGATAGACTGCTTGCCTAGCAAGTGCAGCAAGGTCCTGAGTTCAAATCAAAATATCACAAATTAAAAAAAAAACAACCAAAATACAACTTAAAGTTCTAGGTATTGAAAAACAAAACCACCACCACCAAAAAAAAAAAAAAAAAAAAAAAAACAACACCCACAAAAAACCCATCCCCCAACAACAATCCCCAACAACAATGAAGCAAGGTAACAAAAATATAAATTTAGAGCTCTGGCTGTTATATATGAAAAGGACATGAGCTCCCTAAGTATTAATAGCATGGCCAACTGTTTTCTGATAGTACTCACTCCTGTTTTGGTAGTGAGGCTGCAAAATCATCTTAAGACAGTTTCTAAGAGCTACACCCCCACTAGGTCAACCTAATATAGTCAACATATAGATATATCTTTGATCAGAAGACCATGGATATAGAACGATGAGTGGCATAGTAGACTTAAGTGATACTGTGCCAAAGCTGTAAGGTTAACCCAAGGCTACTGGCACATAACAGCTTATGCAAGAACCAGGTACAGTGGTCCATGCCTATAATCCTGGCACTCTGGAAGTAGAGCAGGAGGATCTGAACTAGAGGCTAGCCTGGGCTATAATATAGTGAATTCAAGGCAAAAAAGCTGTGCAAGATTTAGTTTCATACTAGAAGGTGGAGGCAGGAGGATCAGGAGGTTAAAGGCAGCCAGGGCTACATAGAGATCCTGTCACAACAACAGCAACAAAGTTAGTTTCTAGTTACCTCTCTAATTTTATGACATTACCTACTTCCCCTGCTCACATTAGCTTTCTTTGAGTTACTCAAAACAAGGCAAGTTCTTTATTATTCAGAGACCTTTACAAGATTGTTCTGTCTGAATTGTTCTCCCTATCCCTGTCCCTCTAGCCCTCCTAGCACTATGGCTCCTCCTCAGCATGTCTGTCTGCTTCCTCAGAGAGGTTCTTTCCTGTTTTCAACAATTTTTTTTTTCTTTCAAAGCACTTTTCTAGATCTTATGTACTTATTTTCTGTTTCCCCCACTAGACTGTAACCTCCATGAAGGCAGTATCTTGACTTATTATCTCCAGCACCAAGCAAAGTACCTGACATTTATGAGATAATGTTCAACTGTGGAATTCAGTCTTGCATATTCTAGGTATGCAGGACAAAACCAAAATTTTCTGATAGAGGCTGACAGATTTGGTGGATTCCTAAAACTTACTCTCAGTATGTACACACCTGACAACTCATCCAACTCCCAGCTTCTGGAACCATAGCAGAAACTATGCATGTTTGGTTAAAATGATAGCCTAAGTGGGCCATTCATTCATTTATTTATCAAATATTTATTGAAGGTCTACTAAATGCAAATACTATTCCATGTGCAGGGGTTACCTCAATATACAAAACAAACAAAACTGCCCTCAAGAAGCTTAGTAAATCAAAGTAATAAAAATCTCCTACTGAAGGTTTTTTAAAATTGTTAGAGTAAGATTTACATCAGCAAGGAATGAAGTCTCCTTGGAGAAATAGCTGATTATAGGTCTTATATGGGTGTATAAAGGAGCTTGGAGCAAGTCATCTTGCCAGAATTAAGAAAGACGTGAAAAGTACAAAACAAGTAACAGGCATATGTAAAAAGGTACAAGAGTCAACTAAAGGTGCTCTTAGTGGCCAAACTAAAACAATAAAATAAAGTGGTTCTGGATTACAACTCAAAGTACGAAATAAATATGAGTCCCAAAACAAATGACTGAATAAATAAATGGGGGAGAAGAGACCAATCTCTCATACAGAAGAATTCCAAATAAGTTATGCAGAAACCATACCCTGAAGGAAGGGTAGCATAACTCCTTAAGTGTGGATATAGTGATTTCTAGCCAATGGAAATGGAGGAAAATGAGTAACTTCACAATGGAGAAACCTGACAAATACTACTTCAGCCAGGTGATCAAGATCAACATCAACAGTCATAAAACACATGGATAGTATGTACACTTGACATAATTGATGGAAGCCTTTGGCCATACCACTCTGAACACACCTAATCTCATTCGATCTTGGAAGCTGAGCAGGTTCTGGCCTGGTTAGTACTTGAATGAGAGACATGATGTGATAGAAAAGGCCTTTCTCCTAAAAAAGTCCATATTCCCAGTCTAATCATGAGGAAAATATCAGACAAATTCCAACAGAGGATTATTTTATAATATTCCCGACCAGTACTACTTAAAACTAGGAAAGTCTTTTCTCAGCTAGGAAAGTCTGAGAAACTTCAAAGTTTAGAGGAGCCAAAGAAAACATGACAACTAAATATAAAGTGATATATGAGAAGGGATCGTGGAACAGAAAAAGGAGACCAGGTGAAAACTAAGGAAATGTGAATAAACTATTGTCATGGTTAATAAAAATGTACTAATATTGGTTCATTACTTGTAATAAATGTAACATATTACTGTGAGATGCTAATAAGGGAAATTATGTACAGGGTGTGTGGGGAGATACGTAAGAACTCAGTACTATCTCTCTTCAATTTTTCTGCAAATCTAAACCTATACTAAAAAACAGACTCTAGGGCCGGGGGCATGGCTCAAGTAGTAGAGAGTCTGTTTAGCAAACAGGAGACCCTGAGTTCAAACCCCAGTACTGCTAAAAACAATAACAACAACAAAAAAAAAACAAAGAAAACCTCATGATCAAAGAAAGACTATACTATACCAACAATATTAGAGCCCAAAGGTATTCATTAAGTTAGGATTAAGTTAAAGTTCATTTTGAAACTTCTGAAATTAATTTTGTCATTTGAGTATTATCTAATTAAGTAAACCATCTCAACTGAAGAAAATTACCATAAACAGGGCCACGCAGTCACCAAACTCTAGGAAAAGGCTGGTATAGAGAAGTCAGACCTTACCACTACAATGGGACTTAGAGAAAAAAAAAAAAAGAGGTCAGATCAACTTATCCAAGTGATTTTCATTAGCATATAAGGGCAGTCTTTTCTCATTATGGTACCAGTTTATACTAAAGAAAAGTTTTTGCTTAATCAAGTCAAAGTAGAATTTAGTTTTTAAGATAATTTCCCCTAACTTCCTAGGGAAGAAGGATTGCTGTCATTTGCAGAATGCTTGGGGATAGGATGAGTAGATTTTTTTTTTTTTTGGTAGCACTGGGGTTTAGAACTCAGGGCCTCATGTTTGCTAACACAGGTACTCTACCACTTGAGCCACTCCACCAGGCCGATATGTTGTTTTGACACTTTAAAAAATAACTGATAGATTGCACCTTGGAATGATTGGGTAATTATACAGGAGGAAAGAAACAGCCTTGGATAGCTACTATTCATTATCCATGCTAAAGGAAAGACAAGGTAGGGGAGGGGGTGATGTGAGGAAAGAGAGACTGATAATAGAGAACTCAGATAATTCAAATCCACTAATACACATATTTGATTTTCGCCAATTGTTCTTCTACCATTTTTTTCAGAAAGGCAAAAATCAACAACTTGATGGCTAACTTCTGCCTTAATTTCTATCCTGTGTCAAAGTGCTAATGAATTAATTAACAATAGGTTAACCAGAAAAAAAGAAGAAAAATGAATTTAGATCTTTGTTAATCTAGGTTCTCGAATATGGGAGAGTTGACATTGATACCATGATTTCAATACTGAAATTAAAATATTGAGCTCATGCTCTGGGGTCAGAATGCCCAACTTATATTCTAACTTAATTATTTATTTTTCTGTGCCTCAGGTTCCCCATCTGCAAAATGGGGTTGACAATACTTCTTACTGAGCTGTTACAATGATTACCTGAGTGATACCTATTCATTGCTGAGAACAATGTTAAGAGAATTAAGCACTTACTAAATACTATCGGTTATTAATAGAAAATGAGGGAGAACAGTTTAACTGATACAAAGGAAAAAAATGTACTAACAAATAACAAGGAAGAGTAGTGGTTTGTGAAGTTCAAGGGTTCTCTTAAAGAATGAAATGATTCTTCTTATTTTATAATGAAGGATATCTAAGCATAGATATCAGATTCTTCAAATTCAGAATACAACTCTGAAACAGTGTGGTTCTATACCTTGGTAAAGGTAATTAATGTAAGAGAAGAGAACCCATTCTCTTCCTTCATGACCTACATGTAGTCATCAGGGATATACCTACTTAGCATAGACCTGACTACTGCACTGTCTGTGGTTAGAACTAACAGGCCTGTTAAATGAAAGAGCTATTTTATAAAAATGAAAGGAGAGCCAGGCATGGTGGCATGGACCTGTAGTCCCAGCTACTTAGGAGGCTGAGGCAGAAGGATTGTTGAGTTCAACGCTGGCCTAGGTAACATAGCAAGACCTCATTTCCAAAAAAAAAAAAAGATAGACAGTCATACTCTTAGTTTCACTCCCTTGTTCGTTCCTATTTTGGAAAGAAAGAGGGAGAAGACAGTGAAAGAAAGAAGAGAACATTAAAAAAAAAAAAAAAAAAAAAAAAAGAGGGAGGACTTGGTAAATAATGGGGTGGCGGTGGGGGGTAAAGTTTGCTCAGACCAAAGTCTGAAGAACAAGGTGACCAGTTCTGTTCTCAGGGGATCAAATAGTTAAAATTGAAAAAACTGTTGGCCTAATTTACATCAAAAATTTTTTTATCACTGAAGTTTGTATTTTAAGAGGACCTCACACTCATCCTGCTAGTGTCCATGTCATAAGAAATAAGACTAAAACACTGGAAGAAACCAGGATAAAGGAGGTAGATGAGAAGCCATATGGACACAACTTCCCAGTTGAACTGTCTGCATTTGAGTCTGAAGGGGAAGCAATTCCGTATTGCCTAATAGTCCTGACACAATTCTAACCTTTTAAAAGGTTAGAAACCTTTACTCTGGAAAGTAAAGTTCTTTAGAGTTTAATGCTATGCTTTTCTTTTTTGTGTGTGTGGTTTTGGGGATTGAACTGAGAGCTTCAATACATGTACGGCAAGCGCTCTACCACCGAGCTGTACCCACAGCCTAATAATGAACTTTTTTTTAAAACAAGGAACTTTTTGAGCAAGAGAAATGCTCTCACCAAGAAGTAGCAAATGGGGATTGGTATGACAAGGCCACAACAGAAAAGCAGCAAACATCTTACATACCACTCTGACAATTCTTATAAGTCAGCGAAGGTCTGTCTCGTGGAATCTTCTGTTCATTTATAGGACAAAATGCCACTGAGAACAGACTAGGGCAAAATCAAAGAGGTTTTCTGGAAACCAACATGCAAAAGAGAACGCTTCAACTATTAATCGGTTCACATTCAAAGCCTAAACTACTTATAGAACTCTTTGGCTCTGGTTTGCCTAACACAAAAAGCATGCACAAATGCAAATATCACCCCTTTCTATTTTAGAAGATAAAGCTCCTGTATTATCCAATTTGGAGATACAGGTAGATTTAAAAACAAACAAAATATCATAGTTAAATAACACACACACAAACCATGCCTATTTACCTTGAATGGGGTAAGAATAATGTGCTGGGCTTGGCTGGCTTGTGGTTAACCCTGTAGTGCAGGTAAGAACACTGTGTTGACTTGGAGATGGAGTCTGAATTAAACCACTTTCAGATTTCATACCTGGCCACAATGCACCTGAATCAGATAAATTGGACCAATTACAAACAATACACTGGGACTGAAGAGCATGGTTATGCTTTCAAATATCAGCCAGTTTAAAATCTAAATCTTAAAACAATAAATTTGCTTGCAAGAGAAAATTACTGATTCTCCCAGCTGTAATACATCACAAGCAAATACAGTCTCAAGAATTAGGAGCTAGGGCCACAGAAACAAAAATTTTAATAAAAACCCTAATAGTGGCATGTATATAAGTTCATTTCAATAGTTGGGGTAACTGACCAGGGTTCAGAAAAAGAGTTACTGACATCAAACTGAAGTATCTGTCGCAAAGAGTGGCTGATGTTAACGTATAGTGATAAATCATTCATCCAAATTGTTGAACTGGGAGTCATTCCACATTAAGTTTAAAATTCACTTACCCACTAAAATGAGTACCAAGTTTTTCTAAAATATATTAAATACTTCTCTGTTTCCTTAAGCTGATTATTTTGTAACCTTTATGTCTTCTGTTTATTTTTATAAATTAAAAATACTATAGGGCTGGAAGAGTAGCTCAAGTGGCAGAATACCTACCTAGGAAGCATGAGGCCCTGAGTTCAAACCCCAGTACAGAAAAAAAAAAAAAAAATATATATATATATATATACATGCATATATATGTATCATAGAATATAAAAATATGTAACTTAGAAAAAACAGTCATATATAATCCTATCATCCATAGTTAACTACTATTAATAGTTTGCAGAAGTCACCCAGATTTCTACACACTTACTGACCTTTCTTCTTTTTAATAAAAAATGTGATGTTGCACATACTATCCATAATTTGCTTTTCCACATAATACCTGAGAGACATCTTTCCACATCAGAACATATAAATCTCATACCGATAGACATCACAGCTGTTCACTTTTATTTTTGCCACAATGCTCCAGAGTGACTATCTTTCTAAAATACATTTATATTCTTTCCTGATTTCTTAGCAGAGAGGAAATAGTGAATGTAACTTTAGATCTTCTTAGAATTATTGTTATAAAGATCAATACTATATGCTATGTATATTACAGAGAAAGCTGTAGGGGTATTGTGATATATAGGACATTTGCATATTTGTTTTATGATTTTTAGGTCCCTAGATCCTTTTATTTTTTTTGGTAGGAGTGGGGTTTGAACTCAGGGTTTTGAGCTTGCAAGGCAGGAACTCTACCACTTGAGTCACACCTCCAGAGATGGGGTCTCAAGAACTATTAGCCCAAGTTGGCCTCAAACTGCAATCTTTCCAATATCAGGCTCCCAAAGAGCTAGGATTACATGCATGAGCCACTGGACCAGGCTGATCATTTTGTTTGTTCTCTGTGGTATGTCACTTCCTGACGCTCTCTCATCTCTGATTGTACCTTCCTTTTAATTTGCAATAAACAGGAAATCATAAACAAAGCTTTTGCTTCTGCATGAGAATCTAAGGATATCCCTCGTGAACAAAATACTCATGAGTGCATAGTTTTCGTGATAATTTTAGCTATGCAAGAAGCCTAGGTTTTAAAAAACTGATTGTCTGATTTTTCACTGTGTTCTGAAGAGCGTGCTGGATCAATGTAGTTGAAGTTTAGTATTAGGTCCAGTAAGATTTACCAGTCAAACACATTTCAGGTACAGAACCAATATCAAGGCTAAACATGGCTTCAAGCTCACCATTTATTTCACTTATTCCTCTATAGTCAACTAAAGTATGCAGTAAAAAATATCATACTTTGATAATCAGAACCTTTGCTTCATCAGAGTGCAAAGTACCTCAGTGCAACTCACATTTGTCAAATCTGTTGACAAGTAAATCTAAGAACAGAAAAGGAAGATATGAACATCTTTTAACCATGAGACAGGGTGTATAAAAAAAGAAAATGCCATATGCTTTTCTCATCTATTAACCATATGAAACTTATTTGAGGAGACAGAGGAATATTAACATCTCTAGCATGAATTAGGAGGGTCATCCTTTCCACTTAGTTCATGACCATTTAAATATGTGTAGCCTAGGTTAGTCAGCAATAAGGTACTTATGTATAATTTTCAATAATAAAGATACTTGAGAATTTTTTTTAACCTTTATGATGCGAATATAAGCGCATGATTCTTCATGGTTGTATATCAATTTTTTTGCTAAGTAAATTATCATTTAATTGTTATAATAACTACTAGGTTTATTGTAATCAACGTGATTTCTTTTTTCCAAGTAGGTTTTGACTCTGAGGTATTAGATTTATGAGCATGCTTAGTAACATTATACTAAAGCAATATCTCATTAATAATGATGTATCAAGTGAGATGATTTCTTGCCTTATTATTTAGCATTTATTTAATTAACTTATTCTTTGTTTTTCTAAGACAGTCTCGCTACGTAGTACAAGCTGACCTTGAACTCTTGATCCTCCTACCTCAGCCTCCCAAGTGATAGGATTACAGGTGTATTTTTTAAACTGTAAAATTTCTGTAAGTTGGCCCTTCTTATTATAAGGTCAAAAATTAAGATCCCTCTTATAAAGGTACAAATTGGTACAAATGTCCAAGATAAGCAGGAGAATACCTAGTTTTGAACATTTTGACCAGAAACACAAATATTTAATACAAAACTATTTTATGAGGAATAAAAGACAATAAGAACACTGAATACAAAATCACTATAGTCCTGTTCTTTGACACCAAAAATTTCAGATAGTAGGTAGTATGATCAAATGAGATGACTTTATTCACAGCACTACTGATCACAGCAAACGAGGAAACCAAATTCTGATTTCCTGACTTAGACCACTACTCTATGTCTACAACTACAAAGCTTCTCTAACACTTTGGGTCACATGTGATCCAGATTGGCCTCAAACTGGTGATCCTCCCGCCTCAGTCTCCCAGGTGCTAGAATTACAGATATGTACCACGGTGCCCAGCTCTCCAGTTCTTTTTAGAACCAAAAGCCTGCTGTGGTGCAAATATTGGTCTTACAATGAGAAAGGAAATCTGTCCCTGAGTATTAAAGCCACATGGTGTGGCTTTACAGAAACATTACAGGTCTAACCCAACTAATCTGATCACTCAATTTATAGTAACTCTTACCAGAATAGTGTATCATTAAAGATTAGTTTACTAGATTAGGAATTGAAGTATATACCAATGACAGAAAAAAAACAAACATGGAACAGCATCTTGGTTTGTTGATTCAACAGCTTATTCAGATGAGCTATTTTATATACTTAGTACCTGAATCTGAGTACTTTTCTTGATTATAAAAGAAGCATATATTATAGAAAATCAGGATGATAAGGAAAAAAAAAATCACATGGTCTCTCCACCAGAAAAAAAATATAGGTAGTTCTCCCTTTTGCACAGGACTATGTTAACTAAAACCTATACACTTTGGAACTCCAACTTTGCTTGCAGTTACTTGGTAACTAAGAACAAATCTTAATGCCTGTGCAGCTAAACTCCACATTTTTTTTCCTTCTAAATTATCTCTAACCTCTTATTACACATTTGTAAAATTACTAAATTGATAGTGCTTTTACTTTTACAGACTGTGTTTTTCAATTAATAATATTCTTCTCTCAAGACCCCAAATATTCCTCAAGAATATAATTTGGGTTTTTTTTTTTTTAATTTTAAGTTAATTTTATTTTTTTATTCATTTATTCATATGTGCATACATTGTTTGGGCCATTTCTCCCCCCTTCAAGAATATAATTTATTATGGCTATAGCTTTCCATTGTATAGATACACTGAAATTTAACAAATACCTTTTTAGTCCATATGTATGTTGTTTCCAATTTTTTTGCTATTATAAAAAATACTGCCAATATCTTGGTTAGTTTTTTTTTTTTTAATCTCTAATCAGTTCCAGAGGATAAATTCCCAGAAGTGAAATCACTCAGGGAAATGGAATCTTTAAGGCTCTTAATACTATCTCCAAAATTTCCATTCTACATTAAAATTCTTTTAAAATAAATCAAAACATAAAGAGCTAAGGGGACAGTAGAGGAGACCCTAAAAATAAATGAGCATCCTTTCCTCATACTTACTCCTTCAGATCACTAGAAGCTAGTCCTCTAATTCCCTTTTCTAGTCCCTATTTCTATATAGCTCTGGAAAGAATATGAAAGTACTTTACTTTTAAAGATTACTCCTAACAGCATTCCTAGATTTCTTCTAGTTCTTTCCCCACCTCTCTTTAACAGAAGGAAGCTTTTTAATTTCAAATTCAACTCTGAAACATCTGTGATGGTTAATCTTGTTAACTTGATTGAAGCATGCCTGGGATATTAGTAAAACACACCTCTGAGTGTGTGAGAAATTATCCAGAGACTCTGACCTAATCAATAACTTAATCCATTGATAGATTTAAAATCTGAATAGACTATTGAGAAATAATTGAAGTGTGGAAGATGGGGCCTGGTTGGAGGAAGTAAGGCAGAGGGAATGTTCTTGGGGGCTAAATCCTGCCCTGGCCCCTGCCTGTTATAACTCCAATGTGTTTCCTGTCCACCAGAATGTACCCTGTTCTGCCATGCTCATCCAGACACGATGAACTGAAACCTCCGTGAACAAAAGAAATACTTCCTGCTTTATATTGTTTCAGTCAGGTATTTATGAGCCCCTCTGGAAATAAACAGATCTAGGTTCAGTACTAATCCTAGGCATTTACTAGTTGTATGGCTTTTAGTTAACGATTTAACCAATTCTCAATTTCTCCATCTATGAAAATGGATAATGCCACTTTCCTCATAGGACTATAGTGCAGATTAAATTAGACAATAAAAACTGTGAAGTATTTATTCTTACCATATTTCTTTTGACATAAGCACTCAAAATATATTATTATAATGAGATTTTCCAAATCCCCATTTACATCTGAAATAATAGACTATCTCGAAAATAGCCAGTACTAAGATAAACTATACCAAAATTTTGATTTCAAAAGGAGTGTTTTCTTACATCTAAATGAACACCAAAACAAAACAAAACAAAAAAACAAGAAAAAGCCTTCTAAAGATATAACAACTTTCAAAAATACTATAAACATTTCTTATAAGTTCTCTGGAATGAGTATGTCATATCTGTCATTCACAATACACTAATGTAAATCTCTCACCAGTTAGTCTCATATATTACCTAGGATCAAATTAAGCTAGTGATTATCCCTCACTCAATTGCTAACAAAAACATATTAACACAAGTCTCTCTTGCCCCCAAATAAGCAAAAACAGATTAAGAGAGTCCACAGTCATCTATTTTTCTTTATAGTATAAAAAATATTTCCTACAAGCTTTTTTTTTTTTTTTGTGCTGGCACTGGGGTTTGAACTCCCAGCCTCATGCTTGCTAGGCAGGAGCTCTACCACTTGAGCCACTCTGCCAGCCCTCCTCTAAGTTTTTAAGAACCTGGACTGGCTTTCAACCATGATCCTCCTGATCTCTGCTTCTTGAATAGCTAGGACTGTAGGCATGAGCCACAAGTGCCAGGCTAAAATAACACAGATTTCTGGCAACAGGGCTAGAAGAAAGTGCCGGGCTAAAATAACACAGATTTCTGGCAACAGTGCTAGAAGAACAGAAAGAGGCAATAAAGCACACTGCATATATCTGTCAATTAGCATGTATTTGTCAATCAGTTTCAATACTAAGTGCCCAAAGAACCTCAAACTAATTTTTGGTAAATCACTGACTTATAGCTCCCACCTCAGACATCTAAAACTAATAAAAGCAATTCCCTATGAACACAATACAGTTATAGAAAATTAGGGATTTCTCTCATTCTAAAGTGATTGTTTTAGTTTGCAGAAAAGTTGATCAGTTTGGGATAGGAGGAGGGAAGAGAGGAGTGGGAGAAAGTGGTTAAAACAAACCAACAACAACAAAACCCAAAAAACTACACAATAAGCTCTGAGGCATACTCTACCTGGATATTTAGACTACTTGGTTTTGTCAGAAACTGGTCTCCTCCAGGGGGAGGGGATGATAAAGGAGAACGGTGGAAGGGGTGAATTCAAGTATGATATATTTGATATATTGTAACTTTTGTAAATGCTACAATGTACCCCCACTCAATATAACATCAAAAAAAAAAAAGAAAGAAAAAGAAAAGAAATCAATCACCTCCGGATATATTTATTATGTTTACCTAACCGTGGTACTACGTTACATATAAAGTTAAGTCAAGTCAGAGATAGATTCCTCAAAGAGTTTTCCAATCTTGAAAAGATTCCAAGTTTCAGAGTCAAAATCTTAGAAATAGCTAAATTTTGGTGGGTGAACAAGTAAGTGCTTAAAGCCTATGATTTTACATACATGCATCAAAGATACTATTAGAAAGTCGTATACCTAACTTCTACTATACATGTAACTGAGTAAGCATTCTATAGAGGAAGACACATCTTTTGGTTTTCTGACCAGCCCTGCTTGCTTTCTGCGGACAGACAAGTGCTTCTGGAGGATAAAATCAGTATTCTTAAAAAACTACTTACAACAGGATTCCTTACCAAAAGGAGGTAGTCCATATGTTTGGGTTGCCTGAGGGTAGACAGCATAGGGTTGAGACTGCTGCAATGTTTGGTACTGAGTCTGCCCAGGGTAAGCAGTTTCCGAAACAGGAACTGACAGGATATGTGCATAAGGTCTAGAAAAATTCAAGAAAACAAAAACTTTCATCTGTAACTTATTTTAGTAAAGAAATATAGATAAAATAGGTAACAGCACTAAAAGCAAATAGTCAGAAACAAGAAGACCAATCTTCCATTTAAACTGACTCATTATGGTCAGAAAGTAGAACCCTTTTTTCCTTTTTGGGTTCCATTATCACCTACCTAAGGAACAATATTATAGAAAATGTAATAGCTTCAAACATCTTTACTAACTAACTTACTAATCTACGAACATTTGTGATGGGCTCCATGTGAAACTCTATGTGAGAAAACAAGGATTATACTTACTTATGCCCTTATATTTACATATAAAACAAAATCCTAACATAATAAAAAACTGAACAGAAGAGGATTGGCAAATGGCTTTCCTTCTCCACCAAGGCCCCTGAGCCAAACTAAACTTATGAGAAGGAGAGCAGGACTTGGAAAAAATGATGCTGAAGAAAAGGCAAGCACTGGAAAGCAGAGTGTAGGGGTGGGCCTTAATATCCTCAAATCAAACCTACAAAACACGAGCTGGGTTAATTAATAAACCTGGGAAGTTGCAGACAGGACTCAATCACCCCACTGATATTTAAATCTGAGCACTATGCCACTAGTTGGTGCCAAGCACATCAGGGATTGGTAGGGATTTAAAGTTAGCAGTGAAATCTCTGGGACTTTATACTGGCTAGCTGACTGAATCATTTCATCCATACTACTACACTGAATGTTTAGATGTCTGTTATTTTATTTCATGTGATGTACTTAAATAATTTAAAAAACCCTGCTATATGTACCATAAAAGTCTTAACAACAAAATATGTTGAGTGGGGGGAGTGTTATTTTAGCAGGAGAAAAGGCTTTTTTTTTTCAGTTTTGTGGGAAGAAGATGATATAAGGAAGGCTACAAGACGCAGTATGTGAGTTGAGCAGATTAGGAGGTACACAAATAGGAAAGAAAGGGTGTTCTAGGACAACAAAAAAGCCCTGGCAAAAGTATAGAGAAAGGAAAGCAAGGGCTTCAGCCTCCAAGGAGCAAACATTATATTAAGTATGTTGAGAAGGAAGCAGCAAGCCAAAGGTAGAAAGATAGCAAAGCCCTTGAATGCCGGGCTAAAAGAATTCAGACAAATGTGAAACAACTGGAAGGCACTGAAATTGCTGAGCAGAGTGACAAAATCAGAGCTATTTTTTTTTTTAAAAAGCAGACTAGAAGGGGGTGAAAACTGAAATGGAGGTCTTGTTAAAAAAATTATAAAGAATGGTTCCAGCAAGTGGTAAGGAGGTCTGAATTTAGATAGAAGACATACCTAATACTGTGTCTTGAATGTACCAGGTATGCAAATACTTCATGAATGATTTTGGAATATGTAACATATTCACATTTCAGTAGATTCTTAGTGACTGTATTAGTCAGAGTAAGTCGAGGAAATAGTTTAGGCTATAGTTGTTACTCAAGTCGTATGAAAATAATTTGAAGTAAGACACCTCAAATGGACCAATTTGCAATGTGGTAAAGACTATAATCTCCTTTTCCGTGTGTTTTTATAGATAATGTCACCATGTTGAAAAAAAATTTCAAAAACGAAATGGGAAAATTGGGTATCTTACTGTTCACTCTTCTCAAACTAAGTAACACAGAATAGCTTGATATACCAGAAAGTTCACAGAGCTCACATGTGTTTCACATTTAGTATCTAATTTCGCTATACTGATCCCTAATGATAGTCACTTCACAGAAGAAAACCACGTAAGAATGGCCCAAGAACAACACTTGTGTTAACATTGGGAGAATTTAAAAATTGTTTTTTTTTTTTTAGTACTGGGGTTTGAACTCAGGACCTTGTGCTTACTAGAGAGATGTTCTACCATTTGAGCCACACCATCAACAAATAATTATTTTTAATTCAAAAGGTGTAAATGGGCATAAGAAGAAAAAAAATGCCAGCCAGGTTCCCTTTCAAAACAGTCTCATAGGCATCTCTCACCTCTGTTACCAATTTCTTTACGTATCTTGCATTTGTAAGTATGTAAGAATATATCCTACCTTACTGAGGGGACCTGTATGTGTGTGGACAGGTCTATTCTTCATCAATGCACAATTAGTAACTTGTGTACAAAGGCTCCAAACTTACCCATCTTGGAGATGACTAACTTGGCAGGTCTGAAATGCTGACATTACCCTGTGAAGGCCCAAACATACCTCTTTGTGACTTCAACCCACCCAACTTGTCTACCATCAACTTCAATTTTACTCTGCGGACATTCCTTAAACAAGAAGCTAAACACAGTATAGGCTAACTCCCAGTCTGGGGCAGGCTTGAGCTGCTTTTATTGATCTGTATGACAAGATAGGGGTCCATCAGTAATATGCTTTGATCACTATTTTGAATTTCCAGTGCCTATGCATTTACAGTGGATTCCTGTATAAAGTGATCTATTTCAGAGTAACTTTTTTTTTTTTTAAAAGAATGATACATAGATATATTTAGAAGGAAAAAAATGGAGTAACAACAGGCAGAACAAGAGAGGTAAAAATAAGTTAAGTATTAAATTTTGCAATGAACCTAGAGAAAAAGTATATGTATTTTGGAAGAAATTATTCAACTTACTTTGTAGAATACATTTGTGAGGTATAATCATTAGATGAGCGAGGGATATAATCGGTGCATGTCATAACTGAAAAAAGATAATATCACCAGGTAAAAAAGTTAGAATATTTCAAAAAATGAAATGTATAGTCATTCAAACTAAATAACACAATACAGCTTAGATACCAGGAAGTCTGAAAGACTATGTAGCAGAAAATACCTCACTTTTGTATTTACAGACCAGTTATAGATTTTAGGAAATGGTAAAAACAGCAAGAATGGCAGGGGTGAGGGTATGGAAAAGAGCTGAAGGTTGGTACCAACTCGTCTTTATCTTCACTTGTCACTGGGCTAAACTAGAGATGAAGCAATGCCCTAAGTTCTCAGCTGTGCTCACTGGTACATTATGCTTCTTCATTCTTTGGGTACTTACCATATTCTTAGTTAAAGGACATAGAAATGTCTTATGGAAGATTGATCTGGGGAAAATCTTCCTCAAAACTATTCTTACTGCTGTGTTTAATCAACAGCAGAACAGATGTAAGAATGCTTCTATGCTATTTTTTCTGCTTTGTAGTAAAGGTTTTAAGTTTGGCAAATCAGAAATAGACTTGCAAAACTGATGTGATGCTCTGATGGATCATCAAGCAGACTTGACTTCTCCAGCTAGTGTCTCTTGTCCTCCAGAACTTTATCTGGAAATAGTTTCTGTGAAGGCTTGGCAACATAGTCACATCTGGGAGAAATACTGCAAATATCTGACTTAAATTTGACAGGTAGCTAATTCCCATTCATCAGGCACTACTTCTTCAGTCCATGTGGTAGAAAAAAACACACATTAAGAGCTTTCACCAGACTCCTGAACTGTTCAAGGACTTCCTTCAATATCAATAAAAGAAGCTATCCTATTGTGAATAGGATCTGAGATTGAACTAACTTTATGCCTAACTATGATCCCTTAAACAGTGCCTGACTTAAATGGGGGAACCCTGGTCTAGAAAGAACAGGGGCCAATTCATGCCCAAGAATAAGACAAATCAACACCTATGAGTTTATTATAGAAGATCTTATCCCATGCCATTGTTTGATGTCTTTAAAAATAATTACTGGAAACTTGAAGTTCACATTCATCTAGCTTCATTTTGACAACTGGTGATCTCAATCTGAAGTTCTCGTCATCCATCCATAGAATGTAAGGTAAGTCCATTCCTTCTCTGCTAATACGCACTTATAAAAAAACAACCCTGAAACACTTATCCTCCTCCAATGAAAGAACAAACCTTAATCTTGGCAGTGTTTGCGAACCACGAAAGGGTTACAGACTCAGGGCACAATCTGCTATTAAAGAATAGGAGGATGAAGAAAATAATATGTTGACTTATGCCAGAGTACCAACAGTGCGGATAAAGCAAAGAATGAAATATACTCTAAAGGTAAAACTAACAGGACATATTAATGCATTTGGATGTAGGATAAGGAAAATAGGGAAATACAGGATGATTTCTAGGTTTTTAGTTTGAACAATTAGAGGAATAGTGATATCACTTCCTAAGATGGGTAAGTTTGTGAGAAGACTGATGGGCGCTAAACAAATTGAAATCTCTTTTTCAGGTGTGTTAAGAATTATTTTCTTTTTGGACATCTAAGTAGAGATCTGAAAAAGGTGGTCGAATACACAAATGAAATCAGGGGAAAAATCAGAATGGAAATATAAATTTGGGATTTAGTAAAAAAGTATAAGACATGGGCTGGCAGTGTGGCTCAAGTGATAGAGTGCCTACCTACACCATGAAGCACTGAGTTCAAACCCCCCAGTAACGCCAAAGAATAAAAAAATAAAATAAAATAACGACTGAGAGCATAGCTGAAATAAGGCTCTGTGTTCATGTATAAGACATTTAAAATAACAGATGGGAGGGTCATGAAAGAGAAAAGATGGTAGCTTAGAACCAAGTTCTAGGCCTACCAACATACAGAGTTCAGCAAGAGGAAGGAAAGGTCATCAAAGGAGAAAGGTGAGAGGAAATATGGAGACAGTGAGAATGAGAGAGAAATGTCTACTAGAATTGGCGTATGAAAGTAACTGACACCCTTGACAAGAGCAGTTTCAATGAAGAGTAGGGACAGAAGCAACATTTAAGAGGACTGAAAAGTAAATGGGAGGTGAGGCAACTCTTTTCAGAGGTTTTAAAACAAAGAGAAAGTCTATAACTAGTAGAAGATGTGGCACCAAAAGGGGATTCTGCTAGTTTTTAATGTGGATAGATACCATAGTATATCTCTTTACTGACAAGAAGGACTAAGATGAGGATAGAACATGAAGATGCAGGAGTAGTAGTAAGATAACCATAGTACCAAAGTCCTGGGGGAAGATGACAAAAGAAATGGAACGTAAATTAAAAGGACTTATATTTAAATGACCCAAAGATTGTATGCACATATGAATAAAATAAAATTAAAAAAAAAGGACATATATTTGATGAGAGCAAGAGCACCATTTCCATTCTAACAAGAAGGAAGCAAGACAGCATGGTATAAACATAGGTAGGCTTGAAGATATGGTGGTGATGGGATGAGAAGGGAGTTTCCTGTCAGATAGCTTTTATTTAAGAAAGGCATTTTAAGTTAAGAATGAGGAAATGTAAGTATTGGTGCTTTGAGAGTAGAAGAGGTGGTGTGAAATAATACAAAGCAAAACATCAGGAAAATGAAGGGTTTCCAAGCAGACTGAGTGCTCATCTGAAGCCCTATGGTTATGACTATGGGGTAAGTAGTCTGTTAGGAATATAATCCCATCCAATAATATTTAGTAGTGTGTATACATTTATGGAGAAGGTGGAGAGTCAGATCAAATTAGAACTGGGGTTTAGCAAGGAGACCATAAGAGATATTAAAAGAATTTGTTATCGAAAATATTAAAAGAATTTGTAAGAGAGTGACTATAATAAAGGACAAGAGAATCTATGCTAAGAAGACAAATGAAAACGAGGGAAATGATGGGTACTGGATAAGTCATCCACATAAATGTTGAAAACAGAAACAGCAGTTAAGTTTGAGTGGAGAAGAAAACAAAGAACAGAATGATTGAAAATTCAGCCTGAGGTAAAATGGAAAGGTATAGATATAAACTTCAAGGGAACTAGAGTGTTTGAAGGGAAAAGGAAGAGAAATTATTTGCAGGGAGCGAGAAGACTCAACTTACTTCCTGGCCCTGAAATATTTAACGCATGAGATTTTAGGGAACAGATCTATTTCTTGGAAATGAATGGGGCGTTCAAGAAATTAGAGGAGATATTGTAACAATTTACAGCAGTTTCACAATTTTTTAAATGAAATTGTTCTTTTTATTCTTGTATTATCAAACTGTTTATGACAAACATGTATTAGCTCTTTTCGGAGAGGAGAGTGTACTAGGGTTTGAACTCTGGGCCTCATGCTTGCTAGGTAGGCACTCTTACCACTTCACTCCACCAGCCGTCACAATTTTTTTGTCTGATACATAAGGAGAACTGTTCTATAGGAGAGTGAGAAGTTGGTACACAGAATGTTTCTCTTCTTGAGCTGGATCTCCCTCACGGCCCAATATCAATTAGGGCTCATGGGAGACTGGAAATTGCTTTTCTTCGTTGGCCAAGATCGACATTTGGGATCACTTGGCTTTATTAGAAAGGCAGAAACTATCAAGTCCTCTAGAGGAGCAGTCAGGTTGGCTCACAAACTTTCCTGATTTTGAGTAAGGCAATATTACCTTTAGAACATCTAACCACTAAGCAAAATAAATAAATAAATAAATAAATAAATCATGTGTGACCATGTGATTTTTTTTCCTCACACGGAATGTTTAGTTTAGGGGAACTTTCTGAATATTCTCAGACAATCCAGGCACTCAGTGAGTCCCAATTATAGAAGAATAGCATCACCTGGTTGTAGGAATGCCTCTTCCATCATGCATAGAATATAGTACTTACTTTCCTCTGACATGGTAAGGTTTGAAGCAAGGCTTGATGTTTCAGGTTTCTGATCACTGACATCTGTGTTGCTTACTTGACTAGAAAAACCAAAATGAGTATGTTAGCCCCTGACTGATTTGCTGCAATGCTAAAAGTGATGAGATCAAACCCATTTCCTACTAGGCTATACAAATAAGAGACTAATGAAGAGGCTATCATGAAGGAAACCTTCATGATATTCTTATTCTTAGTTTTAGGCTAGTGCCTTCGGCATTCTACTGTTCTTTCTCATCTTCCTAAATTCCTTTGAGAGTTTATATTACTCAGAAACTACAGCTAAGTCATGGGCATGTCAAATTTTTCGCTAAGATCATATGTTAAAGAAAAATTCCAAAAATCCAAAACTCTGCTCAGTCACTTCACTTTTTTTTTTTTTTTGGTGGGACTATGGTTTGAACTCAGGGCTTCATGCTTGCAAAGCAGGTGCTCTACCACGTGAGCCACACCTCCAGTCCATTCTGGAATTATTTTGGAGATGGGGTTTCTCAAACTATTTGTCCAGGGTGGTCTTGAACCAAGATCCCCCAAATCTCAGCCTCCCAAGTAGCCAGGATTACAGACATGAGCCCCTGGCGCCTTTCTCAAACATGATATGTATTATGTACTTATGAGGCATAATGTAACATTTTGATATGGTTACACTGTAGAATGATAAATCAAGCTAACTTAAAAATCCATCACTCATATGCTTTTCTTTGTGGTTAAAACATTTAAAATCCATTCTTTTAGTAATTTTGAAATATATAATGCCTTATACACCACAGCCACCATTCTATGTGCTTTGTCACTTTTGTTCCAAAGTATCACAGGAGAGTAGGAAGATCTCCGATTCCAGACAATGGTTCTTAATCAGCTGCAAATCATAATCACTTGAAGTTTTTTCAAATTACACATGCTTGTTTCCAAAAAGGGGTTCTGCACCCTTACAAATGGTTCAACAGGCATTTCTCTTCTGCACTTAAAAAAAAAACTTTATTTTTTTTTTGTTATCATACCTAGAATTGAACCCAGTTCCACACGCTAGACAAGCACTCTACCACTAAGCTATAGCCTCAGCTCTTTTTCTTAAATTAGGAAAATTTAGAGATATTCTCAAAGATAAGCCATGAAAACTAGGAAGGCAAGCCACTATGTTTAGGATACTATAATGTCGTGAAGATGGCACTAAAATTCTGGAATGGAGATCATTTGCACTTGAATCCCTCACAGTATCTTCTCTTTTCCTTTAATCCCACTCTTCAGTTATTCCTTACCAGAATAGCTTAGTGATTTACAGGGCAGATTCTACACCTAGGCTGTTCAAGTTCATAGTTCATTCTCCCAACAGCTAGCTCTATGACCTTGGACAAGTCACTGGACTTCTCTATGCCTTAGTGTCTTTAACTGTCAGTGAGGATTGAAAATAGAACCCACCTCATAGGGTTGTTATAAGAATAACAGCAATACATAAGAAGCATATAAATCCAGAACATAGTAAATACAATATATCTGGAGCTGTTATTCTACTACCCAGCCCAGACACCCTTCCCATATTCATGCTCCCTAGACAGAAACCTGTTTTGCTCTTTCATACTCTAGGGAGAGATGGAGGGCACTGTACCAGAGAATCCATATGGCTGAAAGATAAAGTTGGCTAGTAAGAGGTAAGAGTAGACTTTACATAGCAACACTTAAAGCTCGCATATCATTCCTGAAAGTGGCCTCTAATATTGGCGCATTAATAAAGTTTTATTTTCCTGGCATAGCCTGAATGTGCAATTAGTTTTTTCTCAAATGAATTTAATTTTTTAAGCTAAATCCTGAAGTGAAGTTTTTACCTCTTGACTCAAATGCTTACATTTGTGGAATAGCACCTAATGTACTAACCAAGATATCACCATGGAATAGATGAGTAGTTGGGCTTAGGCAAGGTTGTGATTTTGCTAGCAAGTATGAAACAGGAAAAAAGAGGAGGAAATTAAGAATGTTTGCAAGGTTGGTTCAGTTTCCTGGGGGATGGGCTCAGCCTACTCACCTCTCCCCAGCTGAGTCTAGAGTAGCAGGGCCAAGTATCTGCCTGTGTGAGAAAGATGTTTTAAGAAAGCCTTGCCTGGGGCTGCTGGAGTGGCTCAAGTGGTAGAGCGCCTGCCTAGAAAGACTTGCCTGGGCTATGTAAGCCACACGTTAACTTTTACAGTAGCTTTTATTATTTAAGCAGTATAAGAAAAAAACTGAAATTCTTTTTGAGGGAAGGTCAGTGGGTAGTAATGAAAATGTGATACATCATTTAATTGAAAGTGTGAGACAACATACGGCTAGCATTATCAGTTCTGGCAGAAATAAGCTAGAATGATAGAATGTGGTGGTTAAGAGTAGCATTCATGAAATTAATGTGTGATGCAGTTACTGGCTCACATGGGTGGTGAACAATCTGACAAGAGGTAAGGAACTATGGAAAACTGAAAACTTTTGGGTCATGAATGCCAGAGCATGAGGTACAAAGAAGTTGCCTTCTGTATGGGGAGTGGAGCTAATAACTGAGGTGTCCCATACCTATTTGATAATTAATGCCAAATCCACCAGATTTCCCGTATTTTGGCTTATGTTTCCTATTTTGTACACTAGACATTTGACTGAAGAATTTAACATTTTTCAATTTTACCAGCTCTCCCCTATTCAATACAGTGTCTTGATACATTGTATTAGTCCAGTACATGTTGTTGAATAAATAATGAATGCATCAAATGATCAGTACATGTATTTTGAGGAAAAGTTATCTTTTAGGAGATTTTTTTTGTTTTTTGTTAAAACAGTGTCTCACTACATTGCCCATTGAACTTGTGAGCTCAAGTGATTCTATTCTGGTAGGCAGGTACTCTACCACTACAGTCATGTCCCCAGCTCATGTAATCCTATTTTAGAAAGAAATTTTATTATTAAACAAAAATAATTTCAAAATGTAAAAGCGGATGGTAAGAATCAAAAAGAGCGTAGTCAATTCAAAACATGCTCATATACTAATCAGCATGTGAAAAAAGTTAAAATACATCATTAAAAAGGAATTCAACTAGCTGGGCATCAGTGGCTCACACCTGTAATCCTACTTGGGAGGCTGAGATTGGGAGGATGGTGGTTCAAGGCCACCCTGGGCAAATAGTTCTTGAGACTCTATCTCCAAACAAAAACCAGAAATGGTTGTTGAAAATGGGTTGGAGGTGTGACTCAAGCAGTTAGGGAATCTGCTTTGCAAGTGCAAAGTCTTCAATTCAAACCCAGTCCCACCAAGAAAAAAAGAAAGAAATTCAACTTTATGTACCTTAAAGTTTGCTCTCCTGGTTCCTGCATCTTGGCTTTTTTCACCTGGGGATATAAGCATACAAAGGAATCAATGCAGCAAACTGTTTCTGAAATCTATTACTCAAATAATTTGCCCCTGGGATTGGGTCCAGGGTCCTCTCTGATACCAACTCCCTTATTAAAATGGTACAGCATTTGCATATAGCCTCTGCACATCTTCCAACTACTTTAAATCATCTCTAGATTACCTATAATGCTTAATACAATTTAAATGCTATGGATATAGTTATTATTCTGTATTTAGGGAATAATGAGAAGAAAAAAGTTCAATAGCAATGCAATTTTCTTATCCACTATCTTCAATCTGCAATTGATTAAATCAGCAGGTGTGAAATTCAGATATAGAGGGCTGAGCATATATTAACTAATATATTAAGGATAACAGTTTCTTTCTTTCTAGGTTTTTAAAAATTTTGCATAAGCACTTTCTTTCCCCCTTTTTTATTAGCATATATTAATTATACAAAATGGTGGATTTCATTATGGTATTTTTACACTTGTACATAATGTACTTTGACCTGCTTAGTACCCTCAGTTATTCCCCTTCCCCCCTCCCTCTAGTTCTCTTCCTCTTCTCAAATAGTCCCCCTTCTACATTCATGCCTTTTTAAATTTAAAATCTAGATTCTGCACATGAGAGGACATATGGTGTTTGTCTTTCTGACTGGCTTATGTCATTTAACATGATGATCTCCAGTTCCATCCACTTGCCTGTAAATGACTTATTTCATTCTTCTTAAGGCTGAAAACCATTTCATAGTTAATACAGACCATATTTTCTTTCCATTCATCTGCTGATGAGCACCTAGGCTAATTCTACAACTTGATTATTACTGTGAACTGTGCTTCATTAAACATGGGTTTAATGACTCTATTGTATTGTGATTAATTTCTTCAGATATATACCCAGGAGTGGTATAGAAAGATCATATGGCAATTCCAGCTTTAGTTTTTTGAGGGATCTCTATAGTGATTTCTATAATGGCTGTACTAATTTACATTTTCACCAACAGTATAAAGGGTTCCTATATTATTTCTATTATTTTTAAATAGGGTCTCTCACACACATATGCCTGAGCTGGCCTGTACCATAATCCTCTTATTTATGCTTCCCAAGTAGTGGGCATGACAGTTGCATGCCACCATGCCCAATTTTTTATTGGTTGAGATGAAATTTCATGAGTTATTTTGACCAGGACTTTGATCCTCCTAATTAATATCTGTCTCCTGAATAGCTAGGTTTACAGGCACAAGCCACAATGCCCAGCCCAGTCTCTACTTTAAAAGGATTATATGAAGACCAGCACTGGAGCAAGAACAAGAAATACATACAGGCTGGGAATGTAACTCAGTAAGAAAGCAACTGTTAGCATTAGAGAGATCCTGGGGTTCATAGCAAAAAACCAAAAACAAACAAAACAAAACCCCTGAAATTTACATAGTATGAGTCTCTGAAGAAGTAACATTATTACTCTTTGATACTTAAAAATTTTTTTCCCAGCTTTCTAGTATCACAGATACTTGAACCACTTATAGCTTAAAACTTTAAACCATCCATTAACAGATCCTAGTGACTGTCAAATCCTCTTCTAAGGATTCATGAAAGTCTGTTCAAAGATCATTTTAAAATGCTGCCACCACCAGGCACCAGTGGCATGCCTGTAATCCTACTCAGGAGGCAGAGATCAGGAGGATCAAGGTTTAAAGCCAGACGAGGCAAATAGTTCTTGAGACCCTATCTCGAAACTACCTAACACAAAAAGGGCTGATGGAGTGGAATGAATGAATGAATACATACATACATACGTACATACATAAATAAAAAAATAAAATGTTGTCACTAATCAGCATTAAACTAGCACAGTCTATTGTTTCCAGCATCTAGTTCCTCCTGGCTATTACCTTTGAGTAAAAAACAAGTAACAGTAACAAAAAACCAAAACAACACAGCATTTTTAAATCTTCTGTTTTTAAATCTCTGTAGTTTTTCAAAGATAATAAAAATTGGTTTGGCAATCATGCTTCTAAATTTTCAGGTCTACAATTTACTTCCCATGAGTCTGGAGGATTAGAACTCATTTAAAATAACTAGGTGCTTGCTTAGAAATATAAGACTACAATCTTTTTTGAAAAAGATGCTGTCCTTTACAAGGTATAGATGTTCCCCTTGACAAAGGAGCCAGAAAGAAATTCGGGTCTGAGTCAGTTGTTATTTATCATGCCAGGGTCATTCTTTTCATTGATATTTTGGATTTCTACTACAGCCTGTGAAAAGCTGTTTTTCTCCTCAAAAGGTGACATTTACTGTTCCTAGTCTACCTCTTTTGAACAGCTAATAAGTATTCAGAATTTTCTAAGATTCTATATTTGGCATCCATTAATTACAAGGCCAAAATGAAGATCCCCTGTGATCCAGAACTTAGACTTTGAATCATTTTACCTACCTCATGCACACCAAGCCCCTATTTCTCTTGTTCTAAATCAACTTAATACCAAATACCAGACAACTAGGGATAGCCCCTAGTCCACAAAGCCTGCTAGAATTATTTAAACTAGCCAGTCCTATTCTGAGCTGTCTTGCCTTTCCTGCAGAAACCCCAATAAAGTCTGTGGCCACATCTTTCCTTGGCTCCTTTCTAGCTCCTGACCAACATTGGTGCTACACCCTGGACTATGTCTCTCATTTCTAGGGGAACTATGTGTAACATTAAACTTTTCTTTCAATGACACTGATGCTCCTGTGTCATCACAGTCACCTTTAAGTCTAGACCTGGGTACAAATCAATAAGAAAATGATCCATCATGAATTAACCACTTATAGTTAGCAGAAATTTTGGTTTTAAAGCACTTCAATTTCTTGGACTGGGATGTGGCTTAAATGGTAGAGAACCTGCCTAGCAAGTGTGAGATCCTAACTTCAAACCCCAGTACTGCTAACAAATAAATAAATAAATAAAGTTCATGTTACAGAAACTGAACAGAATGAGAAAGAAAGTAGAGTAGAAAAGATGACTCATCAGCAGGTCAGCCTCACAATTCTCATTACCCTAAACAGGTAAGGCGTGGCTAACAACAATGCCCATTTCAACAGTACATCAACATTTACACAGGTCTTTTGAAAATGAGTAGGCTTGTCTTACTATATTAAACACCCAAAGACATAAGTTTCTTTGGTACATTTAGAGTCTATAATTAACTATGTGTTCCAATAGTGTATATCACTTTATAGACACTACACACACACACACACACACACACACACACAGAGGATGCTTTTTATTACCCTGATTATTAATACCCCACCAAGGATAAGGGATCACATTTTAAATGTTTCAAAATGTTTTTATTAGCTGTTTATATCTTTCTAGTTTTATACTTACCTCAACTAATAAGGTTAAAAGAATAACTGGCAAAGTAATCATCAGTATACAATTCTTAACATGAAGAAAAATATTAAAAATACATTAAAAGACTTCATTATTTAAATGGAAGCTAGTGTCTCTCCTTTTGTGACATAAAGAATACATCTAGGGAACTCTTATATATTGTTAGTAGAAACATAAATTAGCTCAGCTACTGTGGAAATCTGTATGGAGGTTCCTCAAAAAACTAAAAATGGAACTACCATATGATCCTGGTATACCAGTCCTGGTAGGAAGCAATCAAAGTCAGGACACAACAGAGATTCCTGCACACCCATGTTTATCGCAGCACAATATACAATAGAGATATCACAGTACCAGCCTAGGTGACCATCAGCTGATGAAAGGATAAAGAAAATGTGCTATATTATTCATATATTCATATATTCATGTGGTATATTATTCAGTCATAAAGAAAAATGCAATTATGTCATATATAGGCAAATGAATGGAACTGGAGATAATCATGCTAAGTGAGATAGCCAGAGACAGAAAGACAAATATATATTTTCTCATGTGCAAAATCTAGATTATAAAAAAATTTTAAAAGACATAAAAGCGGAAGGAGGCCAATGGGGAAAGGGGAAAGAAAGAGTGATAGGGAGGTGAAATACATATTAAAATGTCATAATGAAATCCAGTACTCTATAAAATGAATTTAACAAAAATACAAAAGAATACATCTAGCTTGTCATGGTGGTACAGGTCTGTAATCCCAGCACTCAAAGTTTAAGGAGGAAGATCCAAATTTTAAGGCCAAGCTGGGCTACACGCAAGATCCTATCTCAAACAAAGGAAAACAACAACAAAAACACAGAATAATACATCTAGAACAACAAAAGTCATATCCTATTATTTGCTTTCTAAAGTTAAAATTTTATAAGTTGGATTTTTCAGAAAGATTCTTACCACTTTGTATTATCTCAGTATGAAATCCAAGAGCCATACTCAGGATAGCAAATTGAAACAGTATTCATCTAACTTCAGAAAAAGAAACTCAAGACAAAAAGACAAGACCCTACACTCACAGGAAATCAATGTGAGTCAATGCCCTGTATAGCTATCCTTATCTCAACCAGCAAAACCCCTTGTTCCTTCCTATTATTGATTATACTCTCTCTACAACAAAATTAGAGATAAGGGCAAAATAGTTTCTGCTGGGTATTGAGGGGGGAGCGGGAGGGGGTGGAGTGGGTGGTAAGGGAGGGGGTGGGGGCAGGGGGGAGAAATGAACCAAGCCTTGTATGCACATATGAATAATAAAAGAAAAATGAGAAAAAAAAAAAGACAAGACCCTTTAACGTGAAAGTTATATTAAAAGAATAACATTATTATACCTCTAATCCTAGCACTTTGAAGGTGGAGTCAGGAGGATCATGCATTCTAGGCCAGCCTTAGCCACATAGCAAGACTCTACCAGAGTGGCTCAAGTGGTAGAGCACTTAACTAGCAAGCATGAGGCCCTGAGTTCAAACCCCAGTACTACAAAAAAAAACAAAACACACACACACACACACACACACACACACACACAATGATACTATTCCTTTCATTTTTAAAATGTTAAGGGTCAAAAAACAAAAAGAGAATATCAAATTTTTTAAAGAAATTTAAAAATTTAATCTGGTCTCTATGGATCTTATCTATTTGTAAGAGTTAGCTAGTGGTAAAATTATTTTCCTCAATACTACTTTTTTTTTAGAAATTTAAGTCAATTCAAGAATTCATATATAAATTAAAAATAAAACAAAATTTTCCAATAAAATAGCAATATACTGCCTAATGGTAAACAGATGACCTCTTTTATTTTCTAAAAACTGTAACACTAGATTAAAATCTACTGTTTTATAAAATCACATTCCAAATTTAAAAACTCACTTTGTAATGCTGAACTTTTTAAACAGATTCCTTAGCTTTTTTGGGGGGGTGTGGAGGCAGTACTGGGGTTTGAACTCAGGACCTCACTCTTCTCCGCTAGGCATGTGCTCTACCACTTTAGTCACACGCCTAGCCCCTCAGACTTCTTAGCATTAAGTTAGCTAAATATGAGTTTAAGAACATGCAACATTCATAGTATGGTGGTACATGCCTGTAATCCCAGCACTCAGGAGGCTGAGGCAGGAGAATTGAGAGTTTGAAGCCAGTGTGGGCCATATAGCAAGACCCTGCCTCAAAACAAACAAACAAACAAAAAACCACAGAACATTGTTTTCTTACAGGGAAACTATTAAAGAATCTTTTTCTTTATTTTTATTTCTAATTTGGAATTTAAAAGTCTAATTGAAAAATCTTTTAAAATCTCTTCATATCAGCTTTTCTACAATCAACTTTGAATTGTTAAGAAAATACTTACTGGTTGCTCTGGTAAATCTTGCTCTTCTTCCATGAGGACTATTATTTCCTTATTGTACTTATGTGCCTGGATTGCAAGTTTCTTTCTGCAGTCTTCACAATCTGTTTTGAAAAAGAGGGGGATTCAAAGCTTTATATATTGTTAAAGTATTATCATTGAGGCCATCAGAGAATAATTCTTTTAATATTTTGCTACCCCAAGCTTCTACGTTAGTTCCAATCTCAAAATCTCTGACTTGCACGTGGCTTTTCCAAACTGACATGCTGCACCAAGTCAAGGGAGTTGTACACAATGACTTTTGTAATACCTTGCAAAAGCCAGCACGTGGAACCACTTCTGCTGGTTACTATAGTGCCTAATGCATTACACAGTTTACAATGACAACCATGTGCAGATAATAAAACAATTTTTTTTCAGGATTAGTTACATTTAAAATGATAGAGACTGGCCTGGCAAGTCAGTAAGTTCTGATAACATCTAACCTGCTTGAATGTGGAACATTTACATAACTGTTAAGACTGACATACTGAATCATTTTAAATAGGACAAACTGGAATATCAATTAAATACATTAACAATCTGTATGTAATGAATTTAAAGGGAAACTTAATTCTTCTGGGTCGCCTAATAAAAAATAAGTAAAGTGAAAATTAAAATGTTAGAATTAAGTAAAATAATCATGTAAAGCTCATTCTGATGAGCTTTCACTAACTATACTACCTATTCAAGCATTTAAGCAAAAAGCTTTCTTTTCAGACCCTGTTCTTCCTGTTCCGATTTTCAAAGAAAAATAGGATTCTTAGCCCTACACTTACTGGTAAAGACCACCTTTCGGTACCTTGCTGATAGGAGACAGAAATTTTAAAACTACATTATAAAAATAAAATACTTCATTTCTATTTAACCCAACCAGACACAATTGCTTATGGTCTTAAAGTCACACCACTTTCATTTATTCTACCAATTTAACATAAGATTCAGAATCTTACTGTAGAAATACTGAAAACAGCTAAGTAATGCGAATAAGAAAACAAAACTTCAGTACTATTAGTACTACCTCTTTATTTCTGTTACTCTGTTTTGGTGCAATATAATATACTTTATTTTAGAGCCACACAGAATAACAGGAACAGAAGAGAAAACAAGTGAAAGGGACACAGTGAGATGAAAAACTCTGATGATTAGAAGACACAGCTTTACCCCCTGCCCTGGTCTAGAATGCCAAAAGAAAAAAGTTTAAAGGTCAGAAGAATTTGATGCTTCATGGCACTTCCGTGAAGCTTATACACAGAGCTTTACAAGCGAAGTTCTCCTACTACATGACGCAGATAACTAGTGCTGCAGAATTACAGAATGCAAAAACTAAAGCTCACAGAAGCTATTTCCTGGGCTTGTTTTGCTCAGCTCAGAAGAATATAATCTATGTGATCGTGAAACTGATTCATAATTGTGAAAAATGAAACACTTTTTGTTTTACCAGTTTATATCAGTTAGTTCTACAGGTCTTTACTTTTGTGGGATTAAAGTACTACCTAAATGTGCATTATGTACGTACATTAATTTCAACCCATAAGAGCAAAATGAATCAAATCATTAGAGAAATGTAATCTACTGCCTCATTTGTTGAATTTTTATGTAGCCACAAAAATAATGCTGTATGTTTTCCTCAATGGAAAGACATGAATGTAAAAACTGCAATCTCTAATTACTATGTTCTTGGGAAGGAAGAGCATCTCCTTTCCCTTGATGGAAGGGTTTAAAAAATAATACTCAATAACATGTGCTTTAATTTTGTTTTTAAACATAAAAACTAACCTACTTTAAACTTCTGAACATTAAAAAAAAAACATATTTTTTTAATTGATCAAAAAGGGTGATAGGTTTTAAAAGGTAAGAAACGCTGCCTGACGTGGGTAAGTAAATGCTCAAGCTACATAAAACCAACTATTAAAATCCTGAATTTTATTTTTCAGAGATTAAAAAAATTGATTTTGTAGAAAGAGGAATTTGCTGTTTTTCTCAAGATTAATTCTATGGTAAGTTGTAAAATGACTTTCTTTACAGGAAAAATTAGAAAATATTCCTTCCTGCCTCTCCTATTTCTTCTTTGTAAATAAATATTATCATTGTCTTTTCAGCTTTTCACTTGAGGGAAATAAAATGGTCCTAATTTCTATACTTAAAAAAAGAACTTTGAAAAATCAAGCTTGGTGTCTTAAACTAATTGGTAAATGACCAGAAATCATCTTAATCATTTTAAAAAGCAGTCTATAAAAAAAGAGTCTGCTTTATTACAGAATCACCTGCAATCTCAGCACTCTGAAGGCTGAGGCACAAGGAATATGAGTGGAGTTCAAGGATGGCCTGGGCTACACAGCAAGACCGTATCTCAAAAACAACAAACAAATAATGATAATACAGCAATAGTAGTTATAAGCAATAGTAACATGAAGAAGTATCATAAAAAGTAGTATAATTTTTATTTTTTATTTAAAGATACTTTTAAGGGGGGAGGTGACCCAAATAATGAATACACATGTAAGTAAATGTAAAAATGATAAAATAAAAAAAAAAAGCAGAAGGCATTTGTCTAACATCAAAAAAAAAAAAAAAAAAGGTAAAAAATAAAATAAAGATACTTTTGAGACCAACTTGCTAAGTTGCCCAAGGGTGGCCTCAAAATTCTGGGCTCAAGCAATCCTTCTTGTTCAGCTTCCCGGCAATCTGGTATTACAGATATATACCACTGCAATCAGTTAAGATGTCTGTTAATGTGTGAATTATATTAGGACTTAAAAGAAATAAGTAATTAGTAAGTGATTACAATACATCCTCAAATATACCTTGTATATAACTTGAAGAATGAAAACAAAAACCAAATACCCTCTTCTAATGACTTTAAGATGATTGCTTCAAGTATTATCATTCTAATCTATTCTAAATCTATTCTGATCTATTCTAAAGAAGATATGATTCATAATCAAGTGTACCAAGTACCAAACCTAAAGCCTAAAGACAGCAGTTTACCTTAAAAGGGAAAAGAAGAAAAGACGTCAGGAAAAGGGTTTCAAAATAAGAAAATATCTCTGTGGTCTCTTGTGGAACAGTGCTTATTACCAGTGTTAGTGAGATGCTCTGAAGTAATAATCTGGATTTCATGATCCATATGATACACATATTAGCTTTCAAATAAGAAGCAAATGAAGGTATATTCCAATATTTACATATTTCTTACTAAAAATTAGAGAATAACAATAAATATTTGGGGGAAAGAAGAGAAAATAGAGGCAATAAAGACCTTTCCTGTCAGTCTTTAAAATCTAATCATACAGAGCCAAGGACATGGCTCAAGTGGTAGAGTGCCTACCTAGCAAGCATGAAGTCTTGAGTTCAAATCCTAGTACCACACAAAACAAATCCAATTATAATGAGATGGATAAGAGAACTAGCATTTACTGAGCATATATACTCCACCTAATATTTTTGGATTCACTATTTCATCAAATTTTATCTCCATGACTACCCTAAAATAGGTAGAATCATTTTCATACTATAGACAGAGCATCTGGGATTCAGGGATTTAAACAATTTGTTCCAAAATAACAACACCAATGTTCCTGCAAGTTGAAGTGGAAGTACATAGACTAGAGGACAGTGATGATGGTTATACACCGTGGTAGCACCTAATGCCACTGGGTTTAAATTTTTATTAAAAAAAAATAAGATGGCTGGTGGAATGGCACAAGCAGTAGAAGTGCCTGCCTTGCAAGCATGAGGCCCTTAGTTCAAACCACAGTATTGCAAAGAAAAAAAAAAACATAAAAGAGACTAGAAAAACCAACCTATGATCATACCTAAAAAGTACTTAAAATATGAAATGAAGAAATATTGTATTGATATGGAGAAAACACATCTACATCATATACTGATAAATTATAAATACACCAACAACTCAGCATTCAAGTAGTTCTGGTTATCTCTTGAGCTCTTGGGACTGGGGGGTGTGGTTCAAGTGGTAAAGCATCTGGCGTTTGATAACCAGTACCACAAAAAAAAAAAAAAAAAAAAAAAAGGTTTTGGAGAAATTGGGTCTGGTGGTACATGCCAGTAATCCCAGAATTTGGGAGGCTGGGGCAGGAAGATTTCGAGAGTTTGAGGTTAGCCTGGGCTACACAGTGAGACCTTGTATCCAAAAAAAAAAAGAGGAGAAAACAAAATAGCATATGTATCTCTTCTGTGGAAATTAGATAAATTTACAGGCAATAAAAGAAAATATTAGCAACAAATCGGCAGATTTGTGAAATACGAGAAATATGTGAAATAAACTGTCATAATGAGAAAATAAATCTCAGATGAAGAAGACAAGACAAAAAGGGACATTATTTGCAATAATTATGACGGATAAAATTTAACAACTACAATATAAACTAAGCCAATTCAGCATTTTCTGATCATCTATTATTATATGGCAGACAATGCCTGACACATGAGCCTATCCAAGAATACAAATGCACAGTTTAAGTAACCACGAAGATTAAATCAGCATTTGAGAAAAAGACCCTGTTGTCACTACTAATTAAAGGAATATAAATTATAGTATTTTTAAGATACTACTCCTTATCTATTAAACTACCAAAAACAAGTCTAAACAACAAAATCTAAAGTTATCTGTGCTATAAGAAGATAAAACATATTCAAGCACAGCTGTAAAATCATATGTATCTTCACACTGTTCCCAGGATAATGTGTAACAGGCCATAAAATTGGCCAGTGCAACATGAATAATTTTGCTTGGATACCTTTCCAAGAATTACATACACAGGGGAAAAGAGCTAACCGTTTTTTGTTTGTGGTACTGGGGTTTGAACGCAGTGCCTCCTGAGTAGAAAAAGAAATTTGAGTTTCTTGTTCTGCTAATTTCTTTCATAAGAAATAAGTTGCTTGAATGCTGCATACAAATTTGTTTTGTGGTTCTAGGCAAATACACTGAACTTTCAATAGTTAAACATTTTTGTTATTAGCCAGACATGGCAACACATGCTTGTGATTCCACATAGGAGGCTGGGGCAGGAGGATCAAGAGTTTGAGGCCAGATCTAGAC